TCCCCTTTCTCCATCTACCCTGGTGGAGCTTCCGATCGTTCACTCATTGCTGCTGGTGGCAATTGACTTGAATAGCTTAGCATTACACAACATCACTTCTCCTCATAAACCGACACGGCCTGCATTGCGCTCATTCCCGCCCTTCCGGTCTCTGCTTAATTCGCCGTGTCTTAGATACTGTCGCGGCCCTTGCGTGTCTGCCTGCGAACAAGATTATCCCTCCCGCCCACAGGTACAGCAGAGGAGCTCGCCTCGTTTCCGTCTGTCGTCATTGTCGCTGCACTCCCCGTCGATCGAACTCCTGGGAAAGGAAAAGGTCACACTCGTTGTCCGGGTTAATTTTCCTACTGTCGCAGGTAACCCGTGGATTTTCGAAGATCTAGTCCGGGGTCGACTCGTGGTCCTTGCTTGCTTTACAGCACTATCTAGTCCTCTTTTCACTCGCCCTCCCCTTCGAACGAGGCAGGTTTTCCTCATCCCGGGTGTCGAGTGACTGCTTGTTATTGTTCGCCACACTCTGTTTTTGTTTTGCGGCTTGTCTACTCGGCTTTTGTTGCCTCAAACCTTCCTCAATTCCCCGGTTTCCTCGTGCTCAACTTCACTCCTCGTTTTGATCCAGCGCATTGGAGAACGTGACTGCAGTAGAGTCGCTGCATAATTACTCTCGACGAGCCACCTACTATAGATCGCATCGCTGCAATTTTCGAACAACGCACCTCCTTCGTTTTCTTCCGCGTTTTCTAGGTTCGCGTCCAAGGTACGTTAGCAACCGGTTGCCCTTCCCCAGCATTCCTTCCATTCCCCTCCCTAGAATCGGACATTCCCCGGGAGACATGCAGAACCATCCCCTCCCAAACATCCTTCAGACGCCCTTGCCGGCCTGAGGGTAGAAATCACACCGTCAACGTTCAAGGCTCGCACCAGCCTTCAGCAGCGCCGCATGATTGACCTTCTGTCACAGACATTGATTGCATTACAGCCACACGCATCATTACATCTCGACTAGCTCGATCATCTTCTTTGTCTATACTACATCACTGACACACTTCGATTGTGCAACTCACTTGCTTTTCTTCACCTCTACCACCATTCATAGGATAGTGCGAGAATGATCATTGCGTTCTATCTCGCATAAGCCTTGGTCAGTGACCACGACGTCCGACTGGACCTACCAAGCGGAAGGCTATCCATCACACCGATCTCGTCTCAAATTAAAGACATGGAATCAATGAAGCGACACATTGCGCCACTGAAGATCGAAAAGGGAAACCTTAACTACCACTACGACGACCAACAACAACACTATTATTATCAGCACAATCTTGAAATGAGCCCTCCATTAACACCTTACGGCAACAAAGACGACAGTATGGAGCAATCAGAGACGCCGAGGGCCGTCTTCCACAACTACCTCCGTGCATTCTATCCTTATCACCCCTCCGGAAATGTCTCCCCGTCGACCGTCACCCTCCCCCTGGACCAAGGCGACATCGTTCTAGTGCATTCTGTTCACACCAATGGTTGGGCCGATGGTACACTATTAGATACTGGCGCTCGGGGCTGGCTACCCACCAACTACTGCGAAGCGTATGACCAACAGCCTATGCGGCCGCTTTTGAAGGCGTTGACCGACTTCTGGGATATCATTAGAGGAGGCTGTGGATTCCCTCTAAACGACGCTGGCAACCAGGATCTTGTACGAGGCTTGATTGCTGGCGTGCGCTACCTATTGGTAGGTGTTCGACTCCTAGCTGGTGCTTATCGGAGGATAACTGACCGGGTCACAGCAAAAATCCGAATGTCTCACACGGGATTGTATCCTGGTCACCAGTCACGACGGTCTGCGCAGGAATCGCAAAGCGTTGCTGGCTGAGCTCTCATCTCTGGTCCGGACCACCAAGAGGTTTCAGGAGGTTGCCAGCGGCAATGCGACGCAGGATGAAATGGACTACATGGTCGACGAAATGCTACTCAAGGCTTTCCGCATAGTTACGCGAGGAGTTCGTTTTCTCGATGTGTGGACCGAGGAAGTTGGCCTGAGCAGGACGATCGCCGAGCTCGAGCAGCAATCAGGCTACCAGCAAGGCCCACTCTCTACGCTTTCTGAGACTCGCCCCGTATCGGAAGCTGCTGGCTCCGAGGCCGACACCGAGCGCAACGAGTCTAGACTCATGAACCGTAGCCGATTGGATATGAGCCGAGCATCCACTCGCCTGGACGACTCTCAACAGACCCGTCCGGTGTCTGTGACCACCAAGCGGATTTCCGTCTCCCACCGGGTCTCTACTTCGGGACCGGCCGCGATTGCCCGCAACCCCAACCTAGCGTCCGAACGACTGAACGATGCCTACGACGCATTCCTCGGTGTGCTGGGCTCATTTATTGGGCTTCACCTGCAATCCCGCTCGTCCACGGAATTGGTTGTGACTACGGAGCAGGCGGTGCGTTCCTGCCGCGCGCTGCTCACCGTCGTCGAGGCCACTTGCGAGCATGACCCGCAAGGCAGTGGGCACCTGGAGCAGGCTAGGGACACTATGTATGAACGCCTGTCCGAATTGGTCTATGCGGCCCGGGACGCCTTCCGACCGGCCCATTCTCCAGATGATGAGCTTGTGTTCTTGCCTGATGAAGGAAAGCGCCTGGTGGATGCCGCCACTGATTGCGTGCGAGCAGCGGGGAGCTGCCTGGCCAAAGCTCGACTGATGCTGGAGCAATGCGGTGATTTCGAGCTGGAGGCAATGCCCCAGGATTTGCCTGCTGCAACCAGCGCGGTAACCGACGCCAACAAAACCCCGCAACCCCCGAAGACAAGCACCTTTGCTGGTCACCAGAACCGATCTCAAGAAGCATCATTGCGCTTGCCCCCGCCTCCTCTACAGATTCCCAGCTCCATCAACAATCGATACTCTCCTCCAACCCCAGGTCTCACGGATGACACTACTCCCTCCTCCTTCCAGTCGCGTGGTGGAGCCAGCACTCCCGGCACCGACATGTCCTCCTTCCCGTCCACCAATCTCCTCTCCTCCAGCCTGGATAAGCTATCCTTTTCGTCTCACGACACCCAACCCATCGAGATCCCTCCGCACAGGGACAGCCAAGCCAAGTCCGATGTTAGTGAGTCCTTTGGCCGAGGCATCACTAGCAATGGAAGTAGCTTTACATTCAACAGCCGTCTCCGCGACTCGGAGATGAGTGGTGTCTCCCAGACTTCTACTCGCGCTACCTCGCCCGACATTGGCAATCACTACCAGGTTCCCTCTCTCAAGGGCAGCATCAGTCACTCCACCCTGGCCGAGGAAACAGAAGAAGGAGAAGCCAATATTCTGGAGAAGACCTACGCGCACGAGCTGATCTTCAAAGATGGCCAGATCATGGGCGGAAGTCTACGGGCACTCGTCGAGAAGCTGACTGCACACCAGTCTACGCCAGACGCGATGTTCGTTTCGACCTTCTATCTCACTTTCCGTCTTTTCGCTACCCCAATCGAGTTTGCCGAGACTTTGGTTGATCGATTCAACTACATCGGGGACACTCCTCACACTGCCGGACCCGTTCGTCTGCGTGTTTACAACGTCTTCAAAGGCTGGCTCGAATCTCACTGGCGTCACGACTGCGATAACAGTGCCCTCGAATACATTGTGAACTTCGCCAGCACGACCCTCATGAACAACCTTCCGTCTGCTGGAAAGCGGCTTGTCGAGCTTGCCGACAAGGTGTCAATGGTTCACGGACCAGTGGTACCCCGTCTGGTGTCTTCCATGGGAAAGACCAATACTGCAACTGCACAGTATGTGCACCCAGACACACCTCTGCCACCACCCATCCTTGGAAAGAAGGAAGTCAACCTTCTGAAGCAGTGGAAGAACGGTGAAGGCACAATTACCATCTTGGATTTTGACCCGATGGAACTCGCTCGCCAGTTCACGATCAAGGAGTCGCGCATCTTCTGCGCTATTCTTCCCGAAGAGCTGCTAGCGACGGAGTGGATGAAGAAATCGGGTTCCCTGGCCGTTAACGTCAGGGCCATGGCCACTCTGTCCACGGACCTGACGCATCTCGTGGCAGATTCGATTCTCCAGCTGGAGGAGCCCAAGAAGCGTGCAGCGATCATCAAGCACTGGGTCAAGATTGCGAACAAGTGCCTGGAGCTCAGCAACTACGACTCATTGATGGCCATCATCTGCTCCTTAAATTCATCTATGATCTCCCGCTTGAAGCGGACCTGGGAAGTGGTGTCTCAGAAAACCAAGACGACTCTGGAATACCTTCGAGGCATTGTCGATGTCTCACGGAACTACTACGTTCTCCGGCAGCGACTGCAGAACCGCGTCCCTCCTTGTCTGCCTTTCGTCGGCACTTACCTCACGGACCTCACCTTTGTGGACCACGGCAATCAGGCACTGCGTACCTTGCCCACAGACGAGGGTGATATGGCAGTCATCAACTTCGACAAGCACATGAAGACGGCCAAGATTATCAGCGAGCTGCAACGATTCCAGATTCCGTATCGCCTGACGGAAGTGCCGGAGCTCCAAGCGTGGATGCAGAACGAGCTGGTCCGTGTGCGATCGAGCGGCGAGAAAAGTCTGCAGACATTCTATCGCCGGTCGCTGGTCCTGGAGCCCCGGGAAGTGCCCCAAGCGCGCATGCAGCCCGAATCCAGCTCCTCTTCGATTCTCGAGAATGCCAAAGACAAGTTCGACTTTCTCTCATGGACACATCCCTCCAAATCCAAGTCGGTCGCGACGAACGGTTGAACAGGTCGAATCCCACTCATTCGTCACGGCCGCTACTTTAATGAATTACGACAGTCACTTCAATTCATGTTTTCACGGATTCTTAACCAATTACCCATTTTTATTCCCATCTCTACTTCTCACTACACACGTTTTTCTCGCATTTCCGCTGTGTATACCTTTTGCTCTCACCCTCCTCCACATCTCTTCTAATTTTTATTACTCTCTGGGCGGTTACTCGTGAATATTTCATCCATACGTTTTTTTGTTCGGGGAAACAAGAAAAAAGAGGGAGGGAAAATTAGGGCTTCCAAAACAAACGGAATGTGTACATGCATGCACCGGGGCGGTTGGGAAAAAATTAACATTCACCAAAAAGGGAGGGCAAAGCATATATAGGGGTCTTATACAGGTCGGAAATTGAGCCTCGCGGCTCGCACACCACATACTCGTTGATTCGATTTGGGCCTTGCCTTGTTATGGAGATGCATGTATTGATGATGGGTCATGAGTGCGTCTCTCTGCTTTTTATCTTTGTTTCTTTCTTATACCATTCTCTGTTATGGGGACCTGTGTTTTCATCCTCTTTTACATTTACCCTTCTGTCTGATCTTACTATCATTGTCTTATTGCTTGATTGGTTGCTCTTTGGATGGATGGGAGCATTGCTTGGATTTGTACTTGGAACTGGACTTGGACTTGGCTTGTTATGGACTAGGAACTTATTGGATGGGCATGGAACTTGGATGGATATATGGAAGGATAGGATCTGTGTACTATTTGTATATACCATTCTGCAACATACTAGTTAGTCTCTTGACTAATCGATCGATATCATTCTGATCATATACTATTCAGATGTCGTATGTCTAGCCTTGTAATCATGACACGTAATAGAAAAGGTAAACCTCGCTAGCTAACCAGTCTCCGCATCCTGCCATTTCCTAAACATGCCAACAAAACCAGGACTCCCATATTCATCCGACTGACTCTGATCCAATGATACAGCAGCCCCCATTTCCAAAATAGGTATCATCGAGGGCCGGCCGTGCGCGCACTGGAAAGGGAAAACGCAATCTGCGAGTCGTCGGACCAAACTCTGGCATTCATTCTTGTCCAGAACATCGTTGAACATGATTGCCGTGCGGCATGCGCGAGAGTTCAGCAGGTCGATGATCCCTCGAGGACAGCCGTCGAGTCGGTCTACCCAACTGCTGCTGGTTTGGGCCATATCTGGACGAGAAGCGCCGAAGCCGGTGGGATGGTGAGGCTGTCGGCTTCGGCCGTTTTCTTCTTCGCGTTTCCAGATCTCGCCGCGGATGAGGTCAGAGACTAGGTTGGGCTCGGTGCGGCAGCGCTCGGCGATGAGGGTTGGGAGGGTGTGTACGAAAATGAAGACGTTCTTGTCTTTGGGTCCTTGTTCCATGGTGTAAGTTACACCCCAAGAGTGGAAGAAATCTCTGTATCGTTCAAATAGGGATGCTTCGGTAGTGGGTATCTCAAGAATAATGGGATCCAATGTGATGGTTTGGATGGAGCCCGGGCTATCTTCTTCTGATGTGAACAGCTCTGCCATGAGTGCCTCGACCCGGCAGCGTTCATCCGCAGCGTGCTGATCGATCAAGATCAGGTTTGATGCAGGTTCTCCAGGGCTATTGGAGGGCAATTGCATCTTTACCAGGATGAATTTCTGATCCACTTGGGCGATAATTTCTGCAGCTCTTAAATCCTGTTTGCGCAGTTTGCCGCGAAACTTCGACACTCCCATGCTTTCGAAACCGCATAGCTCGCCCTGATTGTCCCGCGAGCTAGACCCGGGGCGAGCTGTCTCATGGCCAGCACTGACATCCATCGCACTGATAGGCCTCTCTGGGCGACCAAAAACAGGGTTAATCCAATTGTCCAAAAGTTTCTCAACCCACTTGTTGTCGGTCCCCTGCAGATCGACCGATCTTGGTCGCTGCACTTCATCTGGAGCGCGATGTGGTTCTGGTAGACAGCCAGTGGACCGGGGCCGCAGCGCCACGTCCGCTGCTACTGAAGACCCAAGGAGTATGGACTGACCAGTCCGCGAGTTGATTAAATGGCGTCTACCCGTGTAAGGATCGACCCATGGCGTCATTCTGTCGGTAGCTGTCTCTTCATGAATCTGATTCAGTTGCTCTTCGTGCATCTCTGGTCCTTCCAGTACAGGAGATCGGGGCTCAGTGGCCGTTCCTTCATTGCCTGCAGATAGGAGCGCTGGTTGCTGGTTCAAATGATCCTGGACTTGATGTGCTGGGTTATTCTCTGAGCGAGTTGACCTGGGTTCGCGACCGCGCAAAGGAAACCTCTTGCTGACCGCTTCCGGCTTCGCACTTTTTATCCTGGTCCAATCTCCGAAATGATGACTGACATTGGGTGGTCTTCGCAAAGAGGGGAGCCTGAGCTGATTGCCGAGAGTTTCTTCGGTGGCGGAGACTTCACCTTCTAGAGATAGAGACCTTCCGGCCTTCACGCTGCTATGGCGCGTAGTAGCTGGTGGTACATTGGGCGTACCTCTTTTCCTTTTCCCAGTACGTGGGCGTAAGCTGCTTTGCCTGAGAAATTCGTTGATCATTGTCGAAAGCACATCTATTATACGTTGGAGGGACTTGTCTGATTCCGGAAGTTCTTGCGTGTCATCGTCGATACTCCACTCATTGCAGCTGTCTATACGTATATAGAACATTGGCCATTTATTGACTGCTTTAGACGCAGGTTTGCTATGCATGAGTTGGCCATCAGCAGCCCGGACGGGCGCTTCAACTGCAGAGGAGCAGTTTTTCATAGACCCAAAGTCCGACAAGGCAAATGAGCGATTGACTTCCGCATAGATCAGATTCGCGTTGTTCCTCGCGAACACCGGGGTCGAGCCTAAAGAGACGAACTGGACCTTCTTCGTAGGACTAGGCGTCAAAGAGACTGCTGCATGAATCGTGAAGTCGGACACGCTGGCTGATACGGTATCCCATATGCCCGTATTCTGAGCCCCGACAAGCCCCGACTGTGCCAGGATGGAACGCAGTCGCTGTAGATCAGGCTCCCCGCCATATTGTCTTGCAAGTCCCTGGGGGCAAACTGTAATCTTTTTGTCTCTATGAGTGTCTAGGATCACTAGCTTAGCCACCCTGTCGTTTGCAACCATGAACGACACCAAAAAGTGCCTCAATTCATCCCACTGCCGCTCCAGCTCATCCGGTCTTTGAAGAGCCAAGGCTCGGCTCTTTACGCGCACGGGCATATTCCCGAACAGATCATTTACTGTGACAGAGGTGCCATGGGCACTAAACCTCAGCTCCTGATAAACTGGAGCTGGCATCAAACGAGCAACCGGCGTCGAGTGATGGAAAGTGACAGTATTAGTACTCGAATGGCGAACATAATGTGACGTGATCGTCAGCAGAGAAAGAGCAGCAAGCGAGGCGAGAAAAAGCCCTTTGCGTCCTTCAATAGTATGGTTCGAATGGTATTTTGAAGTATCTGCGTCACTTATGAGTAAAAGGTATTGTTATGTGACAGTTAAACTTACGGTGCGCTTTTCCCAATCCTCCGTCTGGTCCAAACTCCGCTGGAGGAATGCCATCTCCATCATCTTCGACTATACAGCCCCCGCGAACGAAGTCGACCGTGACATAGACTGTGCGGGCATTTGCATCTAATGCATTCTTGACTAGCTCTACAATGACTCCGTTCAAGTGTGTAATGGCAGTTGAGGATTTGAGCTTCGCCACTACATCAGGCGGTAGAGGCCGTATCTTGGGATCCCATGACGACATCACCAGGGAATTGGTTAATTAGTTTGTTGCCTGGTAAAGATTCTCTCCTCATGTTGCCATAATGTGGTGGCGCTCCGAGTTCGTTGACAGCGTTTGAATTCTGCCCTGTAGCTTTACCAGATAGGGTAGACAGGTCATCGAAAGCCCAAAACGCAAAGAAGACATTAAAAAATAGGTTACCTGATTATACTAATGATATAATAGTAAAGATTTCTGCCATGTTGACGGTGGATGAAGAGAGCGATTTAAGATGGAGCTCAGCAGGGGAAACCGCGGCCGATGATGTCTCATATCACGTGATGATAAGACAGCTGGCGATAAGCAATCGTGGAATACGTATAAACATTGGACTACTCCCTACGAGGCTTTCGAACAATTCGACTAATATTGCTATACTGCTGACAAGTAGAAATCCTCCAAATAAAGAGACAGTTGATGCGTGCCAGCTTAGCTCCCCCAGAGACGGAGTACATTGGGCTGTGTAGTATCTGGCATCCCCGATTGCGGATGTTTGAGCTTATCGTGGCTGGGTCGTTCTGTATACAATCTCCGGTTTCGAGGTGAAAACAAACAACTAACCCAAACCATTGAATGTCCCCTCAACTACTATGGTTCAGGGTGAAGCACATGGAGCAGATCAAGATTGCAGCATGCTTGCTGATAGGATGTAGTTCACGAGGGGAAAGCACTGGACACGAGGGCATAGCGTGGGATGGCATGCACCAGACTAAGAACTAAAGCGTGCGGCAGCGAGTCATAACTGGCACGGATCGACTAACATAATTCGCCGGGGATATCCATGTCAAGAGACCGAATAAGCGGGCTAGCGAGATACGCGCTATCGCATCACTGCAGTAGTTCCAGCCTCGGAAGCTTGAAATGGCGCTGGAGGCGGGATTCGTAACAGATCGACACAGATTCGTCAGGCTGAACCACTGACAAACCATGTCCAGAGGGCAGACATGATGACACGTCAGGAGAGAGGAGTGCAAGGCATGAATCTCATTCACTCAATTAGATAAATGAATCGGTTGGGGAGTGAAGAGCAGGCGAGAGAAAGGCGACATCCAGGCGCCGATCGTTTTTTGGGCCGACGGGCATCACGTGCAGCTCCTGAGGAACTCCTGACTTGGAAATGAAAGGGTGGATGGCCGACCTCTTCCTCCATCGCCAATCTCCCAATTTCTCGGTCTTCTTCTTCCTTCCGGACTCTTTTGTTTCTTGCTACCGTCCTTGTCGGTTTCTTTTGGGTTGAAGTTATTTGTTTTTTGCCCCCCCGTCACACCTCTCTTCTCTGTCTCTCCCTCCGCTACCCCTCCAGCCCTTTATATCCGTTTATTTGGTTCACGCATCTTCCCCTGCGGCTCTTATCTGATCGGCCAACCGTCTATCGCTATATCCCTGTGGACTCGCATCACTCGCTACGGGGAACGTGTCGAGAGTGGCGATCGCAAAGACACTCACTTCCGCTGGCTATCTCACCTGTGGATTGCTGGAAGGCCAGAATGGCCACGGCTGAAGGGCCCGCCAGGGCGCATGGTGAGTGGATTCAGCTCCCATCACCCTTGTCTCAGCATTTCTTTTTTATGGTGCTCATATACAAGGTATAGATCGCAATGGACGTCGTCACCCCTTTTCTAGCTGGATGAAGCGACTCGCCAGTCTCAAGCATTCTACCGATTCAAGTGCCAACCGTTGGTCCAACAAGCGTCATGCGATGCCCAAATACAAAAGCCGGAGTTCGAAGAACAACCCCTACCCGCTGTCGGGCACTGCCCACATGGTTGCCGACTATAATAGCGACTTCAACACTTCCGAGGCGAGTGCGGATTCCGGCCGGAGGTCCTGTTCGCAGAGCGAACCCTCCCTCGCATACTCCGGGTACGAGCAGCAGGTCCCAGCCACCAGTGCAAAGTCAACCGCGCCAACCATCTCAACCAACGGTGATACGGCCATCTCCGAAGCAGCATATTCCAAGGCAGGGACGATGGCTACAGTGGGTGGTGGCATCAGTTCGCAGGGGGGAGGCGAGGGAAGCACCTTCTCATCGCCCGCGCCATCGGTCCGATCTCTGACCACGACCTTAACCACCGTGCAATCGGCAGCACCTTCTGGCCAGCTCTACAATACGCAGAACCAGCACCACAGTCTGACCCATACCGGCTCACTACACAATCCAGCGACGCAACAGGTGCAATTTTCTCATCAGTTTCCCCCGTCGCCAGCCACGGCCGTGCCGCCCCACCTTGCCCCTCATGGTCACTCGGTCACCTATAGCACTGCGACAGCCAACAATATCTTGACCGACAACGCCTCTATTTTGACCCTCGCATCGTCGTCAAAAAGGCGCCGCAGAAACTCCCTCGACACAAATGCCTCTGTTCGCGCCCTGGCGCCGTCCTCGGTGTTTGGTGGCAGCCGTGAGAGTTTACCCTTGAGTGTGCTGAGTGGAAATGTCGGAGAGTCAGCAACCTCGTCTTCATTTAATCCACCGGGTGTACTCAACAGACCTAGCTTGGTGGGTCTCGCCAGTGTAGAGCGTGCCAGCGTCTACTCAGCATCCGGGGCCACACCTTTAGCAGGGAGCGGTGAGCGCGGCAGCTTTCACAAGACCGCCACTGCAGGAGACGGTGCCAGTGTCATCAGCGCGGCCCAATCGCACAGTCGCCACGACAGCAATGCAGCCAGCATCACTGGCACCGGTATGAGCAGTCCATGGTCTGGACCGTCAAGCAACCAACCAATGACGGGAAGAATCAGCCGTCGCAGCTCAGGATGGGGAGAGATCAACGGTGACGAGAGCGATGTAGAGAAGCTAGCCGAAGGGAGAGAGGAGGAGCCCGAAATCAAAGTTGAGGGTGTGACAGACCTGAAAAGAGAGTTATCTGGTGAGTAGGGTGATTGATTTGATCGGGTATCGAATCAACCCTCCGCAACCAGATTATCATTCTCAGGAAGAAAAGAGACTCTTTCAATCTCTTTCCTTCTTTACTACTGCAACGAAGTTACGCAAGATGAGATATTCCATGACAGATTGAGTGAACCCTGTTTCTGCTTTCATTTTTGACTTCTGCGTTCTTGTTCTCAAAGTAATGACTAATGCATCCACACACACACACACACACACACACACACACACACACACACGGAGCGCTTCGTTTCATCTCTCACCCACAGAGGAAACGAACCCCTCCTTCCACATACCCCTACAACCTATCTATCTTGCTATGAGGCGTTAAAACGGCGTTTGATATTCATTCTACATATTCCCTTTCCCGATTTGCACCCTCTTTACCCATCTGTACATCCCCTTCCTATACGATACACCCCGATCCGGTAGGACGGATAACAAGTGGAAATGGGCACGGTGCACACGGAACAGGACACTAGGGATTATCTATCTATCTGGGCGGGCGGACGGACGGCACGGCACGGTACGGTACGGTTTCTATTTGATATCCCCAATGGCTTTGCAAGCATGTATGGCACATTGCTCAATGTTATCTTTATATCTGATTCTATCCTGTCTTTCCTTTCTCTTCTTCTCTTGATGTCAATTTACCTTACCTTCTCTTTACTTACACGAATGTATTTGCTATGCTATCTTCCTCTTCTGTGTTTTGAGGCAAACGCTGTTAGCTTTCCATACATCGAAGTACACAATAGTACCTATAGTCGCGTTGAATCTTTGCGTTGGGGGTTTAGCTCTAAATAGACGAGGATATTAGTATGTTTAGTATTTCTGCAAATGGAGTGGAGACTACTTCTCTAATTAGTCTTTGAGGCAGTGCCACATCACTTGGGACTTGATAGTAGTGGGTGGGAGCCACAACTACTTAGTGGGCGGAGTATGCATAATGTACGGAAATGTGAAGATGTTATAACTGATTGTCAATGTTTCTTTTCATTGTCATGCTTTTTAGAAACAGGCGCTGTGTGTGGTATGCACAACAGCTTCCTGATCTGATCTGTTTAGATCGAAATTTGTACTTCGTAAACATCACTCATGCCACCGACGAGCCTAGGTATTTCCTTGCACCGCGACGCCATCCCCTCATGTACACCATTAGATATAAGAAAGAAGATAAAAAAAAAAATAGAAAGTGGGAAGTAAAAAAAAAAATGATGGGAGAATCTGCGACTCTGCATAAACATCATCTACAAAGCTCAAAGACCAAGCAAGAAAAAGGTAACACGAGGTTTCGAGTCTAGGCAGTGCCCACACCGATCTTGGACTCGGAACTACTCCGTTCGGTCTCCTTCTGCTGTTGAGAAGCCAGGAACTTCTTGAACATGGCGGCGATGTCGCTCTCCGACTTCTTGGCCTCTTCCGAGGTTTGACCGTTCTTCTCGGTGATAAGGTTCTTGAGCCATTGGTTTTCCAGCTCCAGAGCCGTGACGCGGGCCTCCAGCGCAGTGTTCTTCTCGGTGGTCTCCTTGACGGTCTTCTCGAGAGCTTGCTCACGCATCTTCTTCTTCACGCGGAAGCGGGCGCTCGCGGCGGTGTTGCGGCGACGCTTGTCTTCTTCAGCGGCAATGCGCGCGGCCTCCTCTACGCTCATAGCTGGGGTCTTCTGAGTGTTCTTGCGCTTAGGTCCTGATGCGGGGGCGGTGGTAGTCGGAGCCGGGGCGGGGGTGGCAGCCGCGGACGGCGGAGATGTGATCGAGGACTGCGGGGAGGGATGAGAAGCCGACTGGCTGGGAGCAGGGTTGATGTTAAGAGGACCGTTCGGCAGGGACGGAACTGCAGAGTACTGTGTGTTCTGGACGGGCAAAGGTTGGGTATTGATGGAGTTCATGGTAGAGGAAATGTCGTTGACGTTGCCGAAGCCTTCTAGAGAACGTTAGTCATGACTGTCATGATTGGATGAAGGCCCCTGATGAGGCAAGCAGAGTCGACAAAGGGGAAAGGGTCCCAAGCTGGGCGGATGGGGTATAAAGCACAGCATCACTGGGATCGACACGAGCCCAGATCATCTTGAATGTGCCACGAATGGTGTCTCTATGCAACCTCCCACGCTGCACGGGTCACGTGGTATGGCGCCATCACGAGAGCGATTGGCGTTATCCCAGGCCAAGGCAAGGCCGCTGCACGTTCTGCGATCGCGCACAGACAAAGAGGACCCCATGCAGCAGACGGGCCAATGAGCGGACGTGCAGATGAGGTGCGCGGCGGAAGGAGCGCTCGTGTCTCAGGGATATAGTAAAGCTTCTCCCGCTAGTACTAGTCCCTGAGAGGGTACGAGATTCGCACAATCAAAGCAAATTGGACCAAGGAAAAAAGAAAAAAAAAAGGCAGAGGAGGATGGCGGGGGGAAGGTATGGGAAGAGCACATTGACGAGCGTTGATGGTTGAAGCAACCGTTGAAGCTGTGCGCATGTACGAAGTATGCAGCTGCTTCAACAATGCCCCAACAGTTGTCCGTAGCCACCCAGCTTGGATCCAGGAGTTTCATGATGTGGTGTTTTCAAAGACAGCCTGCAGCAACTCACCTCCCAGAATGTTCAAAAAGTCCATGTCAGAACTGGCATCTTGCGCTGTTTCCTTCTTGACTGTGTTGTCCTCCAGCGAGTCAAAGTTGGGCAGATTGAGATCGCCGAACTTGTCGAAATCGAAGAATTCGGTATTGGTGAAGAGCGACAGTTCATCCTCGAGGTTGTATGAATCTTGATGTTGCTGCTGAAGGGCCTGATCGTATGGCGAAGGAATAGCATTCAAATCATCGAGATATTGGGAGAAGTTGGGGGCCCGACGGCCGTTGAATCCGGACATGATGTGTTTTTGAGGCTTTACGGGCCTCTTTTCCTGAGATCCGGCGATGAGAGTATTGAGAATTGTAGTCAAGTTTCGTAGTTTCTATATCGAAATCCCTCTCCACAGGGACACTTGGTCGTTCGATTAACACCAAGTATTCAAAAACCGTCCACGGTAACCCGTGCAGTGTATTCGTAGTGGGCGAACCAATCGATGGGGTCGCAATGCAGGTGATATGGGGTGTCGGCGGGATTTGAAGACAAGACAGGAGAAGACAAAAGGCGTGGGAAGAGTCGAGGAGAGAAGAGGGTCGAGTCAAGTTTGGAGTGTGGGACAGCCGGAGACGAAAAAGAGTGGGAATTTGCGGCGGGGCGGGGGAATTGGAGGGAAGCCGCTGATTATTAAGTTATCGGGGGGAAAATGCGGCACACTGGCGCCCGTTGAATAATCCCGGTGACTAACCGTCCCATTCATTCATTCCTGCTCTGCTCCGATCGCTACTGCATCATCTTGCGATCATTCACTCCAACAAGTATTGTCTTTCCAGATTATTTCTAGATCTAATCTCCCCATCCGCTGGGCCCCGGAATCTGGATATTCTACAGAGTTACTCCTTCTTCCCTTGAGGCACACAGTACCTGCGCTGGTTCACCCGGGAGCCGCGTGTTGCCACCGCACAATCACTCACTCACCACTACAGTAAATGCTTTTCCGCTGATGACATCGAAGCCGAGTCATCCTCTTTCCGGTGGCCGAAGTCGGGCTTGCGGAACCAAAGAATCCCACTGCCGCCGTCCTCGCCCGGCTTGGTTTTAGGGTCCAAACCGGTTGAACTTAGGCACGACCGTGGCCACTCTCATGAAGTCAGATTGAACAAATTCCTCGCACTGACTTATGGTCTACCAGACTTGCCTGACCGGGTGTCCGCTATGAATGCCCTGGTTGGCTCGAGGCCGATGGCTTGGCGACCTTAGTATTGTTTAGTATTATTGTTCTACTTCGGATTTTGCGCGGTTCGCGAGGAATTAATCTCCCTGCTTATAAACCACATCTCGTGTACCTGCTCGATCCAGTTAGCCAAGGGCCGACTACAAAAAAGGGTAAAATTATCCGCGAGCACAACCTCGCAACCTCCCCATTAATAATCGGGATCTGCATCGTTATCGTATGAGGCTATCCACAACCTCTCTTCTATCATCCTTGCAGATATGGTATGTTCATGCATCACACGATAGTCAACGAGTAAACAATATAACCCTGTAATCACGCTATTTCCGGCATCTATAGCGCTATTCAAACATCAAATCACTGAAAAGAGGAGTAGTGAATGACTGGAGATGATCGACTTGGAATGCGGGAGCCCCTGCGCTGCCAACCGCACTAAGATAAGACCACTCTTGCGATCCTATCTGCACGTGATGATGTTTGTTGGTGCCCCAGGAACCACACCGCAATCCCGGACCTTCGCGCCGCATTCATCCAATCTATCCAATCTCCAACTCAGTAAAGTAACCACTCAGCCCTACCAAGCTGACGAGTCGTTACTCTACGGACCTACTGAGTAGGTCTTCCATCAACTCCCACACGCAATGGCCCGCCTAAAGTCCGTCCGCGCGCCCACAACCGCCAGTTTACCCAGCAATCTCCGCATCCCCTCCTCCACGCCGTCCCTAGTCAAAGCTTTTGGCAAGCTCACCCGGCAGGCACTGCTGGATCTTGCGTTTCAATGGCTCGACGATCGCAACCTGCAGGCTTTCCCACCATATCTCCAAGAAGATGAAGACCAAAAAGAGGAGGAGGACGAGGGACTAAGTCCCTACCCGGCGGAGCGCACCGTCAACGACGTCCGAAACGCATACCAGGAACTGCAGCTGCGCAAAGGCGGCAAACGCGAAGTAATTGATCGCATCCTCGAAGGCGACTGGAGGCATGGCATTACCCTGCGACAACTAGCCATGGTCGACCTTCGCTACATCGACGACCACTCCTCCAGCCTCCGATGGACCGCACTGGAACTCTCCCGCATCGAAAGCCAACAACAACAACAACAACAACAACAACAACAGCATCAACAATCAGACTCCTCCGACCTATCCGCATGTCTCCCGCGCGTCCACGCCTCAACCTTCCTCAGCAAGCTCCAGCAACAGATCGCTCCGCTCGTAAAAGCGCACTACTATCTCTCCCGCTCGACCTCCCTCCCTCTCACCTTCCTCCGCATCTTCGTCACCAACTCCCCCTACCAACATCCGCGCCAGGCCGCCGAACTCCTCACCGACTCGTCGCGCGTCATCTACATCGCTTTCCCAGATAGCTGTCCCTACATATACACCTCCATTGCCTCCACCCCGGGCTCCTCAAAATCCAGCAGCGCATCCGCAACCCCCCACGCCATCGCAACCGACCCCCGCAGCCTGCAACGTCTCGTCCGCGACGCCCTCCCCAAGGCCCTCTCTCTCCCCCACCAGCGCTACACCCTCAAACCCACCTCCCTAACAGCAAAGAGTCTCCAAGCGCTCCTCTCCCTCCGCGGCCCCGGCCGCGCCAACCAATCCACCGGCGCATTCAGCATCTTCGCCGACGCCGCCCTCGAAGGAAGTCCCCTGGACCCTCGACCATCCAGCACCGTCACTCCAGAAGAACACATGAACCATCCATCGCACCACAAGGAGAACCAACACCCAGACGACGCAGACACTTCCACCTCTAAACCACCCAAACGATCCAACACCGACCACGAAGACCCCCACGTCTTCAAAAAACGAACCCTAACCGTACAATCCCGCTTCGGTACCTCCGCATCTCTATCCTCTGCTCCTCTCGACCGTCTCGATATCCGTCTCCTCGATCCCCCAACTCCCACATCCACAGCATCATCATCGTCATCATCATCAACACCGACCCTCTCCCTCACCTTCACCGGCACAGACGTAATCAGCGGATTCCGCAAACTAGCCGAAACCGGCATCATCAATGCAGAAAAGATGCCTTCGTGGATGACGGGCGAAGAAGCAGTGAGTGTAGCTGCTGTTCGTCGGGGTCGGCGGGTCGTGAAGGATAGTGGATGATTATGATGGCATACACGCATTTATTCATCATTCATTCGTCCTTTCATCCTCGGTAGTGGCTGTGTGGGTGTCACTCGCCCAGATACAGACACGTAGCTAGTGGTCTGGAGGGGCTGAATACCTACCTCTTATTCCCATGTAGTGGGAGTGTGCGCCCGGGGTTCAACTTATGGACATATTCGTCCACATGTCTGTGTGGCCAATACGGACTCCTGACTTAACGGTGTGGTTGGCTCGAGCATGGTATATAGTATCGTAGATTTTGGACACTCATCTGTTAAGATGGACTAGTTGTTTGCCGGCAATGGCTTGGCCGTTGTACTATCTAGCAAGAACTATTACTCAGGGTCGCTGGAAAGATCCTAGACAGTGGGGAGAGCTCCAGATCTATCTGCACATGAAGCGGAATCTATGTTTGATGCAATTGGCATCTCATTGTTGGATTGAGCTGAATGTGCTACCATAATTACCCATTTGGAAAGAATAATATTAATGTATTGATATGATCGAAGAGCATGCCCTGGGTATCAATCTTAGACTTGCGACGCTTATAACAACCCGAAAAACAATCAACCGTGCCAGACGGACAAACTTCATCATCAATATCGTCTTCCGTAGCCCCACGCACCTCTACCACGTCGCGAACCATAAGGATACGATTGCTGGCGCACCCAGTAAGGATGATATGTTGAACAATCTATGCCCAAACCCGTCAGTATCAGCCTACACGAAGGCAGCAAACAAATAAAAGTGAGAATCACAGGGTTGGTCTCATACCACGAATGCCAGACAGGCCAATCTGGTTAGCCACATTGACGTAGCCATCGGAATCTACACTGGCCCCTTTGACCAGTTCGTCAAGGTTCAAGTAAGCAGCATCTGCTTGCCAAGGAGAACGGCTACGTGAAAGTGTCAGCTATGCCTTTTACTCTTACCCTCGATGTGGAACATACCAATAGACGCATCTCACTCCTTGAGCTTGCTGAGTTGCGGCCCATTTCTGGAAACAAGTCTTGTGTATATTGTTTCCGCATGCTGCTCGGCACCAGACTATCTCTTCCTTGTCGGGTTCAAACTCCATGAAGCAGATCGGGCAGTCTCCTTCAACAGGCTTCCTGTTCCCATCTTTGTTCTCTTCAGCGTTGGACTGCTCGCGGCTGATGGGAGAGCCGTTGTACATCTCTCGAAGTTCCTATGGCATAACCCTTAGCAATGCACCCCCATTTGTTCACCACCCTGCAAACTTACCGACGACAAGAATGCTAACTGATACTGAAGATGCTGGGGCGCTCTAAGGGCCTTGACTAGAACTTCACAGGACAAAATAATCAGCAACTCGGACATTGCAGGAACATCGAGCAGAGAGACGAGTGTGCGGGGTAGTCTGTCAAAGCAAGGGACTCGACGTACCATAACAGATATGTTTGCATTGATTCCCTTTTCGAGCATCCGGACAGCTGCAGGTTGGCACCTTCCCTATCGTTGTCTTGTAGATGTTGCCAGTGGTGCCGACGATGTCGAAAGAGATCTCGGGCGCACCGTCGACTTCTGTGACAGCATGTCCGACAACAAACATCCTGTAGAAGGATACACATTAGCTTTCTAGACTATCCGAAGATGGGTACCGATCATACCGCTGGGATAGCGCACGCGCCGCTCTATCAAGGTATGAACTGGGAGGGTGGCTGCGGAATCTTCTTAGTCGGCGTTCAGGAGCTGGTTCATCATATGATGCTGGTGCTCGAGCTCTTTTTTTAGGCGGGCTAGGAGTTTCGCCAGTCAGATCGACCACCTCGACAGAATCTTTGGTATGAACATTTGGAGCTGATCGACGCGACTTCTTTGATGATGTGCTTGGTGTGACATTCTGATCATTCGCTTTTCGCTTTCTGGACGACGTGGGGGTGCTTGCCACAGCTCTTGAGCGTGTAGCCCGAGCGTCTGTCGGTGTGGAGGCGCTCGCATGCTGCTGACGAGAGGGGGTCGTACGTGTCACTCCCATCCTAAACCTAGAAGCTATTCTAGGCCAGAGGCTTGACAGAGTGAGAAAGGAGACGTAGCAAGACAAAGAACAGTCGCGGTGGCGGCTTCCGTAGTATGGAGTAAACGACCCCTAATCGATAAGCAATCAGATCAGATCATGACATAATCAGGCTAGTCCCAAAAGGAAATGACAGATCTGGGAGAAGCCGTGATCTATGACCTGCCTAGCATCAATATCTACTGAATATGCCCCATTGACGATCCTAGGGATGTTTCGGATGTCTCCATTTGCCTGATGGGAGTAAGAAATTGGAGCTATCAACTCAAGTCTGACCAGGGATGATCCAATAGTTCGTGAATACCGATGCGGAGGTTTGCTCGGTTTGCCCCATTTGGCTTGTTTGCCTGAAGCTAGTGCGGCGCTGATAACGACGGAATGACGCCGCGTCTGGCTCTGGTTCAACTCGCAATCACATCCCTCCATGGCACGCCCTCGCGCTCACTCGGGCGCTGATGCCCCTAAAGAGCCACATGCAGTCTCTCTCAAAGGTACGCTTTGCCGGACACCCTTATACTGCGGTACCTTGGCTGATCTTGTCCAGTATTGCGGTAAGCACCGAACATCATCCGACGGCTCCGCTCGTTCCTGACCGTGCAAGGCTATCGCGACCTTCCTTATCCTATCAGTATCCCCTCCCGGCGGCAGACACGAAGATCTCAAGCAAAGCATCACTCAGCTATCCCGCCGATAATGTTGACGACCAGTTCATCCTCACTCCCAATGTACGAAGACCGTCCAGGATGAAGTTGTGATCTTACTGACTGTCCGACAAGTTAACCCTACCGCCGGCTTTTGGGTCTGCATATGTGGGCGAGACATTTGCATGCACCCTCAGCGCGAACAATGAATTACCGGATGAGGAGACGTCGCGCGTCGTCACATCGGTTCGTATAGTTGCAGAGATGCAAACACCATCGCAGGTAGCGGCGTTAGACCTAGAACCGGCCGAAGACACGGCTTCGAAGGACGGGGTCCAGAAGGGCCATTCGCTACAGAAAATAGTACGGTTTGATCTCAAGGAGGAAGGGAATCACATCCTGGCGGTTAGCGTCAGCTACACGGAGACATTGATTGGGTCGGACGCGCAAGCAGCCAGCGGGCGCGTGAGAACTTTCCGCAAGCTCTATCAGTTCGTGGCACAGCCCTGTTTGAGTGTGCGAACCAAGTCTTCAGAGCTGGCGCCCCTGGAAGTCGAGAACAAGACACTTGGACCATATGGCAAGACCCGGCTGCTCCGGTTTGCTCTGGAAGCACAACTAGAGAATGTAGGCGATGGTCCTGTTGTGGTCAAGGTTCGTTCGAACACAAATCATAGCCAAAGTGCAGACACCTCCTGGGCGACATGCTAATCTTGACAGCAAACGAGGCTCAATCCGAAACCGCCATTCAAGGCCGTATCTCTCAATTGGGATCTACAAGGACCGGATCAAGCGGATCCGCGGCCACCGACTCTACATCCGCGGGATGTCTTGCAGGTTGCATTCCTTGTCGAGCAAGAAGAAGGCCAACAGGAAGGGCTGGAGACCCTGCAGAAGGACATGAAACGCGACGGACGCGCAGTGCTGGGCCAGCTGTCGATTGAGTGGAGAGGCGCGATGGGCGACAAAGGATTCCTAACGACGGGTAATTTGATGACGCGAAGACGGGCATGAGACAGACCAATCGGACGTAATATTTCCTGCTTACTGTCTCTCTGCTGTGTACCTGAACTGCAGCGGGCTTTTTCCTTGGCCTTTGGCCCCCTTGTGTAACAACAACACACACACATTCCAGACACTGCAGCCAGCGCAGATCCCGAAGAACCCCCAACTCTCTCTGTCTGTCTGTGTGTGTGGCAGTCTGAAGACTCACAAGCTCACCGGTGATTTTCCTCAACCAATCACCGACTCCACGGAGGCATGCATCAGCGCTGAAGATGAATGGATGAGACGGGAGCCAAGCGGATGTTGCACGGATGCGAACCTTCTCAGGGCAGCCAATCCCAATCCCCTAGCTTACGACACTTTGCGTGGTGGTTACACACGTTTAAACGGGGACAAAGAAAGCAACGAGACTAGCTACCAACGGCACATCATATGTTCGGGGGCTTATCTAGTACTAGTATAGGTAGGGCGTACAGAAGAAACAAAACCAAAAGAAGGTACCTTCCGACGGCGCCGCCCCCGTTAACGCCGACGGAAGCTTGGCCGTAACTCAGCCCATTCCATTTCTTTTCTATCTATAGATAGGTTCGTTTCTAACGAGGAAGGAGTCGTTGGATTATATCCCTCTATTTATTAATGGATGGATGAGCCACCAACAACCAGCCATGTGCTATTTGTGCAACACAGTCAGCACCGTAGTTGATCGTCAATCAGCCAACCCATCCAACCTCCTGTAACTCATCAAAAACTAGCTAAAACTACAGTAGGAAGAACTTGATCCTGAACCTAAAGATAACATGAGATTCTCCCCGGGCCAGGGGGGCCGAGACCTTACGTACCCATCCTTCCCATCCAACCGTCCCCACGGACCACCGGTCGGGGGGGAGGAAAAAGGGAAAGTCTACTCAGGTCTAGATAGGCCTAGGTGAACCTAAATTTACCTCAACTTGAAAACTATCAACCGTTGTGTCCACTCACTGCCCTGAAAATAAATAGAATCATAGAATAAAATAGAACCAGGCTGTTACTAACTAAGCTGAGTGGCAGGTTCACGGTTGGTTTGTTCGGCATTTGGGATGTTCTAGCCCGCAGACAAGAATAATACTCGACTGGACTGACTAGTACGGAGTTGGTTTGGGTTTTTCTTTCCTGGCCTTGCATGGATGGGATGCCGAATTGAACGAAGGGAAGAAAGAAAGAAAGAAATTAAGATTGAGAATTACTTGGTTATTGACAATGGCATTCATTCATTCGTTCGTTCATTAAACAGGGTTAAGTTATATTTAGTCTAAGATGTCTTATATTGTTGACTCACTGGAGTGTTTTCCTCATCTCCTGACAGTTCGTATCTGTATCTAGGACATGTCTCGAAACTCAGAGACATCATTGCTATAATAAGGGATATCCGGATACTTTATCCATTACCAATTATACAACATGATAGGCAGTATCGTTGAGTGGGTGAAGAGCAGATCTCGCTCACAGGTCCAGAACATGCGCCTATACCTGCTGTATACTACTACTATACGGTGTGCTTTGCTGCAGGTGCTGTGGGCGCTGTTCCCGTCCCAGCCAACTCAACTCACCACCGACTGGAATCCCCCCCCCCCCCCTTTCTTCAACTTTTTTTTTTCAGTTATCTATCAATTAATTATCTACTCTATCTGCAGAATAGCTTAATAGATAAAACAATGTTACTTTATCCCTCCAATTTCACTATGTAAAAAGTATTATGTAACTACAAGTTCGAAACAGTCTAGTCACCGCCCCTCCGGCCCTGTCAGAGGGCACGTCAGTCGAATGTCCACAGCGGGACGGTCCTAGATAGTAAGTATTATTGATAATAAATTAAGGTGGTTTTTAGTATGTAAGTAGTATTTTATCTAGATTTCTATCTATGGGTCCGTAGAAGAGGGTAGAATAGTCCAGGGAAAAGTTTAATAAATAGAAATGCGGAAAAGAGAAATTTCATGCAGTCGTCAATACTCTGTATTGTAGTAAGTAGTGTAGATAGTCTCCAGTATGTAAGTAGTAGATCGATCGGAATATCACCGACTTTTTTTTCTTTCTTGCTTTGGAGTCTACAAGGCAGGCGACGTATGGTTGAAGAAGGAAATGAAATAGAATAGGAAGGAAGAAAAACTTGAAGCAACCAACCAACTAACTAACTACTGTAAAATGCTTGGCTGGTTTGGGCTTGGTTTGTTTGGTCTGCTGCATCAATCATGCGGGTAAGCAAGTCCGGGGAAGTAGGGCTATGCAAGGAACCATTATTGGAACTTTCTCTTTGGTTTCTTTTTCTTTCTTTCTTCTCTTTCCTACTTTCCTTCTGAAGTGAAGATGGGCTGGGAAGGCTGAGATTGCTGCCCATATGTGGCTTAAGATGTATGCATGTATGATGAAAACCTACACATCGATTGCTGCAGGGGTTCGTCTACTTACTGTACTAGCCACCTGTTTTATGATTTTCTTTTTGCCTTTGGTGGTGGTGGTGGTGGTGGGTACATACTTTAGTGTTTGGTGGCGGCCTGAGAGGAATGAGCGAGTGGTGGCTTGTTTTCCCTACGTAGATAGTAGTTAGTCTACAGCACTTGTTTAGATAATATGCATGAGATGTTCTTCTTACGCTGAGCCCTATAAGCCGGAGTTAAGGGGTACTGGTTGGATTAAGTTTAAAATGGTGAAACTGGTTCATCAATCGCCGGTGTCTTATCTATTCTGTGACGGGGTGATGTTACTCCATTAGGTATGGTGCGTGAGTTTGAGAACGAATCCATGTGTCGACAATATAAGGATAGTGCTCATCGTAATAGGTTTTGATTAGAATTCATCATTTCTTGCTCAAAATTAATACCTGGTCTCGTCTCGGAGTGTCGACCGGCGAAATAGATTTTGGCACCGGATTATCGTCATTGCTTCGGCTCCACATGGATCATCAACGCAACCCCGGGCCATTTCTACTTGGAGTTCTCGGGTGATCGGGTGTAAAATTCCAAAGGATCGACCTCCTTTTTTATTTTTTTCTGTCTGAGGTAAATACGAGAAAATCTGCATCCAGAATCGTGCTGAAAATATTGTACCCACAAGATCAGTGAATTATCTTGTTAACAGAAACTGGGTTTGGTATGCACTTCGGTCCTTTGCAATTTATTCCCACAATACGGAAGTGAGAACCTCGGCTGTCTTGGTCCAGAGATTGTCGCAGCTTTTTCCCCCTTTCAGGAACCGCCCTCCAGTTTCAGCTCCAACATTTCTGGATCCATGGGATTCCAGGCTGCGATGCTGGTCCTCCAATCATCGTCTGTCATGGCGATCTCCGAACTCTGGTTGGCACTTACCTACCTATTCAGGAACTCCGATGTTGCTACCTTTAGTTTCCGTAGTACTTCCTTCGCTCCCCCAGGCACAGCTGGCAGGAGGCTGGCTGTGTGCGTGTGCGTATGGGTTTAGCCTTCGATTCACTGCATGGTCGAGCTTGTCGGTCGGATACACACGATGGGAGAAGCAATAACCTACTGTGTGTCCACTGAATGTATAATAGTAATAATAATAATCATAATAGTGGCCTCGAAATCCCGCATTTTCTTCGGAGCTGCTCCACATGGTCTCTCTCCTCTCAGCCCCAAAACTTTCAACCCTCGGCGGCCGTAACGATAAGAGAAGACGTAATGGTCTGTGTTTTCCATGGTTATCCCGAACGGTAGTTCTCTTGCAGAGATCCAACGAGGGCCATTCAGGAGCAAAGAGTCGCCGGTGAGCCAAGCCATTTGTGCGCGACGGGCTCCACTGAGGGCCCAGCGATTGATATGCTGCCGTACCTGTCCCTCACAGATGCGATGCGATGCAAGTCCCTCTGTGCTCCGGATGCCTAGCTGTACTCAGTGAGTTATGTACATACCATTGAGGAGTTATACCGAGTACCACAGTAGTCCTTGGTAGGAGGAGGCAGAGGCAGCTACACCCAAGCATTGGTCCGTCCTATCAGCTACCTTGCTTTTCTTTTCCTGTCCTGACCAGGCAGGCAAGCGGATCCAGAGATCCTCGTAACACAGCTGATGCCGGGAGTTGCTGCATGGCTGTGGATGGTGGTTGGCGGGACGCACCCAACCATGCACACTTGCAGTAGTTCATGGTCGCGCCCGGGACTTGGGGGGTGGAAAGGTTGTTGGTACCTGGGAACTGCGTCTGCCTACTAAATAGTAGGTGAGCGGCATTAGTACTCCGTTGTAGCAGGAGGATGTTCCACCGATTTGTTGTATTCCGGCTCCAATCTGGGCAGAGCTGCACGTTTATTTGTTATTTTCTTTTCTCTGGCTGCACATTGCTTTTGCCCTGCCTGTTTCTATCGCCTCTCCCTTTTCCGTCCATTTTCTTTGTTTGACATGAACCACATGTAGTTGATATTCCAACCATTTGGTGGGCTTTCTTTTCCTAACTTTTTTTATTTTTTTGTTTTCCCTTCTCAAATAGATGTGGAATATCCGGTCGACTCGTGGAGCATACTTCACTAGGTAAAAAGGAGGAAATTCAAGGAAGTGACTGAAGTGACTGAAGTGGTTGTAGTGCGTGTGCGCAGGAGAGCGGAGGGAACGGAGTAGACAGACAGTGTAGTAGTAGTAATAGTAGCAGTCGGACAGTAGCAGATCACCGTGAAGGGGAAGAGGAGGGAGGGAGGAGGGGGAAACACACGGGGGGTGCCGGGGCTGGATTGGACTTTTGGCAGCCGTTTCGCTTTCCCCCCCTTCCCAATGTCTACGCAACCATCCGTCTGCGTGGTGAGTCTAGTTCAAAAATAAAAAGTACATTATAAAATATTAAGGCAGAAGAAATTCACGACCATTGAAGTCAAGCAAGAATTAAGAAAAAAAAATAATTATCAGAAGTAAAAAAAAAAATAAAGAAGGTTAGGAGTCTTTCTTTAAAAATTAAGGAACCATAACTTAACTTTCTTCCCATTCCTACACAAAGAGACACCTGTCAAAGCATTCCTCCTTTTCCAGTTTGTCTCTCTTTTCCCTTTCCCTCTTGGCCCCCTCACCTGTCTCTCTCTCTCTTTCTCGCTCTCGCTCTTCTCCCTCCTCCGCTAACCGACACTCCTTTTTTTCTTGTCAATGCGTAGATCAACCTTTCAGATCGTCTCCTCTCTTCAGCATCTGCCTTCCTGCAATTCGTCCTTCTATTCCCCTCTTTGCATCTGCACCGACGCTTGAGAACCCCAGCCATCCTGCCGTTCGCGTTCGCGACAGCGTCGCATTTCTAGACTTATGTGTTCTAGTTGCTAATACTACTACTGTCTTCACCACCCGCCCGTGTTCTGCAACCCCCCTCCACCCCCCTAATTACTGAAAATTCTCCCCCTCCCTACTGTTGATGTTCCTGGGAACTTCAGAACATCTAGGAATTGCATTTACTCCATGCTGTGACGAACTCGACGAATTGTGACGATTGATGAGTACAACCCTGCGATCTCTCAGCGACGATTCGACGAGATGCCTTTCTCCTCCTCCTCCTCTTCCTCCTCTTCCCCGCCCGAAGCGTCCACCACCCCGCTCGCCGACTACTTCTGGATCGCTGGTGTGGATGGAACAGAGGTCTTGGAAACCTATCGCAGATTAGGGGATGAATACCGTGCCAACAATGCCACTTCTCCGGGCCCCGCCGTTACAGATACCATCGAGGAAGATGCCGATGCCGAGGAGGATTCTCATCTGGACAGTCTCTCCCGTCCCATTTCCATGGCCGGGAACCGGACCTCCTTCCAGCGCTTCTCCATGCGCTCGGTCGATCCCGAACCCAACGAGAATGGCACCCACAGCAACCGCAGTAGTATGACAATTAAGGGTGCCCCTTCTCCTCGGGGCTCCTCCTTCCTTGAAGACTTCGACTTTGACAAAGCGCTGTTCAAGTTCGCGTCGGAGAGGGAGTCATTTCTGTCGGATCTCAATGTCAGCGCGGGCGCAATCACCCCCTCGACTCGTCCCAGGTCCAGATTACGCACCCAGAAGATCGTCTCCGAGGAGACCCCACAGCCTGCGGGCCTGCTCCGGTCTAGTATAGGTAGTGTGCGGCGACACATGGCATTCCGCGATATGAACAGTATGAAGCGGCAACCCTCGATTGCTCGTCAAGGTGAGTAGAGATCCTGGTGGGATGAATGAAGGGGGAGGCCAACATAAGGGGATTCAGAGTATAGATGGCTAATGGTGGGCATTCACAGCATCCATCCGTACCTCGCGACGTCTGAGTAATTACAACTCGGTGATACCTGTTCCGCAACCGCTCGAAATCTCTCCCACTATGCACCCCCTAAAGCGGAGGTTCGAGCCCGTCCTTCTCGACCGGTATCCGACCAAAGGCATGTCCGACGAACTGAAGCTGCGAGGGAATTTCCCGGATTATGTGCCCATGTTTGCTTTTCCGAACGATATCAACATTGTTTCGTCGGATCAAAGGCCGCGATCCACCTGGCACGGCTTCGTCATGACCACTGATAACGGCTCACGCCTGCACGCCATCTGTCTCATCATCTGGATCCCACTCAACCAGCGAGCGGCCGAAGAACTGGAGAAGCGTTGCGAGGAGTGGCGGAAGGACAACATGACCGATGAAGAGAGGGAGCTGGCGGCGAGTCTTGGTGAGAGGCTGGCAAGTGAGCGAGCTAAACTCTCTAGGCTTCTCGCTCAGCTACCCACGGTGCCTTCAGGGTCAGAGTCACGAGAGCAACTGGAAGATGAGATCAGTGCGGTGGAAGAGAAGATCACTTTAATGACGGACCTCTTGCGTCCAGTCCGTCACGGTGCAGCATCGAAGATCGAGGGTTTGACCGATGGGGATACTGGATTTTGGATCCCCCGTGCCTACGGTATCCTAGGCCGAGAGGAAAACATGACCAGCTTCTGGAAGGAATGGCTGAAGGCTGTCGTTGTTCCAATGACGGACGGCAGCCTCCAGAGGATCCCCCCAAGCTCTCCACGTATGGGCATCTGGCAACCCCTCGAGCGATATGTGATGAACTTGTGTACAGAGGCGTTCAGTCCCAACTCGTCCAAGACTCAAGTGGAGCTTGCAGTGCGCGAGTTGCGTCTTTTTGCTCGCAAGGAGGCTGCCAATGAGCTTCCGGGCTCTCGGAACACCGACCTCTATGCGCTATTCCGGGCCCTGTCGTTACAGAACATCATGATCTTGTTCGAGTACGCTCTTACGGAGTCGCGTATTATTCTCTTGTCATCCCACACATCGATGCTGTACCTGGCGACCAAGGCCATCGTTGACCTGTTGTTCCCGCTGCAGTGGGCCGGTGTTCTTATCCCTATCCTGCCCGCACGACTCATCCAGGCTCTGGAAGCCCCTTGTCCCTACATTGTAGGTATTGAGCGTCGGTATGAAAAGGTCGAGCTGCCATCAGATGATTTTGTGTTGGTCGATTTGGATGCCGACCTTATCGAAAGCACTGTTCAACCAACGCCGCTCCCCCGTCATCAGCGCAGAAAGCTGCTTTCTTTACTCCAGCTAGCTGCTCCTCATCACAGTCGGTGTGGGGTACCCACTGGGCCACCGGCATATGCTGTGGAAACATACCCCTTTGATGCATTCATGTCGGAGAACTCCTCTATTTTCTCGTCCAAGGCCCAATCGACCCAGTTGGCGAAATACGTCAGTCTCAACTCGAGCGCTTTCGGAGCCACTTCTGTAACTCCGAATACCCAGCCCCCACTCATCTTTAACGCCTATCTGCATGCTCGCTATGAGCAGGCTGCTTCAAGGGGGTATTCGTCCAAGGGCCTAGACCGGCCGGGAACTGGCTCGACGCATAAGACCGGCTCCCCGCCCTCTCCCAGGGACATCTCACCCACATCCGGCCATTTCCCGTCGGTCTCCGGCTCCCGTGCTGATTCCGGTACGACGTTGCAGGCATCGCTGCGCGAGAAACGTTCGGGCCACTTTGATGCAGCATCTCGGCGTAGCTCGTCATTCGGGATGGACATGCGTACTGGTGTTCCACGCCGGCCCAGTGCTCCCTTCCTCGGCCACGCGCCCAATCTATCCGTTACTACATTGAACACCGACTATAACCCGGGTTCCACATATGCACCTTCGGTGTATGCACAGTCCACAGTCGCTGCGTCGACGATAGTCCCCCAGGCTTCCGCGCAGCCCATTCACAACGCAGAAGGTACCTGCTGGGTGGAGGGGCATTGCTTGCAAGTACAGCCGTGGGATGACAAAGCCACCTGTGCAATTTGTGATGACCAGGCGGAAGAAAACATGTACAAGTGTACCGCCTGTAAGACAGTGGTGCACAACCGATGCGCCCTCCAGATATGCATTGTGTGTCCGGCCGCCTTCCATCCTGAGCAAGTTCGCGCTGCGTTTGTTCGATGCTTTGCCAGCTTGTTTTACACATACAAGACGTTTCTTCAGCCCGCCACGGGTGACAAGAAGAAAGCCGGGTTGACATATAACTTCAACATGGAAGCCTTCATGAAGAGCCTGCCCGGAGAGCATGCGGAATATATTGCTGTCCTGCAACAAACCCAAGGTAAGTCACGGCCGCTAACGACCTGAGGGTTGCAAATCGTTGACGTTCACTAGGCTTTAACGAGTTTATCAGCGAACGGGAGAGAGCGAATCCCAAGTCTCGAGACCCTCGGATGGCCCTCTTTGATGAGATCATCCTGTCTAAGCGCAATCGGGGCCGATCCTCTATTTTCTCCGGTCGTAGTATGACGGACTTCCTCTCTGACACGTCAAACCACCTCTGGAGAACCGCGAGCGCCACATCCTTTGGAGGGGGTAGTAGGAGCCAGAACAGCATGTCCGGGGACTACAGCCGGCTAGTCTCACGAGGTTTGTGGCCCGGTATTTCCCTCTTTGTGTCTCGAGCTAACCAAGGCATCGAATGACAGCACCGGCGAAGCTTGATAATAGTCTGATGAAGGAACCCCGCATGATCCATGGGGCGCCTCGGGTTTCGAAGACGGCAAATACTGCACGCAGAAAGCCGCTTCCCAAGCTCATGAACGGGCTTGCCATATCACCCCCATAAAGGAGGGGAGATCACATTGGTGGAGTGCACATTCCGAAAGATCACTATTGGATATGGCACGGCCCCGTGTGACACCAAACCGCCACGTATCTCATGTCGTATCTCTTGGTCCGGACCTATTGCTATTGCATGCGAGTAGAGACAATGTGGATACGTGCGGTGGGTTACCATTACCGCATCTCACTTACGAGTGGCCCGCGACCGTGTTTGAAACACTCGTCGCACCGTGCCTCAGATCCCGGCGCAACATGACCCCTGAATTGCAGCATTTGGTCTGCAAGCCAGGCTTAATGCTTACTAAAAATCAAACGTCTGACTGAGGGTCATGGATCGAAGGCCTCGGGTGATCTATAGCTTCACGTGAAGGGGGCCTAGTCAACCGCTCATCTTGAAGCAGGATCGCCCGGGAATCATTGGATACCATGACGGACCTCAGTTTGCGACGAGCATAATAATGATTGTCTGGCATGCCAGTCACCCGGCTTTGCAGTCGCCAGAGTACATACATCCTATGCATCCATGTACACATAACTACCACATACCTCCCCCATACATATGTTGCACTGAACCCATTTGCCTGAACATGAACGAGCATCCACCGATGCTGGAACAGGTATGCATTTCTTACCTGGTGTCATTATTCGAACTTCTTTGTTGTTTTCATTTCGAAGAGCATGTTGGTTTTTGTTTCTTTCCAATACCCCCTTTTGATTGGCTGGTATTTCTTTTTAATCTATTCGAGTGCCTTTCTGGACTATTGGTGGATTCAGCCGTCATGTTACATAAGGATTCTTCTGCACCAATTGATCACTTGCCACCTGTGGTACACCGATATGCATTGAAGTATTGATGAAGTACTTTGTAGAGCCGGGCATCGGCCCTGGCTGTAAGGCTGATTGTCCTGGCCAGCTGGCCGGAACATCCGGGGAGTTAGGTCAGCTATGATGCAGCAGGGAGGGTGGAGATGGCGGCCGGTTTTAATGAACGATGCAACGTCAATTGGCCTACGGGGTACGACGCCGGGCTACTCCCCTGCCAGGGAGTTGCGGCAGTGGGCATGTCCGAACCAACAAGAAGAGGTGTAGATAACGCTATGGGAGGGGTTTTTTCCTCGTATCATGGGAGCTTGAGGGGCGCTGGCTGGTGAGACGGATCATCCTGATAGACGCAACCGTGTCCAATAGATGGAGATGCTGGGATGCTTGGATGCTGCCTGGATCTGGGGGTGAGGGAACCGATCGACAGCGAGTGAGATATCGTTGGTTCGATGTAAATGGGGGGTGTACGGAGTAGATGGACTGTTGTCGAAGTTAATCTAGAATCTTGTCTACCAGACAGACCCTGCACAGGAATTTGAGAAATGAGGATGGAAGAGGACTTACAGTAAGTATCTACTTTACTCCCGTAGTAATACAATGGAGTAGAGTCGCATTGTCTGTCGGAAGAATAGCAAACCATCAGGTGAGCTCTTGAGGCTGGGGAAGCCGGGAGAGGATGAAGTCCCGCCCGTGATTGGCGGAGAAATGGCCTCCGCCCCCCCGGTAGGCGGAGTTGGGATTCCGGGGAAATTCCTCGATTCTTTTCTCCATCGCCAATGATCCATGCCTTCTCGACGACTAGTCTCCAGCTCCAATTCTCCAAGTCTCTGCTCCCTACCGCTCTCTCCCTCATCTTGATCTGCTCCCTTTATCGGCTGAATCCCTTCTCGTCTCGTCCCGAGCAGATGTCGTTCCTTCTCTCAAGATCCTCTCTTCCTTGTCTCTTGCTTCCCCCCTCTCCCACGCTGTCTTGAATCTCTGTGTTGATCGGCGTGAAGCCCCCCTAAACCATCTGCTGCATTTTGACTCCGACATTCCGGCTATTAAACGCTAAACCCCGACGCCTGCCTGTCTTTCCGCCGGCTCTCCGTTCTTAGTAGTACTTGACTCTTCCTCCTTGTCTTGCTGGGCTTGGGGTTGTTTGTCGGTGTACTCGGCTCTGGTGCAGATATCACTTTCCCGAGTTTGGTTGGGGTTCCATCAATGCCACATACAGTACATACATACTACATTTATATCCGATCTTGACTTACTACTGCTGTTTCTGCTTCTACTACCATATACTACTTTACGAACCGCTGTTGATCTTTGTTCCGTGATCTCTTCCTCCGCGATCGACGGGAGAGTCAACGTGACGTATCTTTTTTCTTTCGACATCTAACGGTCGCATTCAAGTATGAGAACGAGCAGTATACTGCGTATGCAATGAGATGATGCAGACAGCCCTTCATCAGCCCATGGGGATGACACTCTTGGCTGATGCCGCTACTTCGTCCCTCACGGCTCTCAAAGGCTCTACCACATCTTCTGCTTTAACTTCGTTAACCGTGCCTCCGGAGCCTGCACGGACGGTCGTCACAGTCTACACTCCGGGGCAGGAGGCCATCGTTCAACTGGTCGCGGATATCCTCGGCAAGCCATGGACCACCGAAACCTCGCTGTCTACGTTTGGCCGGGGCAGCAATGCTGTCGTCGTGGGGTTTCTCGCCACGGAAGATTCCATTCCAAGCTTACAAGTGGATGACCAGACGGCCTGTGTTCTGGTCAACACGCATTGTGTCGACGATGGATCGTTTCCGGATGACGCACTCACCGAGCGCTGCCATTATGAGTTCCTGTACTCTTTGCGCAGTCCTTTCTTTCGCCGCGACCTGACGCGCTTCTTGTCGCTGATCCTGGGCCAGACTCGGCCGCATGAGGACCTGAAGACCAAGAACCGGACCAACTTCATCTCCACGACGTTTCCGGATGTGCATGCGGCCCTGCCAAACCTCGACATTCTCTCTGTGGGGTCGGATGCTGTTGAAATCCGCGTGGATCTGCTGGTCGATCCTGAACCACCCCAGGGGGCTGAGACATCCGTGCCGAGCCTTCGCTACGTAGGGCAGCAATTGATGTTGCTTCGGCAGCATACGGAGTTGCCCATTATTTTCACCACCCGGTGCACCAAGGAGAACGGCAAGTTTCCGATGGATGACCCGATGCTTTTCTACAAATATCTCCGGCGGGCGATTCAGTGGGGAGTGGAGTACATTGATGTGGAGCTGTGGTTGCCCGAAGACATCCGGAGACGGCTGTCAGAGGTCAAAGGAAATAGCATCATCATGTCTGCGTTCCACGACTTCTCGGGGGCGTGGAAGTGGACGTCGCCAGAGGCACCCCGGATCTTTGCGGAAAGCGCCAAGTACGCGGACATTGTCAAGATGATCGCCATGGTGACTACGATCGAGGCCAACTACGAACTGGAGTACTTCCGATCGACGATCAAGGGGACCTACGGGCCCTACCCACTCCTCTCAGCGGTCAACATGGGTCAACTGGGGCAGCTTTCGCGTGCGCTCAACACGGTGTTTTCGCCCATCACGCATCCGCTACTGCCGATGATTGCCGCGCCCGGCCAGCTGACCGCCGCCGAGATCAACGAGGCCCTCCACATCATGGGACAGCTTCCCAAGCGGGATTTGTACGCCATTGGATCCTTCCGATCCACGCCGCAATCGATGTTCATGGAGAAATGCTTCAATGAGCTCAGTCTGCCGCACACGCTGACCTCGATCGACCGGGGTCCCTCGGGCTCGATCGAGCGGGTGATCACGCAGCCGAGCTTTGGGGGAGCCTCCGTTCACCCGCCAATCACCAGTGGCACGAGCAGTATCCCAGCCATCAGCGAAGCAGCGCAAGCGATCGGGCTGGTGGATACTATCGTGGCGATGCGGGGCTCTGGGCGGCCACAGCAGGCACCATCGCCGCAACAGCAGTTGATGGGGGAGAATGCGACGTGGAAGGGAATTCGGGCGACGTTGACACGGGACTATGTGCCGTCGGCGTACCGGGGACGAGCAGCCATCATCTTAGCGGGGAGCGAGAGCGAAGCATCGGCGACGATCTTTGCGTTGCGCAGTCTGGGAGTGGGCGCGATCCACACGGTCGGGTTTCGGGCGCGCGGCCCGCTGGCGGAGGGACTGGAGCCGTTTACGTCGATCCAATCGGTGAAGATGGTGGAGCAGCCGTTTGTGATGGTGTCGGCGCTGCCCCCAGAGAAGTCACTGCTGGTGCAGCCGTTGCTGCGGCACTACCGGACGAGTGGACGCACGTCGCCGCCGTCGACTCGGGGGAAAGTGTACCTGGACTTGACGCGGGGAGAGCGCACGGGGGATCCCGTGGGGGTTGCAGTGCGAGCAGGCTGGACGGCGTATGGGATTGAAGATGTCGATGCATGGACGACGGTGGAGACGCTGCGACTGCTGGTGGGACAGAATGTACCGTTTGATTTTGTACGTATGGCATCGGGACGGGTGTTTTAGGATTTTTCTTATATAGTATAGAATTGAAGCCGTATGATGAAATAAATGAACTGTATCCACTCTTGGGTAGTGGTTTGCTGCTGCTGCTGCTGCTGCTGCTGCTGCTGCTTTACAACTAATGGTGTGATGAAGGCAGTGTGATGATCCAACAGACGATGGATATTAAAAGCAATCACGGCAACTGGAAATAAATTAAATACTAGCAGTGCCGGGCCGGGGCATATGCCGGCTGAAGAATAGCTTCTCTTGCTAGACTGGAATAGTCTGCAGGGTGATAGATTGCGATCGACGGTTTCTCACGAGATGTTCATCTGTTCACCATATGTTCTGGCACTATTCTGGATAGTGACAGTTTTGTTTGTAAAACTGCTGGATTGCGGACGAGAATCCGTGCTGGAAGCGGGAAAATCCCGAGGATATTTAACCGACAGAGTTGGGGTGTTGCTTTCATGCATGAATTTAACATTCAGCCAACCCAAGTCCCTCACTAATAATATCACTAGTTGACCAACCCTCAACTGATTCAGTTACGACGACTACTGACTGGCACTCTTTACTAACTGCAACTAAATGAACCCCCCGCATTCGCACTGTCTAACCACATCCATCTTAGTCCACCGGCTTCTCCACGTTTGCTTTTGGTTTTAAATCCGGGGTCACTTCGCTTTTCTCTTTTCCCTCACTTTTCTCTCTCTCCCTCTTCCTCTTCGGCTTCTGCTTCTATTCTCTCTGCACTTCATCCTCTATTCGCTTCCCACATCCACACCCCCCAACAACGCCAGCTACACCAGCTACACCAACTCCATCCTCTCCATCCTCTCCATCCCTCCTATGCACAGGCAATGCCATGTCCCGCCCCCAGGTCAGCATCGACCGTCTCACTCCCCGTCGCGTCCATGCCGAACCCCGCGAATCAATGAACTGCAAGTCTTGCAGAAAACGAAAGGTAACCATAACTATTATATTTCGTGAGATCATCTACGATTTGATCTGACACATGAGTGCCAGATCAAATGTAATCGGTTACGTCCCAGCTGTGAGGCCTGCAAGGTCTTCCAGTGTCCATGCATCTATGGTCTGGTCCCTCTTGTCTGCCACTCCAACCCCGAACTTTTACTCATTCTGCTAGACGCCGTTCCCAAAAAGCGGGGACCCAAAACCGATGTCCTGGAGGCCCTGTTGAAGCGTGTCGACGGGCTGGAAAAACGCCTCCAGGAAGACTCGCCGATTTCCCCTACCTCGGCTACTTCTCCCGTCAAATCCATGGACCAGCAACTGCTGCCATCCGCCTCGACGCCATTCCAGTTCCCCCCGGCGCCTCATGGCTTTCCCCCTCCCCCGCAATCGCAGCCGCCGCCGCAGCAACACCGGCTGCCGGATGCCATGTTGGACACCTATTTTGCTCGCCTACATGGGAAGCCCTATTGGATTCTGGACGAAACGGCGACCCGTCAACGACATCAGCATGGACAATTGCCGGTGCATTTGTCTATGGCCATTTATGCCCTAACTCTGAGGTATTAATGTTCCATCGCCTGCAAGAATCTGGCTGATCTTGTAGATATACGACGCCGAATCCACCGCAAGGGAGCCTGGAGTATGCTCGTCAGGCAAGACGGCTGGTCGATATTGACAACCCGTCTATCGAAGGGACCCAGTCTCTGCTATTGCTCTGCCATACCTTTTTCGCCTATGGGTGTGGCAAAACAGCCTATATGGTATTAGGTATGTGCGACGCCAACTGACGCAGACTGGTACTGACTGCTCAGCCAATGCGGTGTCCATGACCCTGGCGTTGGACTTGTATCGAGAAGCACCCGCAGCGCTGCCCGCGGCAGAACGCGAGATGCGACGGCGTCTATTCTGGACCGTCTACGTGATGGATCGCTTTCTCACCTGTGGCTCCAAGCGACCGTGTCTTATTGCCGACCATTCCATCGTCCTGCGTCTTCCGGGCAGCGGGTCTGAAACGGGCGAATGGTTTAATCCGGTCGGCCCTAATATCCACTACTCCCCGGATCGTCGCAAAGGCCCTGGTGGCCCGGCCCTGTTGGTCGACATTACGCGCATTTTGGGCGTCACGCATCGCTACCTCGCCGCAGGAGGCGTCAAAGGCGACTCACACTTTCCCTGGCACGCCCTCTCCAATCTGTCCAAGATCCGCCAGGAACTCGACCTCTGGGCCGCCGGCACACAGGATTTGTTTGCATCGATCGAGACGCTGTTCGGCCATCCAGAGAGCACGCTGCTGCTCCTGAGCAAGCTTATCTACCACCTCGTGCACTGTCTGCTCTATCGGCCCTTCCTCCCCATCGACCTGGTCGAGCTGCGCGGCACGGGACAGCATCAGTCGTGGCAGATCGAGGCAACGACGCTCTGCTTTTCGCATGCCAACGCCATCGCCGAGCTGGTGGAGCTGGCCCGACACGCGCCACGCATCGAGTGGCCCGCCCTGGTGGCATACTGCGTGTGCACGGCTGGCACCGTACACGTACACGGAGTCCATTACCACGGGCGCGAGGGCGAAGTGTTTGCGTCGAGTGCAGACTTTCTCGCACGCGAGATGCACCAGCTGTCGTGGCTGCGGCAGTACTGGGCGGGGGTGCAGCACCAGCGGGAGATGCTGCAAAGTATTTCAGCGTGCCATGCCGAGCTGGTACGGACAATGGCGGCGCGACCGGTGCGGTTTGCCCCGGTGTTCCACCTCGAGGACTTCCTGGACCGGTATCCGGGGCTGGCCGTGGATGGGGCGCATTTGCGCTTAGTGGACGGAGACGAACCGTAAGCCACCACCTATCCATTCAACTTAACGATACTAATTTGTGTAGGTTACCACTGGACCGACCCGATTTCAACAGACTCATGTACCCTCCCGCATCGACTCTACCCTCCCAAGGCCGAGGATCCATCAGCTTCCAGCCATCGCCGACATGGCCACAACCCGAGCTCGCTCTACCCGAAAGCAGTCTAGGCTTCTCACCAGGGGTGAGCAACTCCCCTGCACCATTCCTCTCCGACCCTTTCACCGCACCAACACCGCCCGCACAGCCCCAGTACGCGACGTTTCCGTTTGAAGCCACGCCGGGCGGACCGGCACTGACGCCGGACGCCCCGTCACAAGGCAGCTCCAGCGCCACCGCAACAGGCACAGCTGCAGGAGCAGCAACAGGAACGGGCGAAGGAGAAAAAGACCCGTTTCTGAGTCTGCTGGAGCAGCTGGCAGAAAACGAGCATTCGCAGGGCGGACCCAGCGAGCTGGACTTTTTCCTGGGCGAGGGGCTAGATATGGTGATGCCCGAGGTGGAGGTGGAGAATCCTTGAGAAGCGGAATATACGAGCCATAATCTAAGGCTTAGGGATAAGTGAATAGTGGAGCGATGATACCCTGTACATTATAATCGATACCAGCATAGTATATACGTGAAAGTAGCATATGATGGTATATATAGTTAGGCCACGAAATGATCACATGACATGACATCATGACAACCCTCCATCTAACTTTTAAACATATACACGGTTCACATGATACATAAACATCTCCACCTGAAACAGACATAATCACAATGTCCTCCCTACTACCATAGAGTGTATGGTAGCGAGAGAGAGAGAAAGAGAGAGAAAAGGAATGGACCATAAGATCGACACCCTCGCCACCCTCCACAACTGGACCCAAGGCACCCCATCCCTCTACCCTTTCACGGGCATCATCCAACTCTGTCTGGCGGAGGAGATCTCCGTTGCCACGGCAGTAGAAGAAATAAGTGCATTTATTAACGGAAAGGGAGAAGGAATAGGTATACTCCTATCCTATCATATCATATTACATATATCATATACACCGTGATGCTAATAAAATACATACAGATGAATGCGTCCACGACCTATGGGCAAGTATTCTACACACGGGGAGATGTTTACCCTCCACAAACATCATCTCAGTTAATGCTGATACCACCACCACCACCACCATCCCCAACGGCAATGGCAGCAACGCAAAGAAAGAAACCATCGACACCGACATCTCAACCCACCAAACACCCACCCCGCCACAAAAGAAACTAATCGCCTTGATGCACGCGATCAAAACTATGCCCGATGTGCATGTGCATATCCGTACGCGTGCGCAGTCAAGGTACTCTTGGTCTTCTTCTTCGCAGATGTATTCTGCAAATAGGGATAGATATTCTTTCTACAGTAATACCAATGAGAATATTACTGAGAAGAATGAGAATGAACCTACAAATGAAGAGAACAATGGAAAGGAAGATGAAGGAGAATCCACCGAAGAAGAAGAACTCTACCACTCGTCTTTGGGTGTATATCTCGATGGGACGGTGGGTGGATCGCCTTATCTTCGCCATTTACATGATTCGGTGTCTACACCGGCTCCTTCTACACCAGCTCCTCCCCTACCTACTCCTGTATCTTCAGAACCAAAGAAGAACACCAACGAACCCAATCCCCAACCTCATGAAAAGAATCGACCCAAACCACCCAAACTCCCCTCCTCAGCATCTGACACTACCATCCGGCCTACGAAAACCAAGTCTCTAGTATGGGCCTATCTACCGCAATTCAAAGACGTGGTGGAGTCTATATTCCATGATTGTGGGAAAACACTTGGTGCCGACATTACTCCTTTCCCACATATACAACCTTATCATCAACCTCCTCTTCAAAAAATACATCCAAAGGATCAACAGGTCCTCTACCAAGCATGGATCAACTTCATCACCTTCCTCGCATTCCTCGCCAGGGAAGGAGTATTGCGGTCTCCTGATGATCTCAATTCAGGGTATGAGTATGGGTTCGATGAGTTTAATTGGGGATTCAATGATAATAATAATCACAATAATGAAGAGGATGGAGTCGGGTCATGGATCGACGATCTGGCGATTTCTTGTCTTCGGGTACTTAACAACAACAACAACAACAATCCCCAACATCAGAATCATCAAGATGAGAGTCGAGATCAAGACCACAATATCCTGCAAAGAAATACCCAAATCCTCACAGCAACGACCCTCGCCCTCCTCTACGGCGAACATCTCTGGCGGAGACGGGGCGATCGGTCCCCTCCCTCACCTCCTACCCATCAACAACAACAACAACAACAACAACAAGAGAAAATACAAGAAAAAGAAAAGAAAGAAGAAGAGAAGGAAAACTACATCGTAGCAGGCCTGACTCTCGACGAATTCGAATCAGGGTCTGTATCAGCGTCTACATCCACCTCTGCAGCTAATTCTCCGCCTTTGGCTTCATCACCACAGCCACAGAATACTGAGGATGTGAGTGAGGAGGGTACGGGGAGGTTCATTACGAGGAAGATGTGGGAATCGTGGATTCGGAGGTTCAATGAGCTTGCTGGGGATTTGGGGATGGAGATGGGGTTGTGGGATGAGACGAGGGAGGGGGCGTGGTTGGCGGGGGAGGAGTTGAGGAGGGTTTGTTCTGTTCATCATGATCATGATCATAATAGTAGTCATGGGAATGATAAGTAGTGATGGTTGCATTGATAGGGGGTATATGTATATAGCGTATGTCGGAGGAGTGTATATAATCATGAGGAGATGTCTGCAGTAATAGTATAGATCACATCTATTAACATTAATGTAATGTAGATATGAACAAGAATGTATGTATTCAATGCTGTACTGTACTGTATGTATGTATGTATGCTCTAGCATTTAAGTGGGTGGGTGGTTATGAAAACTTCACTCCCTTGCTCGGATCCCACTGCCCCCCAAATCGTATCCCCATCTCCGGTGACCAGATCCCCGGCGTCATCGGTGGCCGCGCATTCGCCCGTGTAGGCTGCGGTGCCGTCATGGGCTCTGGTCTGGGTGCTGCCTGCGGTGCTGCATTGTACGCTGGCTGCTGAATCTGCGCCGGAGGAGCATTATAAGATGGCTGCGGCTGAGGCTGAGGCTGCGGCTGCGGTTGCAGCTGTGGCTGCCGCGAGATATTCAGCGACGCCATGGCGGCAGCACTCGAAATGTCCCTATCTCAGTTAGTTAACCCGAACTCTAGCATCAGTCGTGTAGCTTACCCCTCTAGCTGGCTGGCCTCCATTCGCCGCTTATGCACAAACGCCTTGCTGTCGTCGCGGAACCGGCCAACAATCTTGGCCAGATCGTTGTAGAACTTTCGTCCCACTTCAATGTTCGACAGGATCTCCTTGTACTTCAGATACCCGTTCTCCAGCTCCTGCAATGCCCGCTCGCGCTCCTTGGTCGATGCGTCGCCGGTATGTGCCCGTGTAAACGCCCGGTTGGCTTCCTGCACCCGTGTCGCGATCTCGTCTTGGTCTTGCTGCTCCCGAGTGACCATGTCCAGGTCTGTGTCATACAAATGCAGCTGCTCCTCGAAGAGATCCTCGAACTGGCTGGCTTGGATCGCCTGCATGGGGAACTCGCGCTCCAACCGTGCCGTCTCTTTAATGAGTGCTTGGCCTACTTCTGTTAGCTCATCCTACTACATTTGCAAGTCACTTACTGATATCGTCTGCCCGCGCCTTGTCCTTCAGTGCCTGTGCTTGCCGTTTCCGCCGGCTTTCCAGACGGCTCACCTCGCTCATACATCCCCGCAGTCGGCTGACCTCGCGCTCGACCTCTGGCGGCAAAGCAGCCCACCGGCTACTAGGGACGTACATCTCCAGATCACGGTTCGTGCCTGTCAACACCCGGAACACTGCCGCGGAGTCTTTCAGCTTCTGCTCAACCAGGTTATCACTGCTCTGGGCCGACGTAAAGTATCCCTCGATTTCGCGCGACGTCGTGTACAACTTTGGCGCAGCCTCCTCTGACGAAGCCCGAGACCAGCGATCGGTTCCGTATTTTCGGCGCGAAGCATCGTCCTCGGCTTTTTCAGCGGCCAGAAGCTCCACGCCCTCGTTGTATACAGCCCTGTCGTTGGCCTTGACCTTCGCTGTGTCCTCGAGCGACTTCCGCAGCCGGTTCAGTCCGTCCTGTTGGCGCATCTCCTCTGCGTGCGATACAAGCGTCGGCGGAAGTCCAAGCGGCTTCTCCAGAGCCTGCAGCGAGCCTGGAAGATTCAAAGACGACAATAGACTAACCGGTTAGCCCTGCCTAGCATTAGAATGGGTCAACTTACTCCCTAAGCTTATCCGTCATATTCTCCAGTTCCCCAATAATGTTCTCATTGATGAGTCGATCCCTACGGTCCGAGTAGATGCTAGCGGCAATGTGCACAGCATATGGCACCAGCTTAGAGAACAGCGGCTGCCCCAGAGGCCCGTTCTCGCCCAGCATGGAAATAGCATCGGTCACCTGGGACGGCGCCTTCGCAGCAACCATGGATGCCCGGTCAATGAGCTTGAGCTCCGACTTGGGCGGCACCGGATTGAGGTAAATGATATCATTATCCTTCTCAGCACGCTTCAAGTCCTCAGTCACCCTTGTCTTCAGCCCCTGGAGATCACCCAGCACAGTCCGGTTAATCCAGCGCGACTCCTTCAACGCTTCATTGACGCACGCCTCGCTGTCCCTCAGACGAGCGACCTCCTCGCCGTATTTGCGCTTTTCCAAGCAATCCAGAGACTGCCGGTACTGCGCAGCAGCAGCGAAGTGATGATGCTTAGCCGTCATGTGGTGAATCCACTCAGGACTAATAGCATTCGACTTGACTGCATGATCTCCGGCCTCTGCATAAAAGTCCGAGACCTTGGCCGCCAACCGAGCAATCGACGCGTCCTTCAGCCCGTCCTTGACAGCCTTCTGCCAGAAACATTCCTGAGCCTGCGCCAAAAGCAGCTGCTCCAAACTCTGCAGCGTCATATCATCCATATCCTCAGGAGGCGACGTCCGCAAATCGGGAAGGATATCCGATCGCAGGTGAGTCAGAACCCCAGCCGCCTGGCAGAAGTAATTGCATGCCTGCTTGAGGCCGTCCGATGTCGTGCGGTTCACGGAGAATGCCAGCTGCGAGTACAGCGCGGCCAGGTTAAAGATGACGTTCGCGAGCTCGAACCGGATATTATTCTGCGAAACTGAGACCGGTCAGCCACCATCACCTCCCAATCCCTGATTAATATCACCTACTCGGTCGAGACGTGTTGAATCCAAACGCAGGATACCATGGAAACTCCACCCCAACCTGCACACGTTAGCCTTATCCCTCTGCATCATTCGATCTACTCACATCCACCGGGAATTTCCCACCCAGCCATTTCAGCTGCGCCGCATAGGTGACCAGCCGACTGACTCCGCTCACATGAGGCTCCTGGACATTGATCGCTTCGTTTCGCAGTCGCTCGATGATCAACAGATCCTCGGCGAACATGTCCGGGCGTTGGTCATATTTGGAGGAGATGTATTGCGTGATGGCATTCGACAGCGAGACGGAGTGCGACCGCCGAAACGGGACCTGGAGGATATTACTGGAGAGAGTTAGCAGAATTCATCATCTAGATTATAGCAGCAGCACGTACGACGCCATCGTGTCAGTCGAGAGAGCATAGACATGCAGCCAGATCTCCGGAAGTTTTGTTGACGGAAAAGCCCAACCCCACCCGGGCAACGCATGACGTTGTGGGTGCCTGAGGCAGAAAGTACGTTACACTCCGAGTTGGTAGCAGTTGCCACAATACACTATGTATTTACGCCTCTACTGCAGCGATGTACAGAATCAATTTGTATTTGCTGGTAATATGTACTATTTAGTTCCAGACGTTGAGCAATATCCTTCCTATCCACCAATGCTCAACTCATATCCTGTTTAATGAGCCAGCTCATCCGCTCTGCTGTGATGTATTCGATCAACCAGCCACCAATACTTCTCTAGACGTATTTAACCTTCCAGATAGTCAACACTTCTTAGATGTATTCAATCATCCAGCTCATCAATACTTCCGTAGATGTATTCAACCTTCCAGATAGCCAATACTTCAGCAGATGTATTCAAGCATCTAGCTCGTCGGTTTGCTGTTGAGAAATTTAATCATCCAGCTCGTCAAAGGTTGCTAATTGAATCATCCAGGTTATCGATTCTCTTGTTCATGTATTCGTAGATGCTCAGAAGAATCATGTTGTTGATGGCAGTACGGATCAAAATGATCGACAAACCCTTGTAGATGCTGGACTTTGCCATAGCCGAGGCCGCCTCTCCGACTTCCTTGGACTTGCCAAGCAGCACGCTCTGAGCGCGAGTCTTGCGGGTGTCAAGCGGGTAGGTCTATTTCGTTAGCTTCTTTCACGTCTGGTCTGTAGGAATTACACTTACACAAAACCACGGCATGGTGCTGCAGATCGCACCAGCAATCGCGGGCGCTCCCGTTCCCTTACCCATTTCCCTTTCCGCAATCTGCTTGACAGTTTCATACACGCCAAAGTACAGGCCGGTGCCGACGGTGTCGCGCAGGGCATGAAGATGGAACCCGGTGTACAATCCGCGGAAGCCATATCTCTTATAAATTTGTCTGAAAGCTTCGGTAGTGCTGAGACGTGGCATGTTGCGCAGTGAAGGGTCATTGGGCGCATTACTAGAGGCCTGGGAACGGTGGGACATCAGGACCGAGGTCTGAACCACATTCTTGGCAAGCTCAAAGGGACCTGTTCTCGTCAGTACGGACTTCTAAGTAGGGTATAAACCGCGTCTTACAAGCAACCGGCGAACTGACGAGTCCTGCAAAGAGACCAGCAGCGGTAAAGGTGATCACAGTTGATACAGTGGGGCTGCTGCCTTCCTGGTCGTAGATTTCCAAAGGCGACTCCCCGGTCATTCTCTGGATAAAGTTGGAGACCCGGTTCTTTGCAAAGGCATAAGTGGAAAAGTTCATAACCCTGACCGCCGTAACGCTCGCTAGAGGTGGCAGGGCGCCTGGATTCAACGTTTGCATTAATTATCCGCTGCAAGAATCCCGGGCGATGTCGACCTACCAGCCACGTAACCACGCGGGCCTTCAGTACGCCACAAGTAGCGAACACACTGAGCTACATTTTGAAAGTTGTGGCTGTGAAAGTCAGTGGACTGAAGCATGTAGCAGTCAGGATTTCTCTTACGTCTGCATACGGGTTTTGACGTTTTCCAAGGGAGTCTGCAAGCATCTAGTCAGTTCCTCTTGCTTCGACCTCTTGACGCGTAGCGCGTAGCACTCACCACAGCAAGCGTAGCAAAGACAGTGGATGTCGCCGAGGCCACCTGAGTCTTGTAACTCTTAAGCAGCTTGTTGCGTGTGGCTTCATTCATCGTCAAAGTAGTCTGGGTCGACCGGGTTAAAGGAGAAGGTTGAGGGGGGGGAGGTGAGAAGGGTGCATGTTCAGAGTGTTTGTCAAGAGTCATTCCTGGAGTTATCCCATCTGTGGCAGATGAAAGTGCTCCGTGTTGATTGCTTAGTCGTTGTCGTCGCCGGCGGAGACCGTGAAGGTCAGTGAAGGGAGACTGTGAGAAGCAGGCTGGGGAACCCTATGGAACGCAAAGCGGTCTCTCAACGTGCGAGCAGACCGTTCAGCGTCCCACAATTGTCCATGAAGCAGGCCTCAACAAGCCTGGCGATAGCACAGTCCGTCCACAACAAGGGAACGTGAGCTCCGGTGTATATATAGCGTTTGTGCAGGTTCGAGCAACCGAGGCAGTGACAGCACTCAGCTTGCACAAGCAATAGTCAAGCTTGCACACACTCGACCTAGTTGTGATAGTATGAACAAATACTTTGTTCCAGGTGCAAGAGTGTGCAGACAATCCCTCTTCCACACCCAGGGACTATATCGAGACAAACGACGTCGTCTGAGCTATCTGGACAGGACACACAGGTCGTTAGCCATTTGGTCTTTCCATCCGCACCAACCCCGCCATCATAGCGGGACCACAGTATTCTTGATCCCAGTTACCACCGTCCGAGCAACATCAGGGACCAGGGCTGGATAACTTACCTCCAGAAGACGAACTCGACTGTCGGGAGTGGAAGAAGGGTCAATGAGGCGGGGACAATGGGCCGTGCGGGCGAGAAATCCAGAGTCGAAATGCAGGAAAAGAGGGAGGAGGGAAGCGGCGGAGATCATCACGATGGACTACCGACTTGGTTTAGGTCCTTATTCGGGAGAAAGTTAAGTGGACTAGTTAAGTTAGTGACCTCCAGCTTGTCTGCGTTTTTCTGACTAAGGCACGAAATCTCCCCAAGAATCAGGCAAACAACGAGGCATGTGGACTGTGCTTCTGGATCCGGTTTAGCTTGTCAGTCGGGCTGTGACGTCGTCGTGAAAGCATCCAGTGCGACAACCGAGTATTTCGATACGTTCAGTACGACTTGACCAGCAGAGAGGTCTTGACGGGTGTTTCTGCCTGAGGGCAAGCGCGCCTGTTACTCGCAACCGATCAAAATGTTCCCCTCTACGAGACATGGTACAATGTACATTCCCAACCCCATTTGCGCAACCTCACTCTGACAAGTGCTCCCGGGATGTGTGACTTTTCCGTATTGGTGCTTTTGTTGCCGAGAATCCACCCTCGAACCTCGAATTGGGAGGCTAAACCCAAAGAGGGAGGCGTGGCAAGGGAGCTTGCGTCGGACTAAGCCAGTCCGGTGGTTGGAGGTACCCGCTCTGCCTGACGAGCCACTCACCAGAGCGGATGCTCACGTATTGACACTCCCTCATGGCCACGCTTGCTGAATAGTCCGCAGTTATTGGCTCCTCCCCGGCGGACGGGCAGATGGACGAGGAGGGCGGGATGCGTCTGGAACTGGACATGCCTGTGGAAGCCAGGTACATCTTTCTGCTCACCTCCAATCATGGCACTCCGCAGCTCTCCTCTACAGCATTGAGTGTCGGGCCAGCTACATCAGTGCATGTCTTGGTTGACACTAATAGAAGTACTTGGTAACATCAATGCTACGAGTGGCCAGAGACTTCTGCCGGTTCTAATTGGTATACTGCTAGTACTGCACAGTTGCAGTCGCGAGGGATTTCACATGCAAAGTGGGCGGGATAAGTCATTTCGCAGTGATAGACGTATCCCTTCTTACTGTGGTGCGTGGCATCTTCTGTTGCTCTTGATCCAGTTTCGTAAGTATTTTTGGCAGAGATCATGCCCCGATAACATGTGGCCAAAGGAACAGTGGCATACCGCGGTACGAGCGAATTAAAGTTCCCCAGTCATCTCTGGGCAAGATAAGGGCGATGGTGGACAACCATGGTCTTTCATGCCAGTGCCACCCATCCTGAGAATGGTGTCGTAATATTGCTAGAACCTGGCATGACCTGGTTCCAGTTAGATTGTTCTCGAGCGATTAATCGTACCAGTCTATTGGCTCATCGAAATAAACCTCGTCCTGCTGGTGCGTTCCAGCGTTGAGTGGACTGACCATGGGTTTATTGTTGGTCAGAACTCATTGTTGATCCACGGGAGGCCGTCCCCGGGATGGATGGATATGCATGGATCAGGATTCGGTCGATCTCAGCATCTCCTCGATACCCCACATATGGCAGTAGCTACCGTATCGTCCGTACATTGTAGTCCACAGCATCCCTTTCGTGGTGCATCAGCGGATAGTTCGTGGACAGCAAATTGTCAGGGATGTGTGGATGCCCAGTGCATGTCGGGTTGTCAGTATATACTTTGATGTCGTGCAATGGTGGAGTCCACCCATAGAGCACCGTCTATCAGACAGCGCTACTTCCTCCTCTTCAATGGGAGGAATGCCTACACAACAATGCTCCTTATCATTCAGGACTGCAAAATTCTTTCAGCTCATCCTAGTTTTTGACATCCTCGGGATGGAGATTCGTTGGTGACCTTTGACTCGGCCCGGCGCTTCACATGGGATGGACATGATGTGATGTACGTCTGCCGGTGTCCACATTCTTTTACCCAACGCTTGGACAGTACTTAGGTAAATATTGGTGCTACCTGAAGAGCATATCGGCCAAAGCTAAATAGTATCGAAACCGGACGCATAAGAGCACAATGCAGTGGTTGTGCATGAACAACTGGGGTCAGCTTATCCTCGGGACCTCGGTCGGCACGGTTCCCCGCAGGGGCCTCTCCGCATTCAACGGCCCTCAGTTTTATCTCCGCTGCTATCCCCATGTGCTTCAGGGGTTTCTTTTAACGTGCCACCCGTACTGTATTGTTCTATATCCATAACTATCTATTAACAAATCTTACTGCATTATTGCAGAATCTTTGACGACCAACTTAACGAAGAACCACGAACTATCACGAAACTCACCATGGGGAAGAAACCATCTGGTCCTGCCTACGTCCTTGGCGTGGGAATGACCAAGTTCATCAAGCCACGCGGCAAGGTCGATTACCACGAGCTTGGCTTTGAAGCTGGTGTCAAGGCCATGCTAGATGCTCACATCAACTACGACGACGTCGAGCAAGGTGTCGCCTGCTACGTATACGGTGACAGCACATGCGGTCAGCGTGTGTTCTATCAGTTCGGTCTGACCCAGATCCCCATCTACAATGTCAACAACAACTGCTCCACCGGATCCACTGGCCTCGCCATGGCCCGCACCATGGTCTCTCATGGAGCTGCCGATTGTGTTCTGGTTGTCGGTTTCGAGAAGATGAGCCCTGGAAGTCTGCAGTCAGTCTATAATGACCGCGCGAATCCCACCGGCTTGTTTGGTACCATGATGGCCGAGACTAGAGGAATCACCAATGCTCCTGGTGCTGCACAAATGTTTGGCAATGCTGGTCGCGAATACATGGAGAAGTAAGTCCAAGGCCCTACGCTGTCATCCATATGTATTAACAAGGACTAGATACGGCGCCAAGACAGAGGACTTTGCCGAGATTGCTCGCATCAACCACGAGCACTCGAAACGCAACCCATACTCTCAGTTCCAGGATGAATACACACTCGAGCAGATTCTCAAGGCGCCCAAGATCCACGAACCTCTCACGAAGCTGCAGTGTTGCCCGACCTCGGACGGAGCTGCCGCCGCCGTCATTGTTTCTCAGGCGTTCCTCGACGCCCGCCCGCATCTCAAGGACCAGGCCATCCTCATCGCGGGTCAGCAGCTCGCTTCGGACAACAGCTCGCTCTACAACCGCAGCTCCATCGACTTGATGGGCTTCGGTATGTCCCGGGGGGCATGCCGCGCCGCGACCGCAGAGGCGGGCGTCAACGTAAAGGACATCAAGGTGTGCGAGCTGCACGACTGTTTCTCCGCCAACGAGATGATCACCATCGATGCCCTAGAGCTTTCCGAACCTGGAAAGGCCCACGAGATGGTCCGAAAGGGGGACATCACCTACGGAGGCAAGATGGTCATCAACCCGTCAGGCGGTCTCATCTCCAAGGGTCATCCGCTGGGTGCCACGGGTCTGGCGCAATGTGCAGAGCTGGTCTGGCACTTGCGCGGCTGGGCCAACAACCGCCTGGTCCAAGGAACTGATGCCGCACTCCAGCACAACCTGGGCTTGGGCGGTGCGGTTGTAGTGACAGTGTACAAACGCGCAGATGGCAAGGTTGCTACACCTGTGCCATCCGATGTCGTTGCTAAGATCTCCGGGCTTGGCTATAATCCGGCCGTGGAGGCCAAGGGCTTCACAGCGGAACAGGCCAAGTCCGTGCAGAGCAAGAACCACAGCGATACGTGGGCACTGGGCGACACGCAGGAGAGGGTTCTGGCACGTTTCTAAGAGGTGTAGCCAGCTTTGAGAATGATGCATGAATAGTAATGCAGTTTGTATATTTTCCCATCATCATCAACACAACCTATAATGCAGTGCCCAGACACAGCTTGTTGTAGCATTCCAAGTATACCCCAGTAATGATCGACCGATCGTACAACCTGCCCCAAACACACCAACCAAATCATCTACAACCAGGACATCCCAGCTAAGCAAAAACACCCATCAATTCACACACTCTCTCCCCACCTCCAGATTCCCCTCCCAAACCGCGGTAGAAGTAATAAACCCGATGGCTGGGGATAAGATAACCAACTAGTGGGGCCATCAGGACCCATCTTACTAAGCATCTCACTCCACCGCCCGGCATAAATAAATAGATTTTCGCGCGTCTCCTTTTTCCCCCTCTCTTTTTCTTTTTCTTTTTGAAATTCAAGGTCTCCAACATACCCTTGTTGATGGATGTTCACTCTGTTCCGTTAGCAAATTTTAGCTTCGAGACCAAGAGTGATTATTATATGCTCGTTCTAATCCCATTGCCTGACAACTGTTACGGGGTCGTTTGGGTTCGCTTTGAGCATACACCATATATTATTATCTATTTATTTGTCTATCTGTCTATCCCATCTATTATAGATGGGATGTTGGATATGATTGGCGAAGGAAGAAAATGAGCTTCCTAGCTACTTATATTCATTGTTGCTCAAACCGTTGAAATGTTGAACTAACTACAGGTTTATAACAAGGATGATTTGGAAGGATGGTAGGAAGGAAGATGAAGTCGGCACATTCGAAGCCTTGTCCGTCGTATCCCCATGATTCGTCGAGGTCAAAATCGTGCCAAGAGTGATCGGATTCTTTGGACAAACATACGTCCTTAAATCTCTCCCTCGTGTTGCGGCCGCCTGTCTATTGTATGGGGTGGTACGTGTCAAAGTAGGGAGGTACATTTTATCCTCTGAATTTGGATTGATTCTGCGTAGTGATCAGATTGTCTGATTCCTCAAAGTCATGGTTACAAATAGAACTATTGAAAAGATATCATGAGCAAAAACACGCCTTACAAAATCTCCTATTTCGAGTAATTCAGTTCACATTCTGCTATAACTTAAACATAAGAGATCATGATTGCGTGCATACATGCGAAACATCAACCTGAAACTGACCGACAGCTTGTACAGCGAGGATGACTACAAGAAAGGCACTTGGTGGCTTCTGCAGCTGCATTCCGTGATTCTCCACATCGACAACATACCCACCAAATAAATCTCCAGGGTTGAGATTCCGCTGCTGCGTCGTTGCCACAAGACGTTTCCTCCCAAGTGCTGGGCCCTGGTACTTCGTTCCGCTTTTCATAATAATCATCTCTCGTTGGTTGTCTCCAGAATCGTCCTGGTACGTTCCCATAGGCGCGACAAGCAGGATTGTATTCGTAGTCTATAGGCATCTCTTCTGGATTGTCCACCAGCAGATTCAATGCAAGTAGTGCCAGTTTCTCAAGATGCTTGGCAACATGACTCTCCCAGCAGCTTGTGTCGGATGTCGTGCTCAGTGTGCATAAGGGACACTTCGTTGGGCACTCTGGTTGGCACTCTGGTTGACATTCTGGCTGACACTCTTCTAGTACCCCAATAGTGCCCAACCCCTTAAGATGAAGTTGGCAGTGTGCGAACCATTCTTGCCGTGATTCATACAAATGAAGAGGCGATGGGCAGTCTGGGAAGACACAGACATATGGCATGATGTCGTTGAGGACGTGCTGGGCCCAAGACTGCTCACTGCAACTAATCCTGACCATGAAAAAGCAATAAGGGCATACATACGCTTCCTTCACTGATTGGCTGGGAAAATAAACAAATGCTTCATCACCTTCTTCCTCAAGAATCGCTGCACGCGAGCAACTGGAATTCTTGCAATCCTCCCGTTCCCCAAGCTGTAAGCTGCCCCGGTTAACAAGTCTCGGTGTGGCAGGCTTGCCATACATGACACTGTCCAATCCTCCAGCGAGTTCTATTTGACATCTGCTTCTATACTGCAGAATTGCCAGGCGCAGTGATAACGTTCTGCTAAGCCGATCGACGATCCATTTATCTGCCCGACGATAACTAGAGCGAACGAGCCGTTGACCGAGGGGCTCAAACTGGATTATATCACACTCCTTGATCCCTAAAAGATAATCATGCTTGGAAGGTTGGCGGATTGCCACTGAAATTCGGAAGAGGCAGTCCACTGCATTATGCACTGAGTGATATATTGACTGGAGCTCTGTCTGAAGGCCTGGCTGATGCTCTTCGTTCATATCAGGATTCAGAAGCTTCCCGTCATCTGAACCGGGATCTGCAATGACCAGCAAATCTTTACAGTTCCTTTGAAGCTGTTCTAGAAGGCGGGAGATCTGATCCCTGAGGTGAGATGAATCGCGCAGTCTGTAGTCCAGGGACAACGAACCGCATTCACCGGCTCCAACGTCGGCAGCCCACACTCGCATCCGCCCTATTTCATCTTCCCAGAGAGACACGGGAACCGGATCATCGGACAGCGCAAACCGTGCGTCTGAGATCCAGAGATGCAACTGTCTGATGACGGCGAATATGGATGGTGAATTAGCCTGTGCCATCTTTGATGCTATGGGGACAAATTGCCTGTTCTGAGTTGAGGGAGGCCGCAGTGAAGGCTCTTGCAAGCGCCAGCCTGACGTGAGCAACTCATGTATTACAGAGGGCGGGGTATGAGGGTCATTCGTTGCCTTCCGTTCAATCTCAGCCTCGCCTGCTATGCGGTCTGTCTCTTCCCCATTGCGTTCCATATTCCAGCGCTCCAAAATGGCTACTGGGATCGAAGCAGCCAGTCTCGTTCTGGCCCTTCTGCCATTGCTGGTGAACCAGATCGACAACTATATCCAAGGGTTCCAGAGAATGACATGTTTTAAACCGAAGAATTACTGGAGAGAAATGGAAAGCTACCGCAGCATCTTGGAAACCGAAAGGGCAATTTTGCTCAATACACTGCTGATCGCCGTGGACGGAGTCACTCACTATGAATATGGCGATTGGACCCGCGATCCCGGTTCGGCATTCTGGACAAGCCAGGACGTATGGCAAAAGCTTAGACAGAAGCTCGGAAGTAGTTACGAGCCATTTACGAGCACAATAAATGTGCTATCAGACCAGCTAAAAACCCTATCCCAGAAGTTGGGCTTGAGTGTTGACAGTACTGGCAGAATAGATGTGAGTCGAGCAAGCAACTTTCCTTCAGAAGGTTTCCAAGCCGCTGACCAAGTTCACGTGCCCACCAGACAACCAGTACCAGCTCCTTCGAAGAACAGCTCAAGAAAGTCCGCCGTATCTTCCTACATCCCGTTTACAAGGATTTGATCCACCAGGTTGAGTCTAACAACCGCCGTCTACAGACATTGGTGACGCAATGCAATCAGATTCGGCAGATAAACGCAGGAAGGGCCGTACTCCCAGTATCGCCAGAGCAACATCAAATAGGCCGTCGATTAGCAAGCAGCCTGTATAATGCGATCATTAACGGGGATTATTGGCGGTGTCCCTGCAAGTCTCAGCACAGAATTTACTTTACGTTTGACTCCTCGAAATCCCCATGGACTAGTGACCCGCCAAGCGAACAGAAAACTAAATCTCGAATGGCCATCGAATTTAAATTGGGCGTCATGACTTTGGGGACCCCAAATCGCTGGCATGAAATCCAGGCTGAGCCAGAAATTCATAGTCTCTCGCAGGGACTATGTCGTGATATCCATATTACGTCAAGCCAACAAGGGTTGTCTATTGATGAAAACATACCCAATATCAGATTTCCCCAAGGGGTTTCAGGTACCCAACAAGGGACCGTCATTGGGGCCGAAAACCTGCCCACCGCAGTTCAGATCGCCAATATGTGCATTTCACTGTCGGCCATCGGTATCAACGAGGGCAGACGGATGCTTCTTGGATACGTGACCGACACAAAGCACAAACATAATATATACCATCTGCGAAGCAATACAGAGAGCGTACGGAACATGCAGTCACAAACTCTTGAAGAGATACTTGCAATATTGGCCTCGTCTTCTGAAATTACTGGTCGAGAAACCCTTCCGATTGTCAAGCGCTTACGAATCGCGGTGGATCTTGCATGTGCGGTTTTCCAGTTTGACGGGAGTTGGCTCAGAAGACAGTGGCGAGCCCGAGACATCAAGGTCTCTCAAGGTTCAGGCGACTCGACACCCAAAACCTATGTTGAGTGGGACCTGAATAACGAGCCCAGACGGCTGCATGATAGTCAGGTACCGGCAGGCGAACCTTTCATCCATTTAGGGTTCGTACTGGTGGAGCTTTCTCAGGGTAAGACCCTGGAGGCGTTACAGACACTGGAAGATCATGATCAAGTGCAGGTTGTGGCTAATCGCAACACGGCACTTCGTCTTCTACCACTTGTGGAGGCGCACATCGGGTTTGGATATCGCCAAGTGGTAGATCAATGCCTGAATTGGCCGAACTGTACAGTTGACAATGTTGATATCTCCAAGGCATATCGGTCAATTATTGCGCCATTAGTGGCATACTGGAGGCTTTTCGAAGGAGAAAAGCATCTGAACTGAGGGACGGTACAGAAATTGAACAAACATTTGAGTTCCTTTGGTGAGTACTCCTCCGTCAACATGGCTACTGCACCATACCCATGGCTGATAATATAACTAAGTTCTGCGTATTCCCTAAAGCAGTGAGATAATGCATCATCAAATTGCACAATGCGTTGTTAATAATTGAATGGCCATAGTCCGCATCACTCAATTGACTACTCAGGTAAAAACAAAAGGCTGGACCATCTAATTAGCAAGGAAGTATGCAAAGAATTTTAGATTAATCTTTGTAGTTCGACACTTGTTTAAGAACTGTTTCGAACCTCCTGGCAATAGCAAGTTTGCGACTGTTACACAACCTCACCTTACAAAATTCCACGATGAAGTTTCTGCTACTACAAGGACGACGCCCTTCATAGATTGCGATCCCTCCCAAGCTGGCTTTACTCCCGTAATCCAGCAGACAACCCTCCTGTCATCGTGAAACAGACGCGCTAGTCTCGCAGCTGCTGTCAGGCATGCATCCTGGATGCACGCGCGGCTCTCCTGCAGAACAGTTAAGAGGAGTAAACCATGCCGCGCAATAACCCAAGGATATTCAGACCCTTGTGTAAGACTCTGTCCCCCGGAATGTGCCCTTCCTCCTGCCGGTTTGCCGATCCATATACCCATCAAGCTTTATCCCTCCACCCTCCTGCACGAGGATACGCCGCCCCGAGCACCCCTTGCGTCCATCAAGGTACACCACGGCATAATCAGCCAAACAAGAGCCACCATCACCCAAGCCCTTGGATTCCCCAAATATGAGCCACGCGGATCATCAATGTTTTGAGTACATCGCGAGTGAGCGCGGTCCCTTCGTTCTCCTCCCAACCAGGGGAATGCCAGACAATCTACTGTGGACCTGGGAAGCCAAGGACAGATATAAAAATGCCCACGAGGTCAGCTCGGTAGCACACCAGGCGAGCATTCGGATTCATCTCTGATCTGGTCGTTTGTCTCATACCTTCTTCCTCTTCTTCTATACTTCCATTTGCAAGCTTGATCACACTTGGCTATAGATCGATCTACACTCATCTATCACGCCTGTCCACTCTTTATCTCAAATTTCAATTCTTGATCTATTTCCCTACTTTCCACATACCCACACATCGTCACAATGGCCCGTCTCAGCATCTCCATCTTCGTCCTCTGCCTCTTCCTGGCCTTGATGGTCACGGCCATGCCCGTTAAGCGAGAGGACTCCAATGGTAACGAGCTGGACGGTACTCTCGCCGAACAGGTCGCAGAACAATCCCTCGAGGTAATTTAATTCCCTTTTCCATAAAACACACCTTTCCACTTTGGCTAATGTAATAAACTCCTAGTCCGCCAGCAAAATGCTCGAACAAATATCCGGCAAGGAGGACGACGACCAGAAGAAGGACAAAGACAGCAAATCCGACACCCCCAGCAGCACCACCGACCAGCCCGCAAATGAGTCCAAGGCTGCCCCTAAGACCGAGGAGAAGGTGGCAAACACTGAGCCCTCCTCCACCACCCCTTCGTCTACTGCCGAGGAGACACCTTCCACCTCTAGCTCTGCCCCTTCGACCGCCTCTTCGCATGTCGTCAATGACAACCCGCTCTCCAAGATCCCTCTTGTGGGTGAATTGTTGAGCGGTGGTGGGGCTGGGTCTCTTACTGGCGGGCTCTTGGGTTAAATCAGTCAGTGAGTGAGTGAGCGGATGGTGGAGTGTGTTATCTGTTATTCTTGTCATGTGTGTTTGTTTTGATGTGCATGCATGTGGAATGCCACTTGATACCTAGGTGGAGAAGAAAGGAAAAAGATCTTTGGGATGGACTTGACTGCGTTAAAGTTCATCTTGCTTACTTTTTATTATTTTGAAAACTGTAATGGTTTAGTGTAGCTAGCTAGATACATTGAATGAAATCCAAATCATCAAATTAAATCAAACAATTGAGTAGGAAGATGCGTCTCGCTGGCTTATAGCTAACGAAGAACATGGTTTCGAGGGTAGGTAGGCTCATGGCTATCACCCAGGATGGAAAAGGAGACTCGGCATCCGTCGTGGGTGTCTTTTAAAGCAACGTGACAAGTGAGAAGTCAGGGTGCAACAAAAAGGCAATCTGGAAGATGTTTCACAGGGAACAATGAGAACAAGAATGGACGTCACAAGGGATCCATCCGAGCAACAGACTTTTAGAGGCGTAGTAGTCTGCTAGTTATCCAACAGAGTAGCATGCAGAATATCCATCGTAGAGATGGATTACACAAGAAGCTCTTAGTCAGAAAAATGATTCGTCATCGTCGATGGATCACGAAACAACATAACACAACGTATAGAGAACGAACAAAAATATCCTGGAGCATCTCCAAGCCATTCCGATCAGCCTCAACCAGAGACGGTGCCAGAGAGGTCGAGTAGGAGTCATTCCGAGTGGTGCTAGTTGATATCACTAGACGGCGCACACCCGCAGGACTTAGTGGTCTCTTCGTATGAGAATGCGAATTGGTCAAAATGGCGCGTTGACTCGACCCAGACATTTCGCATATCCTCAGTAGCCTCCAGCCCGAGCAACCACTCATCGGGGTCTCTTTCATCTCACCTGATGTTGCTCTATTGCCAACAGCTTCTTCGTAACGAGCACTCTTTCAAACCAAGTCAATGAGTTCTACATCCCCCACTTCCTCCCATCATAGCCACGCTTAAGACGGAGGTTCATCTGGTAGAAAGACGCATGCGAGATAAGAGAGAACTCTCATATGCGACATGCCAAGGGGATTTGGTCGGGTCGTGGCTTCAGATTCGATCCGAGACTGTACTGTGCGCAGAGTGAGGGATTCTGCAACCTGTAACTCTTTCTGTGAACCCAGCCGACTAGGAGCTGCAGTGGTGCAAGCGATGTGGCCGTGAAGGAAACGACGGATGTCAAAGCAAAGAGGATGTTCTCAGGAAGACCTATTGATGGAGACCCAACACACCCCTCCCCCCCCGGCCCTCCAACAGTGAGAGCCCCGTAATCTACAAGGCAAGGCGTGTGAGGTACAGATCGAAGCACTGGACAAGACCCAAACCCTCGAGATGTGCGGTGAGAGCAAGTACAGTAACCGAGCCGGACAAGCTCATGAAGCATGGCCCTCGCTCCAACAATGGCGCTTGAAGGAACTCGACTCAAGCTATTAGAGTCACCAAAGGAAGGCCTAGAAGCCCCTCGTGCTTTCCTTTGACCGTGTCGTGCCGAGACCGCAGGCCAGATACCAGTTGTACATACCGCCGCGATTGGATGTACCTTGTGAGTTCCTCCATACGCGCGTTTAAGCCTGAGGGGTGTCATGCCATCATCCATTTTCGCTCAATCTACCAACATGGCAGAATAATAGTGTTGAACAGGATGAAGAGCCATATTTCATGATACACGGGTTTAGCAGGGGCGGTCTGATTCCACATATCCAATGGTATCATGCAAAATCAACTTGCGATTCTGGCGTCAACCTTGCTAAGGAGACCCGACTTTACTTGCCAAGCATAGGCTGGGATGGCGGAGTCTGAGATGGTGTTCCACTTTGGTGACATGATGGGATAAGCGACCAGAACATTCTTCAATCTTCAAGGAAGTTTGAGTGCGGAAGTGCCCGTGGATGAAACAATCAGATGTGTATTGCTCTTGGTACTGCTCTCACGATCTTTCAGAATCCCCGAAGTGAAAGATGATCACCCCCGTCTTGTAGGGCAATCAGAAGGGTGGGCATTGGCGTTGACCAACTGTACAGAAGCGAAGTAGCGGAGTTGGGGGGAAGAAGAGCACATTGAGATTTTGTGGCAGGGGAGGTGGTGGGTAGGAAGGTGATCGATCTAGCATGGTCGACAGTGCTTTGGGCGTTATGATGTATGGAAACCGACCTGTCAGGAAGGTGGTGTTCAATCAGTGTTGCGTATGTGCAATTGCCACTGATCGATTATCCCGCATGGTGCTTGAGCACGCGTGGAGGCTCCAAGATTTCGTGCTCCCTGAGAAGGGAGAGCAGCATGATATGTTAGAGATGGTGACCTTGAATCCTGATTGCCTTGTGCGGTGGCTTGTACTCTCCACGGATCCAACAGTATCTGGAAGGCAGAAGATGACTTTCCGTGTAGCCAGTCAACACAATCGCAACCAGAATTCTCAAACGCCTTATTACTGCACTAGCAATTATCCACGCTGGTCGTTGACTAGTGGCTTCCGAGTAGAGTGTACCTTTATTCGTGACCGCTCTGTTCCCCTCTCGGAACTTGCCCAGTCCTCAGATGAGACTAGATTTCCTCCGGTTTCTGTCGCTGCTCAGAACAAAATCTAAGAATAACTGATAAATCGGAAGGAAACCAGCTAATGACTGTAGTCTCGGACTCGTATCCCACAGTATGCTGTGATCATATGCAAGCAGGCTCGCGCGCGCACTCCACGTTCAAATTCAGTCCACCAGAGGCGCAAGTGGCCTTGGTAGTGGTTATCCCTCCTATCCAGCAGTATGTGACGCTCTGCTTATGACCACGTTCATTGTGATATGCAAGGGTCATGTCCTCTGTATGTGACCGTATAGAAACATTGGGACCGAGTCCTACTACCAGCCGCATGGCAACCTTGTTGAACCGTCTATTGCAGCCAACACATCAGTTCGGTATGTAGATGTGAGGAAACATGCGGACCACTTCGACGCTGTCGACCTCGTCCCGAAGCTCGGTTCCGAAGCTCTTAATTCGACCTAGACCGTTTTACCTCGAACTGGATTTCCACTAGTGCAGAGCCGGATGTCTTGATTGACAAGCCTATCAGAATACCGTTCTCATAAAGATCATGATCTGACGGGACATACCGCCACGTATATCGCTGATGGCGGCTTGAGGGCCTGACTGATAGGCGAACTCTAGTCCAAAGATTTCATTGCCATAGCAGGCTGAAAGCTTCGAGTACGACAGGCACATTTGATGGCCACATCCGTCGCCACAATGCCTGCTCGTGGAGGACGATTCCTTTCAGCTCGGCATCCTCAAACCATGCAAACTTTCTGCTGGGCCCATCCTGAATAAAGTCGTCCCCGGTATACTTACAGCATTGTGGGGGACAGAGCCACTTTTTGAAGAAAGGGTTCAGCGCCGGCTCTGGGGATTGTTGGCCTTTCCGTTGGGTTTTCGGGGGCTGGGGAAGCATTGTCCCGTGAGATATAGGCTCACGCCTTGACTATCTTGCTCCTCCAAGCAGGGCCGTATTGTCTCCGAAAGTAAAACTTCCTTACTCGGTTATAGGGTGGAGACAGTGTTGGGATAAGGACGCAAGATCCCTGGTTTCCATATGAGGAGATGACTGCGCGACTCCAATCCGAACCCGCGCTGACTACCCATGAGATAGCTGTCAGCTCCTCGTCCGAGACAAAAACCTCTGAAATAAGGTCATTGTCAATAGGGGTGCACTATCCTTGGAGCCAGTGCCAATGCAGAGATTCCTCAGTCGAGTAAACGCATCAGAAAATGGACCCTGTCCGAGGCGTATTCCTTAAGGGTGTGTTTAATTCATCCCGCAGATCGGCAACCTCATCAATGAGTTGACTGGCGGCGTTGGGTTGAAGAGCAGAGCATAGGACACGACTGTTCTACTGCACTCGTGGAAAGTTATCGTCTATGGGTGTCATAATGATGATTGCGTCGGGGGTTGGATCTGAACCTTCGGAGGATAGAGTATTTCTACTAACAGGTATTCCCGTTATATCGACGGCTATAGTGACATGCTTATAAAAAGCAAATCAATTGCCAGCATACACCATTTGGCTGGTGGTCTCGCCGTCGGTGGCATGTCCGGATAAGGCCTTTGGTTGGAGTGAGATTTCGGTTCGGTCTCACCACTGCCGGTAGACCAGAAGTTTTAGTTGAGATACTGGCTCGCTAGGTAATGTCTAATATATATGTGGCCTGCACCTATGTTAGTCAAATCAAGACGGAAACCCTTATCGTTCCATAAGAGTACCTACCACATCCTCCGGCACCAGGCCGGTCTGATACAGCACTCCCAAGGTTATGACCTTCCAGATGATAAGCAACCCTCAAATCTTCCGAAGTCCACTGCATCTTCATAACAGGCGATGTCCACGATGTTCGGCTAATAGATAACCAGGGTAAAGTATACTGAAGAAGAGGGGTCGAAGCCGGATGCATGTTTCCGCTGAAGTCCTTCATTTGCTCACCCAGGTTAACAGAGGATCCAGGGCAAGGCCAAAATAGCGACATGCCGGAAAGGTGATGGAGGGGATTGTTTCTGGGCTCTGATATAACAGCTTAATTGGTCTGGAACGCCTTCGCAGGCGCAGGATTTGGATTTCTCCTTGCATGTGCTGTGCGATGCGAGGTCTTTATAGCTTTAGTTGATTGGATCGTAAGATGAGTCTCTTAATCCCGAGAGCTATCTCAGTATTCTCGGGCCGCAGCGCACGTAGTCTTATTTCATTTGTCAGAAATACATCCTTCATGGTTGATGTGATATCGTAGGCTCGGGAGCAGTCAGGAAGACCGAGTACGAGCAGTCCGGTTTTCGTGTGCTCACGGCTCCTACCGAGACCCGGGCACTATAAGTTCTGCGATGAACTGTTAATCTTTCTTCCGACCGATTGGAGGAGGATGGCTTCGAGAATCTCCGTGGCTGCGGATACGGCAACACCTGAGGCTATCTTCAGATCGAGTTCGGTAAATATTTCGAAATGAATGGCCACTAAGCGCTTTGTCAATGACTCTGTACGAGACCAACCATCGAGATGACAGTTTATCCGCTTTATAGAAGCTGGAAGAGACAGGTACGCGCAGCACGGCTTTCCGGCGCGTAGCGAAGCCCTTAGGTTCGTGGGACTTTCAGATGTTGCTTTCTAATAATTCGTACACAAAGGGCCTCGGAACTTGTAGTCATTGGAATCATGGCATAAAACCCGGAATCGCAGGAGCAAAATGCGGTCTGCGACGACATAATATATGCCTGAAACGAAGAGACTTGTGCCGTAGGCAAATTTTGATGGCATTATAGGACTGTTGGACAGACATGACCAGAATCAATGGAAGCGGTTGGACCATAGACCAGCAAGCAGACACCGAGCGGTAATGTTGAAGTCTGAGTCCAAATACTCTTCGTGCTTCAGTTGCAATATTTAATGATTTGGCTCGGTGAAGTCAAAGTTGACATGACTGGAACTATTGGCGATGCGTCGAGGCTCGGGAAGTTCACTCACTGCGTCAATGAAATGCGAAGTCACAAGTGAAAGTATAGATGCGGGCTGCAGCATGTCGTATCATTGTGATGCGGCGTATAAGAATGGTACATCAACGGCAACATGGTATTCTCGGAATGAACTTCTTAGGATGACACCACAGAAGACAGTTCTCAGCCAGGATAATATCGGGTAATGGACAGGCATGTTTCTCCATTGCTCTTATCGTTGCCCCAGAATGTCAGATAAAATGGCCAAGAAGACTGATGTTGCGAAGTTGTTGCATGTACACATAGGTCGATAGGTCAGATCCGTCACTCATTTCCAGTGACATGACTGAGGCAATAGGTTGCTTCAAGGACATGAATTTGATGAAGATCGACAGTGCCGAGAGATTCAGTGCTTCCATCTCCATACGCTGATGACCTGGGAAAGAATTTGTCTAATTGTGTTCAGCGAGAGAGGCCGGTTCGATGGTGTATTTGCAGCAGAAATTGGAGTGTTGGCGGCAAGACGACATTTTGTGGTTCCAAATTCGATTCCCATCTGCCCTGAGAAAGCTCTCGTAAGGCTCCTCTGGGCCTGTTCTTCATTCACTCTCAGTCAATACGTAGCGCAGGCCGCCATGGTTCCCAGGCCTAACAGGAATCATCCACGGAAAAGAGGAAATGCAAGATGCTCGAAAGCCTAAATCTAGATTCCATTCGTGATTAAAGGGCAGGTAATTTCCCTCATTGGGATTCTGCGGGTCACTGAAGGACAACCAGGTTGTATGAGAATCGCCCCCGCGCAGGGCAACAACTGATCAGGATCGCTCGATTGTCACAGCTAGTTGGCGAAAGCTGACAGCAGGGTTGGTTGCTCTGAAATTCGTATCTTGACCTGCAGAGCCTTGTTAATCGCGTAATCTGATGAGAAAGAGAGAAGAAGCCATGACTTACTGAGCAGGAAGGCCCATTAAATACTTTGGGTTCCCGAAATTGATGGCTTCTGAACGTTGGGAAGTGGTGGTTTTGGAACATATCGATATTGGGAATCATGGTGTATATATACGCGATAGCCTCTGAGGATGGGACATGCATCTAGTTACATGGCTTCATCCTCCACATTTCTGACAGAGTATTGGAGCACAGTCCTCGACCAATTCAGACATTGATGGAGTCTATACGAACAGTCAATGAGCCTTGTATCTAAAAGTCATCATGTTTCATCCTCTCACCTCTTTTGAAGGTTATATACATGCTTCCAGCAACGTGCAAGACATCAGGCTTCACCGGGCGACAGCAATCACCACGGTATTGCAAGAATCCTCTCCATGGATAATCCGCTGACCATGTGAGTCTTCGCAGAGCCCACGGTTTCACTTTAGAAGACTGGTGCTCCAGCTCCTCCTGGAATGGGTACACCATAGTATGTGAGGAGTCCAAATGGGGAAGGTTGTTTTAGAGAACGAAAAACTTGTAGACTGCCAGCTTTCCTTTTGTTTTTCTAAGTATGCACTAGACAAGATGAGAAATTTGAATGACAGCTGCAACTGGCAGTATGAGATTGATGGTATATATATAAGGGAATCTTGGAAGATAAAAGGAAAATCAGAATGGACGGAAGGACTGAGGATATATAACTCCCCAAAGCGCATTCCTAAGCAAGAGGAGGCAGATAGACATGAGAATGATATTCAGAATCTAGACCAGACGAAGTCATAGGGACTAGGGTGAGGCCGCCAATGAGGTCGCTGCGCTTCATTCGATATACGCAGTGCTGTTTCACAGTCTTCATGTGGGTTTCTAAGGTCACAACCGATGATCGTGGCCAAATGCCAAGCCCACCTATTCAGGTAATATCTCACCAACAAGGCGCATGCCCATCTGCAGCCGCCTGGAGGGAGATTCTAATCCAATCCTGGCCTGTACCCAGACGGGATGTTGTTTGCGCCTGTGGCCGTCCTGGGGATTCAGCTTTCTGCGCACATACTCCAATGCAACCTACCAGGATAGCGGTAAACACAGAAAAATTACCTGCCACTTTCGTTACTGTACTTTCAGCTAGGTTATGAGCTCTTGTTCTGGTTTGCTCGCTGTTGGCCCTCATATAGACCAGTGTAGTATCCAGCATAGTACCAAGCCATCATGAGGTTTTTGAGTCCTTCGTCTTGCACTAAAGGAAGTCAGTTTCTCCAGAGTGTAAAAAGAAGGCAATGCATCTTACCTTGTGATAGGGTGGCATGAGGCATAGGAGGCGCTCCTACGGGACTGGGCCCGGCCGTTTGCTCCGTGACCTGGGCACCCTGTACAAAGGGTTGTTCTGGCCCTTCTGCAGCCTAGAATGAAGTCAGCCTAGTAGATTCATCCGGCAAACGGAGCAACTCACCTGCGACGTTTTGGCCTGTGACACCTGTTGAGGTTCGGCTGGAGTTGTTGCATTGGCAGTAGTGTCGGCGTCGACATCAGCATCCATGCGGTCGGCTGACTCGTCCAACGGCTGCTCATCTTGCTCCATCTCAGCTTTCTCAGCAGCCTCTGCTTCCCTCAGGACATCTTCAACATTCTCCCCCTTCGCATGGATGCTGTGGTAGAGCTGTTGTGTTCGGGTCAGCGAACGGATCACGTGCGCGGGGAGGAAGCGCATACTTTGTATTCCTCGACAGCCTCATCCCAGCTCTGGACAAGGGCAGAATCATCCCAGATCTCTTCCTGAGTGAGGGGTTTATTCGCCTTTGCCGATTTCCCCATGACCCCGGTAAGTGCGCGCAAACAAACGGACGTGTGAGAGGGTTGGGTTGCGGAGAAACAAGAGCTTAGAGTTGGAGTCGCGGCGAGGCCCCGTCGGCCGGGCTGGATTGCATTCACCGCTTGGCGGCCGAAAAAATGCGAGCAGAAAAAAAGTTTCCCGCACCTTTGCGATCCTCCGATTGTAGTCCTCCAGGAACGGCCTGCAATTTTCCCCAAAAATCACAGCAGGATGGCCCCCGACAAGAAGGACAAGAAGCGCAAGGGTATGTATTGTTACACCATTTGAGAGATTTTCCTTCTCAACCCGTTGGTACGCCTACTGACGCTGCTCAGCTGCCGCCGCCGCTGCCGCCGATTCGCCCGCAAAGAAGACCAAGAAGGTCGAGGCCAAGCCTGCCGAATCCCCCAAGGACGCCCCCAAGTCTATCCTCAAGAAGGCCAACCAAAAAGAGTCGGCTGCAAAGACCGATGGCGCTTCGAAGGCTAAGGCCAATGGCCAGCCCGCCAGACAGATCAAGCCTCGCAAGCGTGCGGCCGATTTCCTGAGCGACAACGACAACAGTGACTCCGAGGCGGAAGTTGCTGAGACCAAGGTTCAGAAGGAGGAGAAGCCTACCACCAAGAAGTCGAAGAAGGAGGACGGAACTGCTGCTCCTGCGACAAAATCCAAGCCCGCCAAAACCAACACGAAGGCTAAGAAGGCAGAGCCTGTCCCTGAAGAGTCTGAAGAGGAAGACGAGTCCGCCGCCTCGGATGCTAGTCAGAGTGAGGATGAGGAGGACGACCGCACAGCCGCCCTTATCAAGGGCTTTGAGAGCAGTGGCGATGAGGATGAGTCTGGCGATGAAGGCTTCAACCCCGACCAGCCGGTCCCCAAGATTCCCGATTCGAAGAAGGCCAAGCGCAAGATCTTGAAGAAGCAGAAGGAGAATGCCGGTCAAGCAGAGGAGCCTGGAACGGTTTACGTTGGGTAAGTTGAACCGTCAGGAAGTTCGTTTGTGACTACTATTGACACGCTATGCTACAGACGCATTCCCCACGGTTTTTACGAACACCAGATGCGCGCCTACTTCAGCCAGTTCGGTGACATTACCCGCCTGCGTCTCTCCCGTAACCGTATCACCGGTCGCTCCAAGCACTATGCTTTCATCGAGTTCGCATCTACCTCTGTCGCTAAGATTGTCGCTGCCACCATGGACAACTACCTCATGTACGGTCACATCCTGAAGTGCAAATACGTGTCCCCCGAACAGCTCCACCCGGAGGTCTGGAAGGGTGCCAACAGACGGTTCAAGCGCACCCCCTGGAACCGCATCGAGAAGAAGCGTCTGGACAAGGGCAAGACGAGAGAGCAGTGGACGGAGCGCATTGAGAGGGAGCAGAAGAGACGCCTCGCCAAGGCCGAGAAGCTCAAGGCTATCATGGGCTACGACCTCGACATCCCGCAACTGAAGAGCGTGGATGAGGTTCCTGTCCAGGAGGCCAAGGCGATCGAGGCATCTGAGCCCGCTGCTGAAGAACCCGCCAAGGCTATTGAGGCTGCCCCGGTTGAGGAGCCCAAGGCCGAGAAGCCCGCCGAAGATACCCCTAAGAAGACCAACAAGAAGACCAAGAAGGCTGCTCAGTCCCCTGCTGTGCAGGAGACTCCCAAGTCGGCAGAGAAGTCTACCCCGAAGAAGACCACCGAAGAAGCTGCTTCCCCAGCCGCTCAGAAGGCCAAGAAGGTCCAGAAGAAGACCAAGGCCAAGTCTAAGGCTTAGAGGGATGTGGGGGTATATAAACTTTTGTATTTCTTCCTTATGGCATTAAACAAGAATTACCCGGAGTTCAATCGATTGTACATGAAAAAATAGGGACATTATTTTCGCTTCAACAAGCAATTTCTGATTCTTGATTCTGTCCAGTAAAATTACTATTCTCAGTAAATTCTCAACATGCCTCAGGCACTAAACGCAACACCCATAGAAAACCGAAGTCACATGACATACAACGGCCCACAGCTCCACACCCTGACTAATCGGCTATAAAAAAAACCCACGCACCGAGTCCAAATTTCCTCTTCTTTCCCTTTCTCTCCCAACTCCTCGCTCAAAGAATCGCATTCAAAGCTCACACACAGAGAGATATCTTTATGATTCTCTCTTCCTCCAGCTTTGGGAGAAAGTCCCCGGACATCCTGACTGTTTAAACGTCCTCTTGCAGGGCCCAGTCAGGCAATGCGGAAACGCGCCGCCATAGAAGCAATTCGATAGCGGCTTATACGCCCTATTCCCCTCCCAGTGTTGTCTCTGTACCCGAACACAAGCTTTGACCGGCTTGTGGGTAACAATGGTTGGTGCAGGGCAGTGCTGGAGAGGGGGTTTTATCTGGGTTGCCTTTCGTCGTGTTTGGATAGTCATGCGATTGCCCTCTTATATATTTCTTCGAACAGACCTCCATTCGGCTGAAAAGTTGGGGAGGATTCATCGGGAAATCAAGGGGGTAACTCAATGGGGCTCATTCTTGAGGCGAGGAGTTCATTTTTTCCATGATTCTTTTTTTTTTTTTTCGAGTCTGTAGCTTATGGAAAGCGGTGATTGTGGGCCTTGGTGATTAGGTTCATCTTCTGGCTTCCGTCGCAGATGCTCTGTCGAAGGAGCCGGACTCTACTTTTACTTTCCATCTATCTTTTCTTGATGATGTTTTGATATTGTTCGTGTGATGATATACCAATCATAGAGTCAAGCCCTGAAACTCCTACTACGGTATGGGGTTGTTGACGATAAACGATTGTTTTTCTATCTGATGAACAAACACATACTCATTATTGATACCCTTATTACAACGTTATTATAACCTGAAGAAATATGAATGCAACTATCTCCCAAGAAACAACGAATAACTGTCTTATTTACACATCCAACTCCACGTAGCTTAAATCATCCATGTATACATTAGCATAGCATACATACATAACTTCATTGTGTCTTCTTCGCAGCAGGCGCAGCAGTAGCAGTAGCCCTCTGCAACAGAACAGCCGTCACCACCTCCGCCATAGTCGTAATCGCCGTCGCACAAACATTACTCCAAATCTGGATGCTCACCGACCCCATGGGCGCACGGGGGAACGACAGCAGCCACGCCACGTAGTAAGGAAGCCAGCCCTCCGGCAGATGGAAGACAGGCGTTTTCGAGTACCAGAATTGCAGGAAGAACTTGAGACCAGATGTACCGAACCAGCGAACGATTTTGACGCCCCAGTCGAAAGAGGTTTTCTGCGAAACGAGTTGTTTGTCTGTTGAACCGCTTTTGTTAGCTCTCTCTTCAACCAGCTATTCTCCCCAACCCCCGAAGCCCATATAGGTAGACTGTAACTGCGATCGGATTCAACGTACTTATCGCCTCATATTCCTCCATGGTCTTATCATGTTTCCGTCGGAGTTTCGCCCATTTCGCAAACTCATCCTGTGAGCTGGTGTTGTTCATGTCCCGCTTCAGCTGGACAACCTCGCGCTTGAGTCGGTTTTGTTCTTTGTATTTCTTCGAGGTGGAGGTCGGAACTTTCAGGTAGAGGAGCCATAGCTAGAAGATACTTGTTAGCTTTACTTTCCACTCTGACATTTGGTGTGCGAGAGAATAGCTTAAGACATGACAGCTACAAGGCCGCCACCCAGCAAGCTTCCAGACAGAACGTACCAGATTATCAATCGTGCTAGCGCCAATGGTATTAACCAAATAAATGGCTACATGGACAAGAAAAACCGACCACAGGAGCGACAACATGGTGGGCTAGACGTTGGTGCGATCAATTGATGGAGGGGAGGGAAAGGAACAGATCGAAATGGTTCCCGGAGATGTGGGCAAAAAAAGACCACGAAGCCCGACCGACTTGTGGGGAGAGTGGTGTGTGCGACCTGCCTCAGACAAGCAAATTTCCAAAAGGCAGCTCGAGCCTAACAATGAGCGAGCAGACAAAGAGAGACCAAGGCTGAGGCTGAAAGAGAAATGACATCCATGAATGGAGTGAGAAAGCAAATGACGTTGTCACGTTGTTTCCCGCCCGTCGGCCGCGGCGCGGCACTTTCATTTCCCCCCGGAGCTTTAAACCATGTCCTTTCCAACATTAACATAACGTCCGCTATTACTACGATTCGTACGCCATGCTGCAAGGCGGGTGATCCTCAATGTCTACTCCTCCGGATGAAAATGCCGCTTATCATGAACTCGCTCGAATATTCTCCGCCAGACGCAAAGATAATAACGTCTTAGAGATCGAGATACTCCCGCCCGGTCTTGGTCCACTGCTACAAGATGGGAACTCGGTCGGACTAACGAAGAAGTACCTGGTTCAGGCTTTCGTAACGGCCAGACGAATATTCTTCGATGCATCAAACGAGCCGTTCTATTTTTCCGATGCCAGTGGTCATGAAGACGAGCGCAAAGCCCCGCAGAACGAGTCCCTACTACAGAAACGAAGAGACGGCCTGCTAAATGCCAGCGAAATTATCCTCCTCTTCGATTGTGAACATCTGACGGCATGCAGCTGGCGCAAAAGACGTCTGGCTGCCCTAAGCCAGCGTGCTGGCTTAGCGGACGCCGGCTATACTCATCGGGAGATGCTCACTCGTGAATTGGATACAGAGATGTCTCTCTTGACCACTTACATTTGCTCTCCACTGCATCGTCATACAAAATCTCCGACACTGTATAACCATCGGCTGTGGGTGTTGAGGCAGATGCTTTCTGACAGCAGCGGAAGATTGACAAGGCGAGAAGATGACAGGGGGACCGTGTCGAACCAAAAGGTGCTAAAGAAGGAACTATCTGTTGTTCTTCGATCCGGAGAGCTACACCCAAAGAATTACTACGGATTCACTTATTTAAGACAACTTCTCGACATCTTATCGGGTAGTGATGAAGACCAAGAAGGCGCTTCTGCACGTCTAGCTGCCTTAATCATACCAGAAGTGTTGGACTGGTGTCTCGCACATCCCAGTGACATTTCCGGCTGGATGTTCACTTTGCGCCTACTGGACTGGGTTCGCGATGAAGAGACCAGAACAGACTGTATTGACAGGGTATTGCGATTCGCGTTGAACGTTGGTTGGGAAGGCGAAAGCATCTGGACGTTTGTGAATTTGGCGACAAAGATGACAGGCGTAGGAGCCTCAACAAAAGCCCAATGCAGGACGCCGTCAAATGCATTGGCAAACCTTCCTTTGTCCGAGGTTAGGGCTGCAGACGGGTGGAAGGCCTGCTTGGAAAGGGCAAGGGCTGTTTGGGTTGCTGGTCAGCAGGCGGACCAACGACACGTATAGGTGACAGCAGCCCGGGGTAGAGATAGGGTAGACACTATGTATTATATATCACAATGTAAAGGTTTATTGCACCATATGCGCCGTCTTTTATGCAAACTTGAACGCTGCTTGATAGAACGCCTCGCTAAATGCCATTGTCTTGTCACATGTATCTGCAACGCACGCCCATTTGATAAAGCCAGCCAAGTCACATTGCTAGCCTTAACATTCGTCCCGGTATCAACTGTATCCAGTTTGGGCACCCCAAAAACAGCCTCCCGGATGGACTCATACAAGTTGGAATAATGCTTGACCAAAATCGTAGACAAGGACTATGCGATATCGAAAATTCGTAGGACACCCCGGTCTGACTTATACAACGTGGGCGAAGACAGATATCTTTATTTCTTCTTGGCCCCTGCAAGTGCTTCAGCTTCTTTCCGCTGATTGGCTTTAAACATGATGAAGAGTCAGTAAGATAGCGATCAAAGGGTGGCGCAAGAACAGTAGATCAAAGCCTCACATACCCAACGCTTGTTTCGCTCTCATCTTATCAGCATCAGACTCCTTCTTGGCCAGTATACCACCCTTGCCAAACTCACTCTTGGATTTCTATGCAGCAAAAGCCTGTCAGTAACTAGGAAAAATTTGCTGCATTTTGGGCAAGAACTCACCGTTTGCGCCTTCTTTCTGAGGTTCTTCTCGCGGTCCCTGTCTCTCTGGTTTCCTCGGGCCATATTGACAGTCAAGTGTCACAGGTCAATATATCGCAATCTGTACTTCGTAGGCGGCCCTTTCAAAGCAAGTGGGAAGAGTAGAGGTGAAGGGAACTGAAGTGTGGCTTTTTTGCCTCTTCGGGATCTTGAACCGCAGCATGGAAGGTTTTCCGGCATCCCTTTTCGGTTTCTGCAGGCCGCCGAGCCGCCGCCCCCGGAAATCCCTCATTCAATCTTCTCGGCCTTGTCGCCCAATCTCACTGTGGTCATCTGCCCGTCGAACAACAAATATTGACTGCATGTAGTGCTACGTAATTCAACAAGTTGGTTTTTTTTTTTTTTTTTTTTTTTTTTTCAGGAAGATAAATGCAAGCATACACAGACCCAGACACATTGCGGCTGAGATATTAGTGTATGAATTAGTGATGAATTGAGACGTGTGGCTAACACAGTCATTGTCACCAGCCTAGGTAAACCTGCGTAACTTGGATGTACACGCGCCGTCCCTTATCACACGAACATGAGCATGTCCCGCAACCTTTTACGGTACATGGGAGTACATGGGGTGGCCCCAGATTTGGTTGGCTGGCTGAGAGGACGACTGGTCACCACGACTCTGGAGCCCTCGGAAGCGTACAGCGTCGGGTGACACAAAAGTCGCTGCAAATAGCATTAACTGGCCCGCCTTACTGCAGGACCTCTCAACAAGCGGCTTTCCCCCAGGGCATGACGATGATGGCCTACTCCAAGCGGATTAGGACTGCTTCTTGATGGTCGGTGTTAAGCAATGATTACCTAGTGTAAGATTCCTCGACGCGCGACTATTTCCTCGTCGGTTTGGCTTATAGGGAAGTCAAGGCCGAAGGCGCAGTGTTCCGTATCAAGCATTCGCTTCTATCTTTTATGATGGCGGTAGAGTCGTAAGTAGCAGCTTGTTTTCCGGGACCACGTTTCTTTCGTATCATCAATCTCCCAGGAGCTTGTTCACGGCTTCGTCGTCTCCGCACCACACTTGTAGTAGGTATGTGGCAGACTTGGTCGGGTTGAAGTAAGGTCCCAACGAATATTCCAGCCTTTTTATGGACCGCACCATCTGCTGTATGGCCTCTGTCTCCTCCCCCCGACGTTTCAGAATCAGGGCCGAGAAAAACAATGTGTAGCCATGGTCTGGGCCGAATGTATGGAGGCAGTCCTCAAGAATTTCATTTTCCAATTCTTCGGCTTTCTGGATATTATTCCAATTAGCATATACCTCCGAAAGATCATGCTTCATTACAAGGGTGTCCCAATCATGAGGGCCCAGCTTATTCAACGCTATACTTAGCGCCTGCAGTGCCAATTGCTCCGCGTTTGGCCAGTCATTCAGCCCTGCATAGATGTCGACCAAGCGGTGTCTGCACTCCTGGGTTTCGGAATCCTCAGTACCGATATTCTTCTCAAGTAGCTGCAGGGTGGGGACGGCCAATTCTTTCGCCTCTGCCCACTTCTTTTGGCCGATATAGACATCAAGAAGCGTCTCCGCAGCAGACAGAGTCCAACTGTGTCCAGGGCCATACATTATCTTCCGAACAGTCCAATCTTTGTGTGCAAGTGCTTCGGCCTCTGGCAACCTGTTTAGCTCTAGATAGAGCTTTCCAAGGTGTCCCATGATGTCCGTCGTCATCTCATGCTCCTCTCCAAACAAGGACTTTGACTCCTCTAACGCTTCCAATATCAGACCTTCCGCCTCCGAAAATCGACACTGTCTTCTGTAGACGCTTGACAAGTTGACCATACTGGTTAAAGTCAACTGGTTCCTTGTTCCAAGCAGCCGCTTTCTTGTTGTCATGACAAGGAAGTCCAGTTTCTCGGCCTCTAACAGTCGATTCTGACTACAATATGTCGAGGACAGACTAGCAAGGCTTTCTAACGTTTCTGGATGTTCCATACCAAATTCCTTCTTATTCTCTTCGACAATGAGAAGGTCCAATGCCTCTGCTTCGTCACAACGACCCCGTTCCCAGAGATAGAAGGCTATTCCTTCTTGAAGGTATAGCCTTCTTCTCAACCACTTCCCATGTAGCTCGGGAGTGTATTTCAGAACTGACATCGCGTGGGGTAGATAAGCAGCGCAAGTGGGCCAATTTTCAAACTTGGCGTCGGGGTAAGACTCCGCGAGTATATCCATAGCATGGATAGCTTTATCTTCAAATTCATGTTCGATGATCAGCCATTTGCGCACGGTAAGTTGTACAAGCCGGTGAATAGAGAAGCTTTGACCGGTTCCGTTCGCTGTTATTAGCGAGAAAGCCTTAAGCGTGCCCAGCGCCTTTGTCAAGTCAAGCGGTTTGGTGAGCTTTTGTTGCATCAGGCTTGTCGGAATGTGATGTTGATCAAGAAAAGCGATGAGGGACAGAGAATCGATGGCATTCGGCTCTTTGGTATTGATATGATCTAGAGAAACGATCAGAGTGGTAGCAAGAGCATTTGGGGTTTCGCTGTCTCTCCCTAACGTCTCGAAGGGCTCGCACAGTAAGCCCATCCTGGTCTCGTCACTGTCATTATGCAGTCTCATATATTCATTCACAGTGAGCACATTTTCTTCCATAAACGAAGCGGCTTGCATGATTGCCAACGGTAAATAATCGAGCATCTCCGCGAGCTCATCCATATCTGAATCTGTTGGATAATCACCACTTAAAGCAGACTTGATCAAGCATCTCGACTCTTCCTTGGTCATAGTTCCCACTTCAATCATGTTTTGTCCAACACCCCTAACGAATCTGACACCAGCAGCTCGGTTCCGCGTTGTAATAAGAATGGATCCATAAGAACTTTCAGGAAGGTACTGGAGGATTGGAGAGTCCTCTTGCAGCTGCATGGCTGACGTGGAACCTTTCTCACATTGACGGCCATCTAACGTGAAGAATGAGGCTTGGTCAGCGTTATCGATGATCAGCAACCAGCGTTTACACTGCTTTTCAAGCCACTGCTTGACAAGCCTGAGATTGTCTTGTTTATCATTGAGCGGACATTCAATATCGCATTCCTTGATCAAATCATTATAACTTTCTCGGAACCGACTGATACTGTTCGCGTGAATCCAAAACACCGAAACGCCGGGATGAGCGTCATGGACTTGGTGCGCTAGCTCAATGGCTATCTGGGTTTTACTGGTTGTTCCCTTAGCCAAGAACTTCCTGGTAGAATCTGCAAAACTTACCCGACACCTCCGAGGCCATACAAGGCTACTCTAGAATGAACCTTTCCAAGTGGCATGATACGCTCCATGACCTGACTTAATGTGTGTTCACGGCCAACAAACCCGGGATTACGAGTAAACGGTACCATCCCTGTCCGGTTGGTACACTGTAAGCCGATTTCCAGTATTTCATATATGTAGTAATGCAGAGGACCTACAGAAGCAAGGATCGGCTTCACCGGCCAAAAGGGTGGAGTCTGATTCATCAAAGCAACTGGTCAAAGGCCGCTCCGTCCCTGAATTCGCTAGTTCGACAATCAGCGAAGACACGTATTGATAACGATCGTCTTTATCGCAGTGAAATCTGCAAATCTCTTCATGGTCGGCATTCAATGCGACCGCTTTCTCACGGGAGTCAGGCAAGCCAAGAACAGCAGATTCTTTTTCAACGACCTAATTCGAGCAGTGAGTCTTGTTAGTGCCAGCACCTAGTCCATTATTAAAATACTTACTATGCCGATGCTTTTGAATGGTAGAGTCTCATAAAAGCTCAGATACTTATAGTTTTCAAGAAGCTTGTCAAAGTTCGCAGATAGCTCCAGGGCATAAAGGCTGCCTTTTGAAAGAGCCTTCAGTAGGGTATTGCTCGCTGTTCCTAATATAGCCCTCACGAACTTTGCAGCCACGCCTCCCACACGTGCGAGGTGCGTCCCTCGATGTGGCGTACCGAAGAACGCGATTCCAAATGTTGAGGTGCATATCGAGCCGTACGTTGTGCTGAGTTTGGCTTGTACAAGCGCCTGGCATTGAAACCATAAGAGACAGCCCAAGAACAGCTTCTAGCTAAGAAGCTTCATACCTCTTTGACAACAATCCCTCCCAGGCTATGAGCAATGAAAAGCAGGGGTCGATATTCACAGTTCTGCAGGCAATGTAAGCTTCTGGGACAAATCCAGTCATACAGTTGCTGTTGACTACCTCTCTTTCCAGTCTTAAGCGGTCAAGGAGGACATGTGCCTGCTCCCGCACTCCAGCTGCGGATGACTGGATTGCAACTTTAGAGTTGTAACTGAAGAGGAAAATCCTGGCTCGTGGCAGTTGCTTGGGAAGAAAATCCCTGAGCCAAAGTTTCCCATTCGACTCCCAGGTCTTCTCAGCATGATTCTTTTTGCTTTTAGGGTTGAGTCCATGAACGGCGATAATGCTACTGTCAGTTAGCAAGCAGACATGATGCAGTTGAAATGGCTTACTCGATATTGGGATCTGCCCCGGCGGACAAAATACGCAAATAATACTCGCCCTAGAATGCTATTAAACCCCTCTTCTATCGGCGTCCAAACAAAGACCCTACCATCATGGTATCAATTCTGCTTTTTCACTGGGCTTGATGAACTACCGACCCTTCCTGGGTGGTGAATAGTTGCGTTGCCCTTCATAATTCGGAATGGTCCTAAAGACTCGGGGCCTCCCCTCATTAAGGCCATTGCGACCTTCCTTAACTAATCAATGCGAGCTGCTGCGCCGCGTATGTTCAGCTTGTCAAGGGGGTACCGTGGGCGGCTGTGTTGCTTGCTTGATTGGACAAAGACATGTAGCGTCCAACATCCCTGTAGATCTGCTCTTTTAGTACGTCGCATGTATGAGAACCCAGGCAGAACATTTAACACTACTTACTGTAGCTTTTTAGAGAACCCCACATAAAGTTCCAGAATATCCATTCGATAGGTCGTCTGAAAGCCATCGTTTTGTAGATTTTGCACCCAGAAGAGTGTGGGTGTCGATACTGGGAAGTAAGGCAGAGGTGCACCCGAATAGGAAGGTAAGACTAAGTGCCCGGGACGCACTAATCTAGGATTAGCGTCGTCTTGGTCAGGCTGCAACTAAACACCCCAAACACCGCCCACTCCATCCTACTTATGTGTCTACCATAGGCCGAGATACCCGGAACGGACGCAGTCTGGCTACAGCCATTCTCGTAGCAAGCGCTTACACAGTGCATTGCTATTAATATTGTGGGAAGTATTGGTGGCAATGCAACCGGTAACAGCTCGGCGCTTGCCTCCCTCTCTCATGCTTGAACACAGGCGTTCCCCGTCCTTGTCTAGATATAGTATAGTATAGTAGCAGCACCCCTCGAACTGATGAAGCAATGGATGTTAACAGAGCACTTTTCGTGGGCTGAAACCATTTAACTCACTTTTATGGTCCAATTTCTATCTCTATTCATCAATTTCGCTGGATACGTGAAGCCATGGCTGATTCTGAGTGGAGGACCCTAAGCGCTGGGTACTTATTCTTGCAGGCTTTTGGCTCAGGAGGGATCCATCAGGAAGTCCAAGACGAGAGGAACACTGATCGAGTCAGGGACCTGGAAAAGGGCATATGCCGCCCAAGTAGGTAACGGGTGTTTCTAAGGGCCAGAATGAATGGCTATTGTTCATTCAATGTCGTGTCGAAAGTGTTTCAGCCTCAGGTTCGCGCCTATTGTGTCTATTCTTGTCTTTGTTGGGCATTTCAGTCCCGCTTAAGCAGACCACTGTCCGGCATTTGTAGATCTGACAGATAATAACATCCTCTGTCTTTCTCAATTCTCTCGTTAATCTTTGGGTCCCCGTTCTTTCTTTAACTCCCGAGTTGACCTCGTGGTTCTTTCTTTCCTTGCTCATAAGCCATATCAATTAGCACTCTGCTGCTGGTCAGTCCCTGCCTTTCATTCCTTTCAATCTACAGGTTTTTGTTGCAGAGTATAAAGGTGCATTACAATCAGAACGGATATCCAACTTTATAACTTGTTAAGACACAATCACACATCTTCATACTGGTCACGGAAAAGTTCGAGCTTCCCTGCAGCTGAGCCGCTGACCTAACACCGAAATCATGATGGCTTCGTTGAAAGAATCCCTGGCTGGTCCAGGATATGTGATTCTTAACGCCATTCGTGTTATCAACATTGTTGTGTTTCTGGACATCATTGCTGCCAGTGCGGTCATGCTGGTCAAGATTGACTTGTTAACAGCTTTTTTCTTTTTTGAGGCTGTCTCCCACGTCGCCACTGCAGGCGTTAGTAGTAAGTGGCCTATGCTCCAAACACTCTACTAGATGGCTCATACTTCATCGTGACAGCATTCCTGATTATCTCCGAGCTTCCCATTCTCCGCGGTTACTTCGATCGGAACTGGCCATTGTTGGGGCAAAACTCTGGGTTCATCACTTTGGCGATAGCAATGCTGATACTGGGAGTCGGAGTCCTGGGAGACCTGAACACAAAAGCCACCAGCCAGGAATCTCTTGGGATGGCATTCTGGAGGCTTGTGCTCTCTGCTGGCATTCTAGCCATGATCATGAGCGTGATCAACGTGGTTGCGGTAAGTCGGACTTCGGGTTTATTTTGGACGCATAACTTATAACGTAAAAACCCACAGAGCTTTATCTTCGCTGATAGCGATCTTGGTGTCAGTGCACGGCATGTGCGCGTCTATGGAGCAGTGGCGCCCCAGAAAGTGATGACGCGAAATGGCAGCCAACGTTCATTCCAGCTAAGTATGAAGAGGGAGGAAACTTTGCCGACCTACAGCCCCCAAAGCTCGATAAAAAGGCAGATGTCTATGCGACAGAATACGCGATTTCCCCTGAAGATTTCTTCGCCCGTCAACCCTATCAACATAAATGATGCGGCGTCATCGAAGTACTCGAGGGACTCTGCAGGGATGACTATACCCGATCTCGCTCATCACCCGGCAATGCAGTCATCGCATGTTTAAGGGAGCGTAATGAAACATTGTGCTTTTGCGATGACACGACAAGGAGTTCAGATGCAGGGACATCATGTGCGTTGGCGTTGGCAGTATGGCAATTAGCGAGCATAGGCAATAAGGACGTTCTGATTTTCGGGGTTTGCATTTCTATTTGCAATATCAATCGTTTAATCATGTTTCATTTTACCACAAACCATTGATTTGAATTCAAGTTCTATTTTAAAACTGTCTCGATGATCTTCTCCAAGCTCCGTAAAACCAGATCGAAAGTTTAATGTGCTGAGCAGGTGTCCCTGATCCGCGTGCCTGGCCAGTAGGAAAACATACTTTAGCGCCCACCGGCGATAAGATAAGCCCACTTGAGGCCAACTTCCGCTTCTTGTACCGTCCTGAATCTGGATGTCCCATTACCACTGAACTGCAATGCGCCATCGCCATTATCCGCAAAGATGGGTGAAATAGCGATCTCATTCTCAACGTACGCGCTCACCCTACCAGGAATCTCTCATCCAGACTCACCACTAACCCCCACATCCCCTTTATCAGAATCAAATCTGTCCTCATCTTCTTCGCGCCCATCATCATCCCCCGAGCCATCAACTACTACCGCACCCTCCGCGTCGCCCTCTCCAGCCGCCCACCACCACGCCCTCTTCCCCAAGATGCCAGTCGAGCCTTAAACGTCCTCTTCCTCACCATATCCCTCTTCTTCTGCCTCAGCCTCCCGTTCAACCCGCACGCGCCCAGTCCCAGCATCTTCACCCTCACCAACTCCCGCCTCACCACATCAACAGACATCATCTTCTCGCGCCTCGCGCGTCTCCGCCCCAATGAATCCCTCACGGAATCCGACACTCTCCTTAAATCAAAGCTTACCTCCATCATCGCCCGCAAGGTATACCTCCGCTTCGGCCCCGAAACCCTGACCAACTGCGCCTTCTGCTCCCTCGACAATCTCACCACCTACGCTATTTACCATCTCCCCTTCAACGTCCTCCTCCCTCACCTCTTCCACATGGCCACAATCGGCCTCATAACATCCTCAGTTTTCGCCGGCTCCGACGCAAGTAAATGGCGCAAGGAGTTCTCCATCATGGGCATTGCATTCGCCCTTCTAGACATCTACGTGGTCATGTCCTACGACCCGATGGCGTACGCGTCCGCGGCTGTGCGCGCAGGCGTAGCAGTCCCGTCTAGCTCATACTATCAGATCGGTCTCTTGCGTCCGCTGCTGTTCGCTATCTTTGACGGGGTATGCGCCCTGCTGATTTGGCTCTCCGCTACACGGAGGTTCTTCTTTACTCCGCCGTCGCAGGCAGAACAGGTTGAGCAGGTTGTGTCTGCGTCATTGGGGGCACTTTCGGGATCTACGTCGAAGTTGCATGCTGTGAGTGTGGCGAGGAATGCGGTCGTCAGAGATAAGATGCTTAGGGACCGGGATGAAGCGTATTGGCGCACGGTGGTCGCTATGAATGTGGATAATCCGGCAATGAAGGCGGGTTCGGTGGTGAGTGGTGGAGAGAATGGTGAAGAGGAGGGAGGAGCGCCCCCTACATCGATCTGGGAGGAGGAGGAAGTTGTCCGCGCGATGTCTCGGGCGATGGCGGGTCAGGGGGGTGTTGATTTGGCGAGGTTGGGGATGGATGCGGCGGAGTATGTTAATGGTGTTACGGCAGGGTTGGAGGGGAATTGATAGAGTAGATGATAGTTGTTGTTTTGAGTTATATATATAGTATGTATGTTTGAGAAGCTCAGCATGTAGAAATTTCTATCTATCTACCCAATTACTCTGATGTCTTTGGTAGAGCGTTGAGTGAGACGTGACCACGCCCAACTCCTACTATGTGACCTGCCACAGTACCATACAAACACAGCAAACAATAGCGACTAAGTGCACACAGCGAAAGCTGTCCCAAACTCCGAGCCGTCACTACTACAAAAATCACAACCCAATACAAACAACAACAACATCAAACTACTAGTCAACCGAAACGGCCAATCCCAGCCAGAGACCACTTTACTAACCATTAACTAACTCCAAAGTAGTTAAGGCGCAGGCTGACACATACCCATCCATCCATGGCCCTCCCTATACCCATCTATCTACCTGCGGTGAAAGAAGAAACCCACCGATGCAAGCCAATCCCGGAACTACCAACGACGAGTCTAAGCTAAGCTACATGGAGTATGTATCTAGTGGTTTCTCGGGGCGCGCGGACGGACATAGTCGAGATCGGTCCACAAAAAGCCAGACACACCCTAACCCATGGTTTTGGAGTACTTTAGGCAACATTTTTCCCCTTCCTTGAGATGAATGAATGCACTGCCACACCCGTACTCCATAATTCACTCCATAACGGGAGTGCCACAGAGCATGGGCCAGTCATGTCGGCGAATGCGGAGGCGGGCTAGTATGTACTCGGTCGAAGGGTAACTACGTACTAAGCAGTAGGCTAGTAGTTAGGATGATCAACTAGGCTACTGTGTAAAGTAGGTTTCATTGTTGTCCTTGTTGTTCCAAACGGGTGAGATTTTAGTTTTAGGTCATCGCTGTCGCTCATCGGCCGAGCGAACGCGCTAGTTCTTTGAATTCCTGCGAGGATGCTTGCTTTTGTCGGTCAATCTACTCGGCCGGATTTTGGTAAGCTGCGTCTTACTCCTTTAATTTTGGGAGGCAGTCAATTGTTCCATTCTACTTCAAGTACTCAATTTCCTTCCTCTGAGTGATTGCCGATACGTGAGATTAAAGACATCCTCTTCGGTTTTTGTTGTATTCCCGCTAGAGGATGGCTGGCTCACTTCTTCCCTCGCGCTCTCGTGGGGACCAGCCGGTGTCGTCCCAGAAGACTCCATCACGGTTCAAGGAGAAGATCACACCGGGGTTGCTCACCCTCTCCCGGCTTGCATCCGCGCATCCGATACATACAGTGGCCGCCGTCGCCTTGCTGGTTAGCTCCATATATAGCAGTTTATTGGAAGACAGTATATTCGATAGGACCAAGTCTGTGGCAAAGGCAGACTGGTCATCGCTCACTGCTGGGAGTAGACAACTCTATGTGGGCCCTCAATCCGACTGGAACTGGCAGTCGGAGGTTCCAAACATTCCAGTTTCCAGCAATGTCGACCATGCCGCGCTTCTTACTTTGGTATTCCCGGAGAAGACGGAGGCCTTCCACGAGTCCTTGGCCACGCCTCTGCTCCAATTGCCGAACAACCTGTCTGTCACGCCGTTGCCCTCGACTTCCAAATCCCTCAGTACCTACTCCAACGAACATGTTCATGCTTTCTCCCTCCCCTACAGCCAAGCATCCGACTTCCTGGCAATGGTCCAGGAAGTACCAAACAGCAGCCCAGGCCAGGAGATGGACCACGGTGAACAACGAATGTGGATAATGAAGGATGCACGAGCACAAACGCAGAAAAGTCTGACAGACCGAGCAAAAGATGCCTGGGTCGGCTTCGTGGACCTTCTCAAGAATGCCCAAACAGCGGATATCGCCATTATGCTGCTAGGGTACATCTTCATGCACATGACATTCGCATCGCTGTTCTTCTCCATGTATCGCATGGGCTCTAAATTCTGGCTTGCCACAAGTGTGTTGTTCTCATCCACATTTGCCTTTGTGCTTGGTCTGTTCGTCACTGTGGAGCTTGGTGTACCCGTCAACATGGTTCTCCTCTCTGAGGGCCTGCCGTTTCTGGTGGTCATTGTCGGGTTTGAGAGGTATATCGGTCTAACGCGGGCTATTTTAACGCATGCCATGGATCGCCGCAGCCCATCTGATAACACACAATCAGCCATCGAATTTGTTATCAACGACAAGGGATCAGAGATTGCTAAGGAATACGCTATTGAGATCGCGATTCTTGTATTGGGGGCTTTGTCTGGGGTGCAGGGAGGGCTGCAGCAGTTCTGCTTCTTGGCCGCATGGACTCTGTTCTTTGACGCCGTTCTTCTCTTCACATTCTACACCGCAATCGTCTGCATTAAGCTTGAAGTCAACCAGATCAAGGGGTACACCGACATGCGTAGGGCGCTGGAAGACGACGGTATTAGCTCCCAAACGGCTGAGGATGTGGCTAGGAGTAACAGCCCGAGCAAGCCCGAAACGACGCTTTTCGGCAAAAGTACGCATGTCCCTCGCTTCAAGGTCCTCATGGTTGGCGGCTTCCTCCTTGTGAACGTTGCCAGCATGTGCATGGTTCCTTTCCGCAATACACACTCAGTTAAGGATCTGGCTCGTGGACTAGCTGGTGTGGGTATGTCTCCACCGGTGGATCCCTTCAAGGTAGCCTCTCGTGGGCTCGACGTGATCCTTGACAAGGCCAGATCAACCGGCCAAGATACAATTGTCACGGTTCTCGCCCCGGTCAAGTATGAGTTGCAGTTCCCCGCTGTGCACTATGGCCTTCCTGTAATGGGGTCTTCCAACGACAATGAAGGCATAGCTTTCAACCTTGATGGATATGGTATCGGCGGTCGTGTTGTTGGAGGCTTGCTCAAAAGTCTGGATGATCCGGTCTTTTGCAAGTGGGTTATTGCCGCGCTGGTGCTGAGTGTTGTCCTCAACAGCCACCTCTTCAGTGCAGCTCGGCAGGGCGTTAAGAGTACGCCAGATGACTCCACTGAACCAGAGAAGACAGTCAGTTTGCCAGTGGCTCGCAATGTACCATGCGAGTGCCAGCGAGTTGTTGTTCCAACTAGCCCGGCAGCCGAGGGAGAATTGGCAATCAAACGCACCCCAGAAGAGATGGAGCTAATGCTTTCAGAGAAACGCGCCCATGAGTTAACCGATGAGGAAGTTGTGGAGCTCTCCCTGCGCGGAAAAATCCCCGGCCATGCTCTGGAGAAGACCTTGAAAGACTTTACCCGCGCTGTCAAGGTCCGTCGCGCTGTCATTTCCCGCACCAAGGCCACCGCAGATAACACCAATGGTCTGGAACAATCCAAGCTCCCGTATGATAACTACAACTGGACTCGGGTCTTCGGTGCATGCTGTGAGAATGTTGTCGGCTACATGCCAGTCCCCGTTGGTTTTGCTGGACCTTTGGTCATTGATGGAAGAAGCTACTTCATTCCTATGGCGACTACCGAAGGGGTCCTTGTCGCCAGCGCGAGTAGAGGAAGCAAGGCCATCAATGCTGGCGGCGGTGCTGTAACCATGTTAACAGCGGATGGAATGACTAGGGGTCCCTGTGTTAGCTTTCCAACTCTGGATCGCGCAGGCGCTGCTAAGATTTGGCTTGACTCCGAGGAAGGCCAAACGACAATGCAAAAGGCCTTTAACTCGACTACTCGCTTCGGGCGGCTTCAGTCCATGACCACTGCGATTGCAGGCACTAACCTTTACATTCGGTTCAAATCTACTACGGGAGATGCTATGGGTATGAACATGATCTCCAAGGGTGTTGAGTACGCTCTAGAAGTGATGAAGTCCGCCGGATTTGAAGACATGAAGATCATAACACTGAGCGGTAACTTCTGTGCCGACAAGAAGCCCGCAGCGATCAACTGGATTGAAGGACGTGGAAAGAGCGTTGTTGCAGAAGCCATTATCCCAGGAGATGTTGTGAAGAGCGTGTTGAAGTCAGATGTTGACTCCATGGTCGAGCTCTTTGTAGCTAAGAACATGATCGGATCGGCTATGGCTGGGTCTATAGGAGGATATAACGCACATGCTGCGAATATGGTAGCAGCGATCTTTATCGCGACAGGGCAGGATCCGGCACAGGTTGTAGAGAGTGCCAACTGTATCACCATCATGAAGAAGTAAGTCCAGCTTCGTTAGCCCGTATGCAAATATGGCTCTAACCGTTTCCAGTCTTCACGGTTCGCTCCAGATTTCGGTCTCGATGCCTTCTATTGAAGTTGGTACATTAGGAGGTGGCACCATCCTGGAACCTCAAAGCGCCATGCTCGACAGTCTAGGGATCCGAGGATCGCATCCCACCGAACCGGGAGCGAACGCTCGGCAGCTCGCTCGCATCATCGCTGCTGCTACTTTAGCTGCGGAGTTGTCGCTCTGCGCCGCGCTGGCTGCCGGTCATCTGGTCAAGGCACACATGCAGCATAATCGTGCGCCTCCAGCCGGTGGGAAGTGAGGCCTAAACTCTGTACTTATATAGTATGATCAGCAGGTCTGTGATACGGGATAAAGAACTCTGAGTAGATAGACGGTAGACTAGCTGTGAAGGTAGCAATAGGCGAAATATGGAAAAAGATGGTGATGATAGAACACGCTTATCAAAAGAATTGCAGGCTACTGCTGCTTCTCCGCACAACTTGCAGACTAATGCAATGAGAAAGGTTCGTTCAAGTTAGGCGAAAAATCCTTCATTCGGTGATTGGATCCTGATGATCAGAAGACCGGGCGATCGCTTTCTAAGTCGCAAAGAAGAGGAAGCGGGAGAGCCTTTGGGAGGAGCAGGTGAGAGGAGGACAGCCGGCGATTGGGGGGAACTACAGTGAGTAAGTAACTTTGTTCGTGAGACGCCTTACTAGTCCCAAGTTAACACTTACTGTATGTAGTCCAACAACTTACTCGGCATTAACTTACCTTCTCTTATAACTCTATTAATATCTAGCCAGATTATCGATCTATCTAAACTTTTCAATTTGCATTTTTACTTTACCATGGTACGTCACAGTCATGCATGCATGAAAGTTAGGAAAGGAAAGCATGGGCGGTGAGACTGGATGTCCCAACCAGAGTGACCAGTGGGATACTTGGGATTATCGGGCGGCGTCAGCGGTGGTACAAGTACCGTCAAAGTACCAGCTGTGGATGTCCCCAGAAAAAGTCACTGGGTAAGTAACTTAAGGCCAAGAAGCACCGCGTACGTAACGGCGAGTGGGCCGAAAGGCCTTGAAACAGACGTGATACAGTCAATACCTTCCCCTCATCGTAATTTGTATATATTATTATTTTTCCCTTCCTTGAGATCGTCGGTCTCTTCCTCGCTGCTCTCCCCCTCGCCTTTTCCAACTTTCTCTCCATACAAGAAATCCGGGCATTGAGCAATTCTTTGACGACTTCAACTTTCGCATGAGGGTTTGGTGGACACTTGTTTTTCTTTGTTTACCAGTTCAACAAGTCCCTATAGCTCGCGCAGGCTCGGCCCGCGAGACAGACAGACTTCAGCTGTATTAACGTATACTCTTCATTTACCAAGGGTGTGTGCCGTGCTGAGACCCCCCCAGCAGGGAATCATCTTCCCCCCCAAAAAAGGCCTACCGATTAATCAATCCCAGGTACCCGCCGTGGAACCGCGGGTGGTGCTCTTTGTCTCTCAAAATCGTCTCCAGTCTTTCCCGACGAGTCTCAGCCAAGTTGTCAGTCTCAACAGAAAAAAAAAACAGAATAGCAGCTGCGGCCAGCCCACTGCTGCCACTCACTCCAATCCAAGCCGTGGGCGGGAACCACTTTCGCCCGCTCTCGCTAGACCCGCGACGTACCTCCTTCGATCCCCATCGCTTTCGCTCCCTTCCCTCTCTCCCTCTTTCTTTCGGCCAGCTTGACGGTCGCCTTTCAAGCTCCTTGCTTTCTCTCCTCTGCTCCTCCCTCTCGGAGACTTCTTTCCCCCCAATTGGTCACCACCCTCTTTTTCGCGGAATCAGTCGCTACTGCTGCTTGGGTCTGGGATCCCGACCCCTTCCGTAATTCCCTTGTCTCGTCATGGCCAGAGACGCATCGTCGCCGGCCTCGCAGTCGGCCCCGGAGCTCAATGCCCGCATTTCCACCTCCAGCGGACACCACCGCCCAGCCGCCAAAGAAACCACGTTCCGGGAATGGATGCTCGCCAACCAGATCGGTATGAACCAATCATGCAGCTTCCGATAATAATTCAATGTTTGGCCCTGTCAATGCTCTGCAAAACAGATGACCAATTCCATGCGAACTGTGAGCGCTAACTAGAACGTTTCCGTATATAGGTATTTCGTTGACCACTCTTTCTATGCTACTGGCCGTTCACCACCTCTACCCTTCCTTGAATCCCTACACCGCCCCGTTTTTCCAGCTGTCGTACTACCAGCCCACCACTGGAGATTATGTGCAAGGATGGGATGACATCTATTTTATCGCCAGCTCCGCGATTGCTTTCATCGCTATCCGTGCAATTGTTATCGACTGGATTCTCCAGCCACTGGCGCAAAGCTGCGGATTGAAACGGAAGGCCTCGATTCGTCTGGCTGAGCAAGGCTGGCTCTGCTTGTATTATGGATTCTTCTGGTCCCTTGGCATGGTTCGTACTACTTAACATTACGCTTACATGATTGGGCGTGCTGACCGTGGGGATGTAGTACATTTGGTCCAACTCATACTATTGGGGCGACTTCAGCGCCATCTGGGATCAGTGGCCCGCACGCAATGTGTCGGGGTTGATGAAATGGTACCTTTTGGTGCAATTGGCCTTCTGGGTGCAGATGCTCCTGGTTATCAACATTGAGGAGCGCCGGAAAGACCACTACCAGATGCTAACTCACCACGTCATCACCATCACTCTCTTCGGATCGGCTTATATCTATGGCTTCTACAATGTATCCAACGTGGTACTGTCGCTCATGGACATTGTGGACCTCTTGCTACCGGTAAGTAGGAATTCTGCCTTAGAATTGAAAACGTGAGCTAATTCGAAGACCAGGCGGCCAAAGTCCTCAAATACTTAAAGTACGAGACCACCTGCAATGTCGCTTTTGGTGTGTTCATGGTTACGTGGCTCATAACGCGCCATATCTACTACCCGCAACTGTGCTGGTCCATCTACAAGGACGTCCCAGCCAAGATGGCGTACGGCTGCTACTCCGGTACCACTGCGGAAATGACTTCCACCAACGCGTATCCCAACCGCTGGCGGTATCTGCTTTACCCCTTCCAGGACATCAGCGGCCCAATCTGCATGAACCGCACCATCAAGTGGATCTTCCTTTCCTGCCTTTTGGCACTGCAGGCACTCTCGCTCATCTGGTTCACCATGGTCATCCGGGTCGCCGTCGGAGTCATCCGCACCGGAAATGCTGAAGAGCCTCGCAGCGACGACGAAGAGGAGGAGGAAGATGTTGCGGGCAAGGATGGCCCCAATGGTACAGCTGTCCCGACCGACGGCTCCAGTGCTGACTGGCGCCGCGCCAATGGGTCTTCGAATGTACGGCCCCGTGGACGCGGCCGTGTTCGTCTTGGCGACCAGAGTGACCACAAAGCGTTACTCGGGCGGATCGGATGCGATAAACCGACCTAGACACCCTCTTAACGTCTTTGACTTTGCGTTTCTCTCTTATACTAATGATATCATGGATGTGGATACGGACACGCTGAGATGCTGATATCGATGATCATTAAGACATCACCAGCTAGAAACACGTGAAACGAACCAACAAGAAAGTACAGTTCGCATTGGGGAAAAAAAAAGTTCTACCTAACCTAACCGTTCTATATCTTTCCAGTTTTCAGCAGGTGCTCATCTTGTCTTTGCGTTTGATACCATTGATCTTGATTGGTAGTGATTGTGAATTTTTCTCCCTTTGATTCCCTTTTTTATTTGCATCGAACTTTACCCACCTCACATCAACCCCACCTGATCTGTCAATAACGGCGTGCACGATGATCATTATGTTGTCTTATACTATGCTCTATGCTGCTGCTTGTCATTGCCTATCTTGTTCAGTTTATTTATCTAGATGATGTTGCTGGCCGATTGCATGCTTTGTTGCCTTGATGCCCCCCTCCATTTATTTATCCAGAGTTGTTACTTTTTCTTGTGGTTTAGGGACGTAATACAAATACCCACTGGTTGATGGTTTTATTGTTAACTTTTTTTTTTCCATTATCGTTTCATTTTTTGCTATGTATGATAGCCTCAGCGAGAGATAGATACTTACGAATTTGCATCGTACAAAAGTGACAGAACTATTACAGTGTCCTTTTACATACCGGTAACATTGGGGCGGGTCGGGCACTTCATCCAATATTCCCACTTATTCTGTCATTACCTCCGCTAAACACAACATAAATCATTTTACTATTAACTAGGCCAACTAGTTGAATTGCCTTCTCTCCAATCTAGACTGAAACGAAACACAACCCAAATCAAACCCTACCTCGCTCTCACTACCCGCCCACCATTCCAAGAGAAAAGAGAGCTCGAGCCCTGCTGAAATGGCTCCGAACAACCATATTAGCCTGACACGGTACGCCGTAGTCAGTAAGTAAATAAGTACCCAGTCCAATAACCCCATTATTTTTTGTCAATTTGCCGTTTTTTGAGCGCCCAAAACGCCATCCGTCTTCATTGTTACCAGTCATTCAATCATCTGTTGTCTTTGTCTCGTTAAAAGCGTGAGCCAGCCATGTTTTCCCATTTGCACCATGTCTTATCCATCCAGTAGGGTCCCGGGTTTCCCTCTTTCATGAAATCAACGCCTTGCAACTGAATGAGGTTGATGCGATGTGAGCAAGCAGCATACATATACGCCCTAGGGCGTAAGGGATTGGCCAAAGGAAAGAGAAAGAAAAAGATTACTCAAGTGAAAACAGGTATATTTGTAGTATCGTCACCCACATCGCGGGTCGTGATGGAGGATAAACTAAAATTAAGGATATCTTCACGCATCTGGGCCTCGTTCCAGAAGTATTCCGGTGAAGATGAAGATGAAGAAGGGGAGGCGTCGTCCTGGACATGAAGGAGACGTTTTCGTTGACGGGTGGCCAGAGTATCGGCGTCGATTTGGTCGCATCCGAGTGCGCATTCTTGTTGAGTGACGATGAAGTCGATGAGAACTTGGCGGAGACGGTCCCAGATCGTGCCGTGGCGTTTCCATTCAAGGCGCTTGGCAACTCGGACCATGCGGGAAACAATCCAGCACCGGGCACCAGTGTCGCCGCGGTAATTTGGCGGATAGCCGCCGTTGTTGAGGAAGAGCCAGAGGACGGAGGTGATGCTAGGGTTGGTGGAGGGATTCATTTTTCTGATTTCCACGCTTAGCCATTCCATGTAGGGGTCGAGGGAGGTTGAGTTTAGGTAGCAATCGTGGAGAGCAATGGCCAGGAAGAAGAGACAGGCCATGCAGGTGTATTCGTCGATAAAACGGATATCCCGAATTCCATGATCGTAGTCAGGGAGCATCGTGAGAATCGTGTAGAGCTGCGTGCCGGGTGTGAAATAGTTGATGCGCTTCGGGATGGCATCAGGTGAGAGAGTGTAAGGAGCATCTAGGGCACGGCGTTCTAGTTCGCGGAGACGGCGGAAGAATCTTAAAAAGTCTTCGCAGGCGCGAAAAGTTTCGCAGAGACTTTCCGAGTCTTCTGCGGTAGTTGAGTCATGGGGTACTGCAAGGTGAATTGTCGGATCCAGGAAGTCGAGTGGAGGAGTAGCCGAGATAGCACCAGTCCAGGGTAGAGAGGTGCTGACAATGGCCTTTGAGGCACAACTAAAATCCACCCTGAAAACAGTCAACAGATATCCTTTCATACAGACAACCACACAAAGTTACCAATAGAGCACCTTCTCCAGGAAGGGGCTAGAGATCCGCATGCCTTGCATTCCTCCGCGACTTCTAATCATCGATGCCAATCCTCTAAAATGCATCCGTTCTATGGATGCATCCTTGGACCATTTCTCCAAGGTGTTAGTTAAATACAATTACAACGGAACGCAACGAGTCACAATACCTCAATGACAGCCATTGTGGCAACAGCGTAGATAGTTCCGTCATACTGCCCAGTAGAGTCTGCTTGGATGCGCTCGTTCATCAACCGCAGCGCTCGCATCTTATGGGTCAAACTTTGGACGGACTCGGTTTTGCCTTCGACACCTGCACGGTGCTTCGAAGCAATGGCGAGCATGGCCTGGAACGGCAGGCCATCGTGCAAGGCAAACTGCCGAAATATCTCCATCATAGGGTTGTTCGCGATCGAATCGGCAAACTTATACATCATAGATGGGTACGTGACCACAACTAACATACGTGTAAGCTCCAGTCAGGAAGCAAAGTGATATGCAGGGGTTTGAAATGCACATGCAACGTCTTAGGCTAGGGATGACATCTGCGGCGCAATATAACATACAATGTTGGATCAATTCATGATCTGCATGGCTAACCGGAATTGGATAGCAGCTAAACGGGTCTCGAACGGAACCTTCTCCAGGAGTAATGAGGGGGTCTAAAGCCTTAGGTGTAGGCTTTTGAACAGCCAGTGAGGAAGGAGGCGATTTCTCCTCACGTTTGACCTTGTGTAATTTAGGGATGAGCAATCGCGAAGGTCCCTTTGGCTTTTCAGGCGGTGGATGGTCCTCTTCGCTACTCGGCGAACCCTTTTCGGATTTGATAGCAGGCTCATCCTGGATTTCCTCCACCAGCGATGGGGAGGACTCGGGTACCTGAGAGTCAGACGGGGAGCGGGGGGTCCAACCACCGCCAGGTATACGAGCTGTCCCCAATCGCGCGATACTGTCCAAGCGCCGCTGATGCATGTACTGGCGCATGGCATGGCGGCGGACCTGGCGCTTGGACTCATGATCAGTGACTAGGACAAACTCGAAGTTCCTGGAGCCAGATTGCTGGGCGGGTCTGGCAGGCCGGTTCCTTGAGGGAGCTGAGCGGTCTTCTGCATGATGATTATTGTGATCATTGGAATGACGACGAGCAGGCACAGGGCCTGGGGCAGCGCCCACATTCACATTCTGAAACTTAAGATTAGGCTTATTAGAGGTGGTTCCGGGGTCGGGGTTACCCTCCTCCCCCATTATCTCATGATTTGGCCTGGCCCGGCAAACGCGTAGTACCGGTCAGGCCCGGGAATTAGGGACTGGGGGCAAGAGCCGAAGGGTGGGGAAGACCAAACAGGGCGTCTGTCTGTACTTTCTGCAGCTCTCTTGGGCAGTGGAGCTGTCCGAGGAGCCCGATGGGAATCGATAGGGCAAAAGCTTCAGAAACTAAGCCCGTGGCCGCAAGAGATGGCGCATAGCAGAGAATGTCGTTGGACTGGCACAGAATGGCGAAACTCCAATGTTCGCCGTCAGCCCGATTTCCCCTTTGGGCTTTGCTTCCCCCACCCTCGTGCCCCCACGTGATGATCTCCCGGCTGACTCAGCCGTATAGTCACCGCTTCATCTTCTTTCACGTCTCTCTCCCTAACCACTAAAGGAAAATATTATAGAGATTACGCCCAAAGTTTGAAACATCGCTCTATCTATGGATTTAACATGGACTATAGAGAAGAAAAGCTGTAACTTTTGTTACTATAAATGCCCCTTGAGATCACTGATACCTGGCAGTGTCTGCTGGGAGGGGCTCAGGCACCTACAAAATAAGCATTGCTACTCCACCTGCCTTAATACATTCTGGATCCCCTCTTCCCCATGGGGTAACTTGACTCCTACTAATAAAAGTGCAAAGTAAGGTTGATTAGCTCTGGCGGCCTTCTGATTTGATGGCCTGAACACACGTAATCCACGGTCATGCCCTAGTGGTCTACTATTGACGGTATGGGTGTCTAGTGCGTCAATGGCCGATGCATCTTGGCTAAGCTTCTGTCATCTTCTAGTACTTCCCGCTAAGCTGACCAGCCCTACCTATATTGTAAATCTAAGCGAGTCGGCAATAGAGTTGATAGTTAGCTTGGAAAAACATTTAAGCTACATGTACCCCACACCATTAACATCAGTCACGTGCAGCTTGTCCCATCCCACTGTAGACTCTCCGGGCAGCATCTCGAATCCCGCTCAGTAATTTCAAGGCATACGAGGGAGTAATAAAGCCCCATACCGTCAATGAGGAGTTGCACTATTGGCTCCAGTCTCCCGCTTGATATCTTAACTACAGGCTGGGGCTAGTTGTTGGCATCCGCAAGGCAATGTCTTTCTACACCACGGTCTCCATGTTATAAACAGAATTCACCTAGTTAAGGGATCAACCGCCGTCCTGTCGATACTTCGCCAGAGCCGCCAAGATGCCTTCACTCATCTCTTCCTCCTGCTGACTCGACTCCTGCAATCGTCGCTCTTCGATAGCTTGTCTCCGTGTTTCTAGCCGACCCTCCTCTGCATCTGCTAGGATTGATTCTGCGGCGTTGTCTTCACTTGTTTCCAAAGAATTGAAGGTTCGGTCTTCATGATCCTCAACAACCCCAGTTGCATGACCTCTAGCGATTCCTCCCCTGGCAGTTACCCTCTTCGCCGACTCGGCCCTAAAGCCTTCTCTTACTGTACTACACCACTGCCTGACCTTCTTCTCACCCCATCCGGGTACTGCACTGATCTGCTCTGGTTGGGCATTAACCGCATTCTGCAGGCTCCCAAACGTAGATATCAAGCTTGCTGCATCTGATTTATTAATGCTTCGGGGTGTCGTGACGAACTCAACAAGAGATTCCTTGTATGACTGAGCTTGCTGCGTGCGAATAGCAGTAGGTTGAGAGTTTTCAGAAGACTTGAACAATTCAAGATAGTGTGCAGCTTCGGGTGCAGACCAGCAAAGGATCAGCGTCAAATTATTGACGATGGATGTCTTCGAAAGCTCCTTCAAGCTTTCTTCATGATTCGGGATATCCACAATAACCAGGATAATACGTAAAAGGTATTTTCCTGCTATGAGACGAATTCGCGAGTAGATATATTCGGGATGTAACCGGTGGTACTTCAAGGAAAGAAATAGAGCACAGGTGGTGTTTCCGACCACATAGTCGGCCGGAATATCTGCATATTCCCATGGCAGTAGTTTGATATGATTCAATATCGGATTGCCTTTTTGTCGCGTTGACACGAGGATGGCAGATGGACCAGACCTGCTGGGGAGTGCTTGTGGCTTAGGCTGCTGGACTTTAGACGGTGGCTGCGGCATCGAGGCACCAGACGCTCGGGGCGTAGCAGATTCTGAACGTGCTACTGGGTCCATTGCTGCTTTCTCTCCCCCAGTGTCGTCCGCTATTGGTTCGGAGGAAATAGAAAGTTACTGCATCAAGTGCCTCGCAGATTATAAGCGAACGGGACCCTGGATGTTGTCATATCGCTTCGATTTACACCCATCCTTGGCCGTGAAAGGTGGGCCGTGCAAGGGTTCCCGATTGGTTATTATGAGATATGTCACGTGGTAGATCCATCATGTGACTTGGGTGTTCATCCTTTCAGATATGTGCCACAAGGAAAGGATTAGCGATGGTGGGCAGGGATATGAAGCCTTGATTATATGGAGTCTCTGGCTTCGTCTTCTAAACAAGGGAAGAGCATACGATTTCTTCAAATTTAGTATAAAACCGTCTCGTTCAGTGTAGCGTATGCCATTGTAAATCGCTAACCTCGTCGGGCATAAGTGAAAGGAGTCTTCCGTCTGCAAATAACAGTTATCGAACGCAGAACAGCAGACAGAAGTATCGCGAAGCAGACGATCAGTAACAAGAAAGATCTAGACTGATGTGTAGAATGAAAGTAGATGGAGCATGGTGGAGACCCATTCCCTCTCACCGCCCGCAGACCCGCTTTTGCCTCCAAAAGTCAGAAAACGGCATCGGGATTTTTCTGCCGCTGATTTTGCTACAAAAAAAAAAGTTACTCAAAACACCAATCAAGGCTGAGAGGAACGAGTCCAAGATGAGTTCCCCTGAAGCCAGCGAGATCAAGGGCAGCGCTGCTCCTGAGTCCAACATGGAAGTACAAACCGACAAGCCAGCACAGGAGACACCGGCCTCCAACCAGCCTAGGAGGGAGCTTTTCATCCGATCGCTTCCCGCCTCTACGACGACCGAGAGCCTGACAGAATACTTCTCGCAATCCTACGTTATTAAGCATGCCGTTGCTGTCACAGATCCTGAGACGAAGCAATCGAAGGGATACGGTTTCGTGACATTCGCGGATATCGAAGACGCAAAGGCTGCGCTAGAAGAGTTTAATGGCTCCGTGTTTGAAGGCAAGAAGATCAAGGTTGAATACGCGCAACCGCGTCATCGTGTTGTTGATGAGAACCTCGGAAAGAGCAAGCCTTCGGCTGAAGCTCTTGAGCAGAAGAAGAAGAGAGAGGAACAGAGGGCGGCTGCTCAGCCGCCTAAGCTGATCGTTCGAAACTTGCCGTGGAGCATCAAGGAACCTGATGATTTGGCGGTGCTCTTCCGCAGCTTTGGAAAGGTCAAATATGTTACCCTTCCTAAGAAGGGAAGTCAACTGGCCGGTTTCGGTTTCGTTGTTTTGCGCGGAAAGAAAAACGCCGAGAAGGCGTTGCAGGCAGTGAACGGAAAGGAGGTGGACGGAAGAACATTGGCTGTCGATTGGGCTGTTGAGAAGAACGTCTGGGAGGATTTACAAAAGGATCAGGAGGAACAGGAGGAGAATGTAAAGGAGGAGTCAGAAGACGCTGATATGGAGGATGCTATCGAAGCAGAAGTTGGCATTGATGAAGAAGCCCAGTCTGACGAGGACGACGATATGGAATATGGTAGCGACGTTGATGAGGATGAAGATGTCGAGGAGGACGAGGACGAGGATGAGGAAGAGGGAGAGGGAGATAAGGAAGACGAAAGGAACGCTTCGACTATCTTCATCAGAAACCTCCCCTTCACCTGTGACGATGATATGCTCTACGAACACTTCACCCAATTCGGTCCCCTTCGCTATGCCCGAATCGTCGTCGATCACGAAACCGAGCGTCCTCGTGGTACTGGTTTTGCTTGCTTCTGGAAGCCCGACGATGCAGCAGCCTGCGTGCGCGACGCCCCCAAACAACAAGATACCCTTGTCGCAGAGAAAGATAAGGCTAAGAAAGCCTCTACCGCCTACAAGCATTCCATTCTACAGAACGAAAACGCGGACCCCACCGGACGGTATACCTTGGAGGGTCGTGTACTACAAGTTGCCCGCGCAGTGAGCAAATCTCGCGCTTCACAGCTGGAGGAAGAGGGAGTGTCTCGCCGACTCGTCCGCGATACCGACAAGCGCCGCCTGTACCTTCTTTCCGAGGGTACCATCCCGCAGAACTCCGCCCTCTACAAGAAGCTTTCACCATCGGAGATCAAGATGAGAGAGGACAGCTACAAGCAACGACAGAACTTCATCAAGAAGAACCCGGCCCTCCATCTCAGTTTGACGCGTTTGTCGATTCGTAATATTCCCCGTCATGTCACCACAAAAGATTTGAAACAGCTCGCTCGTCAAGCGATCGCCGGATTTGCTGAGGATGCGAAGAAGGGTCTGCGGCAGCCTTTGTCTAAGGAGGAGTTGAACCGCGCGGCCGACATCATGAGAGAGGCAGAGCAGTTGCGGAAGAAGAAGGGTGTTGGTGTTGTGAGACAAGCGAAGATCGTCTTCGAAACCCGAGATGGCCACAAGGTTGGCGAGGACAAGGCTGCGGGAAGAAGCAGAGGTTACGGTTTCATTGAATACTACACCCACCGCCACGCCCTGATGGCTCTCAGATGGCTCAATGGCCATGCTGTCGAGGCACCTGCGACTGGTTCGGAGGACGCCAAGGACAAGAAGAAGCGTTTGATCGTTGAGTTCGCCATTGAGAACGCCCAGGTCGTCAAGCGCCGGCAAGAACAGCAGGCTAAGGCCCGTACTTTCAAGAAAGGAAAGCAGGATGGTGAAGGTTCTGCGGAGAAGGACGAAGCAAAGAACAACAAGGGAGGTCCCAATGGAAAGAAGAGGAAGCGCTCTGACAACAATGACAAGGGCGCAAATGGAGAGGATGATGAGGAACAGAATAAGCTTGCAAAGCGGAATCGTATCATCGCAAAGAAGCGCATGCAGCGAAGATCTCGGAAAGGAAAGGCCTAAGGCCGGGTACATAGATAAAAGTCAATGCGGGTTATATATGGAGTAAATAGCTAATGATATCTGTCAACAAGCTTATTTCTTTGGTTTCTAGCGCTGTATTGTTGAAAGTATCTGACACCGACAGCTCTTTATTCAGAGTAGCTCGCGTAAGAGTGAAGTCAACGGGTATTATTCTTGCATTGCAGAAAGGTTGATTATCTCCATGCATCGCTGCTAACCATTTGTTCCTTTAGTAGTTCGTAGCATCCTTCACCTTTCCCACAATGTTGTAGCGTTTGCTGAAAAACGTGAACCATTCATCCAGGACTGTCTTCTCCTTGTCCTCCAAATCATACCAATCGGGTTTGCAATCCTCGGCTTTGAGCGACGAAGAGGCAAGGGCGCGGGAGGGATCCTTTCCAGCAAAGACTAGCAAATATACATCAGCACACCCGTTCACAATCACTAAGGCACAGATATAGGCTTGTATTCAGCGTAGGATAGCTTACCGTGGTACTGCCCACTAGGACTGTATGCCTGGTTCCTAGTCACATCGAAAACGATCCCCTTAATCGCAACCAAGGTGGGACGGTTAGGATCGGTACCTGTAAACATTAATTTGTCAGTACTGAAATTGTAACAGATTGGAGTATCCTCGGAGGTGCAGTGTGAAGATCTCACCATCACATTTGGACAGCTCTTCAACGGTTATGGGATCATATTTCGGGGGATCGAGCTGGACAGGGATCTTAGGAGAAAAGCGCTTCGGCTCAGGCTCGTGCTCGACCATTGTGACGATTGTCTATCGTGCAGGTAATTCTATTCAGGGACTGAAAGTGGTTTTGTCGCTGGGAAGTTGTTGTCTAGCAGCAGGAACCTTGGAAGGACGAGGTTCGTTGCCGGTTAAACAGGCGCGGGGCAGGCGGGGAGAGCTCGGAGCGGCGAAACCGTGGGTCGAGGTTTGGCAGCTACCGTCCGCGGCTCGGTGATGTTATCGTAAGTCCCCATCTCGTCTTCTCGGATGAGTAGTACCTTTTACAGCTAGTTTCATTGGCTCTCGAGACATCGACTCACTACCATCTTCTAGAGTATCCACTGCCCCTGAACCTAGGTAGGTTTAGACTCGCCTAGTCCAGGGTCAGTCTCGATAGTTGCTCTGAGATATGCTTGCAGGAGTAAAGTTGATGCCAGTGATCTGTAACAACGTGATCGTAATAGTTTGGTTGGCAACTCGGGCGAGCCCCTTCCGCATCTGTAGAGGATTGCCTGCTCTGGAAATCCCGTGATTGGTACCAGCTTCTGACGTCAAAGACGCCTACCTGATGGACAACTGTATCTATCGTATAAGCAAGCACCACACATGTCATCCATCTCAGTCTACAACTGTTGCAAACTCTTTCATATTTTGTATACAGAACTGGGTCATCTATTCTGGGCCTTGTTGTTATCATATTCATCACGAGGAACTTCCCAAAGAACGGACACAATGTCCTCCCATCAGAGTAGTCAACCGAGGGCCATCCAGACCCCATCCCTTGCTCGAGACTCTTATGGCAATGATGCAGAAAGAGACCCCAGATCGATCTCGGAGGAGTCCGATCTGTCGCATTACCTCCACTACGAAGACAACGACGGCTTTTTCCCTCCAGCCTGGCTAGGGAAGGCACCGCCTACTCAACATGGAGTTGGAACGAAGGTTTCGGATAAGAATACCCAAACCGAGATGCGAACATGATCAATGACTCAAGATATTTTCGCATGAATCTACTGTGCCTTTTTCTCATTAGTGGCCTTTTATCCTTGCCTGGCGTCATGGCGTGAAACGCTTCTCCATACTTGTTGAAATCACGAGGCTTGGGAAATATAGCTGAGATATGAGGGATGGGGAAGTGCCTCAAAATCGCATTATGTCCGCCGAATCCATTCTTCCTTTATGGGCCTTGAAATCCCACGGATACAAGTCGCCGCGGGGAAGGCTGGAGCAGAGACTCGCATGACTACAATTGCTATATCAAGGGGCAATCAGAGGGGCGCTTGCTGGAACAAGGATTACTCGGTATTATCATTCTAGTCTGGGATTAGTATCATGTACGGCCTAGGCCGCGCCAAACCTATGGAACCCTAGCTGCTACTGCATCGTTGGTTAGTCCAAGCCGAGTTAAAATGTCTTATACCCTGCAATGCAGGATTCTCCTTTGACAGTTTCAAGCATTTGTTTAACCTGCAGTCTCACAACATCCTCTCTGCCACCAATGTTCATACCAGACTTGTCAACTGACAGTCTGGATTCACTCATGTGACCCCCCGGCTGAATGCCACGGCAATTCCCCAAAACAGTTAGGGCGGGCCATCCCCGGCCGAGGTTTAACTTCAACTTTTCCTACTGCCCCTCATATTTGGGTCCCTTGCTGCCCGTGGCATTTATCTACCGTGCGTGCCATTTGGCTTGGTAGTATACTCAGCTGCAACCAGCTATATCTGCGACTGGCTGCAGTCATTGATACCTGCCAACCAAATCCGGCGGTGCCGCAACAAATGTGCTGCAGCTCTTATCATAGCCTTCGCTTCCTATTCAGACTCGAAGACCTGAAAACCCCGGGGTATGTCTTCCTGGCATACAATCGTCTCCTGGATGCTACCATCTGCCTTGCTGATGTGACTGCCTGGCGCTTTTACTCTACTTTGTAATATCGAAGATTCGTCGCTTCCATCCAAAGGCAGAAAGTGACCCTGATCATGGGTTACACGAAAATCGTAATTCAATCTGATTGGACACCTCGACGGCCGATCTGTCTGTGTTGTATCTATAGTAGTATCCGACGCAGAAGGTTATGATAGGGTCAGATAACTCCATATAAAGTTTGACTTAGCACATCAGCGTAGAATGTGTGGCTAGTTTCCCAGTTTGCTTCTCATTCATTACGAAGTCGAGTCGATAGGAGAGTGTAGTGTAAGTAGTTGTTAGCGTGGATTAATACCATCAAGTAAAGTAGAAACAGCAAGCAAGGAAGGACAAGGTTAAAATGACGAGCACCATGTTTTGCTCAAACGCCACGCACAACTGTATCTGCCCGCCATTGTGGGGGCCCCGAATGGAGTCGCCGAAGCTGCAAGTCGGCCTCCGCGCTGTGATTTGCCTCCTTGATTCCCTTTGCACGAGTTATTCCTAGACCATAATTGACTAAAATGTCTTCTGCCGAATAATGCCCCATGATGAGGGATATTCGCATGGCGAGAACGGCTCTTGACCGGTCTAGCTAGCCCACCATTTTTCTTCGCGGTTTCCCTTCGCCCGCTTTCTTTTTCTACGAAACAGCTCTCCTTTCCTCTTATTCCATGCCTCACAATTCACTCAATGTCCTTGAACTTGCTTTTCTATATATATATTTAAGCTGCCCACTGCGGGGCATTGATGAATTCTAGCCATAATATGGCTTTTACATCCGCTATACAAACCGAGGGGCATTCCCCCACAATCGGCCCTCAAGGATTCAGCGAGAAACGTAAAGAATCCGATATGGGACGCACTGAGAAGGATGCTGTCGTTCGCGACAGTGAAGAAATAGTCGAAGATGAATCGAAGAAGCTTGCCTACGACCATACACACCGCAAGCTGAAGCCCAGGCATATCCAGCTTATCGGTATCGGCGGCACAATCGGGACCGTTTTGTACGTCCAAATTGGCAAAGCACTGATGGAGGGTGGCCCTGCTAGTCTCTTCATCGCATTTATTATCTGGTTAGTCTTGATCCCATCACTCTGTTCTCTTGTCTTTCGCTGTTCCCTTACGGTGCTGCAATTCCCATCTTGTGAACTGTCTCAAAAGGCTTCGTTTATTGGTAAGTTTCTGGAAGCCGAAGCACAAAGTACAGGAACTCGCTTTCGCCCAATGGTCAGCGTCTGCAAGGATGTCTTTCAACATCAGACACCTCATGCACTATACGTAGATAGCGCAGTGTCAGCTTTTCCTCCTTGTTCCTGATGTGTGCTCCACCCTAGAGACAGCAGAATTTCGGGATTGTCTGGCCTTGCCTTGTGCATATTGCTGCTAAATTTATGGAATCTTATACCTCGTTTATATATAGGTCCGCTGTCATTCTATGTATAACTGTTTGTACGGATTCCCTTTCCCTGCGATCTTGAAGCCCTTCCTATCTTCCCTCATGCCGCCAGCGACACAAAAGCTGCCAATTGCGACCTGTGCGATTTTATCTGCATGCCCCAAAGCGCCGAATTCCCAATGGCCTCTCTGATTCCGTCGCAACAACTTGGCTCGCGCATTTGTTCCCTTTGAAGTAGCATTCCACTAAGATAATACCTATGCTAGGTTTGGCTGAGATGGTCACATATTTGCCCATTTCCTCGCCCTTTATCCGCTTTGCAACTCGATACGTTGACGAGGCCTTTGGGGTTGCTGCCGGTTACAACTTCTTCATCTTTCAAGCTGCCATGGTGCCATTTGAAGTTACAGCGTGTAACCTGATTATCACTTACTGGAGCGATGCGGTCCCAGTCGCCGGAATTATTGTAATTGTGCTTGTGCTCTTTGGGTATGTTATGCTCTCGATCGAAGCATACCTCCTGTGCAACTTGAAGCAGTGCAAGCTAACAAGTATCAGGCTACTCAACATCTTCGCAGTGAAGTGGTATGGCGAAGCCGAATTTTGGCTTTCCCTGAGCAAGGTCTTGCTTAGTGTGGGCCTGATCTTCTTTACATTCATTGTGATGCTCGGAGGCAACCCCCTTGGCGATCGATTTGGATTCCGCTACTGGAAGAACCCTGGGGCATTCAACGAATACTACAAGACCGGAGATCTAGGCCGATGGCTCGGGTTTCTTGCTTGCCTCATCCAAGCCAGTTTCACGATCGCCGGTCCTGACTACGTCTCCATGGCTGCCGGTGAAGCAGTCAACCCCCGCAAAATCCTGCCCAAAGCATACAATGGCATCTTCTATCGACTCACCACCTTTTTCGTTCTTGGTGTGCTCTGCGTTGGTATCTTAGTTCCCTACAACGATCCTGACCTGGCTGCTGCGTACGAAAAAGACCTGCCTGGTGCAGCCGCATCACCGTATGTTGTCGCCATGGACCGGCTGAAAATTCCCGTCCTGCCACACATCGTCAATGCTATGGTCCTCCTCGCTGCTTTCAGTGCCGGAAACAGTTACGTCTACTGCGCCAGCAGAAGTCTGTACGGTCTTGCTCTGGATGGCAAGGCTCCGCGCATTCTCACCAAATGTACAAAAACCGGTGTGCCAATATACTGCGTCTTGATTGTGTTCGTTTTTGCGCTGTTGGCTTTCCTACAGGTCTCTAATGGGTCAGCCGTCGTGCTGAATTGGTTTGTTAATCTTGTGAGTCTTTCCCCATCAACTACTTCTTCTGCAAATTCTGATGAAACACAAATCAGGTCACTGCATCCCAGCTGATCAACTTTTCCGTCATTACTTTCACCTACACCCGGTTCAGAAAAGCTCTCATGGCACAGGGTGTCCCTCGCACATCCCTTCCCTACCAGAGTCGTGGCCAGCCCTATGTCGCCTACATTGCCTTAGTCTCGACTTTCGTCATGACTTTCATAAGCGGCTACACGGTCTTCTTACCTGGCAACTGGGACATCCCGACTTTCTTCTTCTCGTATACCATGATCGGAGTGTTTCCTGTCATCTACGTGGGATGGAAACTCTGGCATCGTACGAAGTTTTTGAGCCCAAAGGAAATTGATATCGTCACTGGAGTCGAAGAAGTGGATGTGTATACGAGGAATTATGTGGAGGAACCTTCAAGGTAGGTCTATCTGGTATACTTCTGATGGTCTGGAAACTAAGTATCGCACACAGTAACGCTTTTACGAGATTCAACGATATGGTTTTTGGTTAAACCAGCATCATAAGACAATGCATAGATAAAACCTGGGTGGCTGTCTGGATAGAAGTTCTTTTCTCGTTTCTTTCCTTAGCAGATGAATAAGACGACTTTGAAGATAAAAGATAAACAATGAAATCGCTCAACCATAGTCCAGCCCTATAGAATATCATACAAGACACAAGTATATCCCACCCCCTCCAATATAATATATTACATCCCCCTTATTATCATCTATCATCTATCATCCCACCCTCTACCACCACCCCATCCCACTCCACATGAACAACACAGCATCGAATTAATTCCCCTCCCCCCTCTCCTTCTTCAACGCCTCCAACCGCATCTTATTCCTCTTCCCCAATACCCTAAGCGTATTCTTCTTCTCCATCTCCGTCATGGCCTCCCAATTCGAAATCCGCGATAACGTGCCATCCTGATTCACCACCACAGGACCCAGGTGGTCCAATGCAACTGCTGATCCATCCCCGCTTACGTCGAGTTTCGTGGCTGATTCGGCGTCTGGAAGGGCGAGGATGGGTTTTTGTTGGTCATCGCCTTCTTGTTGGTTTTGGGTTTGGGTTTGTTGGTCGTTGGGTGTGCTCATTGTGGAGTAGTGAGAGCTTTTCTCCTTTTGATATCTATTGGTAGTGGTGGTGATTGCGTTGTTGTAGAGATGGATTGCTGAGCAGTGAGGGTGGAGGGGGAGTGTGGCTTGGTGGAGGAAGTGTCGGGGTGTGTATGTTGTGGTTGTGACTGTTGCGGTTGCGGATGCGGGTGCGATGCGGGCGGTCGTGGTTAGGAGGAGGTTGATGAGTGAGGCGCGCGTGAGGGTTGAGGACATGTACATTATATTATTTCTGTTGGTTGTTTGGTTGTTGTGGAGTGTGGGTGAGGGTGGAATTTGGTTGATTAAAAGAAAGGAAGGATGATGATGTCGTCGACGAAATCTTGGGATGTGGAGTGAAGGCGGGCGGAGTCGAAAAGAGGATTCTAGAACGTTGGGTACGTTCTGAGTCTTAAGCGTACGGATTGCCCATTTAATTGTTGTATTGAGTTATGGAGATTGGGTTGTGTTTTTTTTGCATATTATTGAGCTTATTTCTGGGTGAAATAATTTACTTTTCTTTTGTCAAGCTGTCTTGCTGTAGCTTGTATCTGTTCCGATATAGATGCAGCTCCGTACATTACCATATCTACAAAACTACTTACCCATCATACACCCTGATTATTAGCGGAACCACCAATTCACCTGTTGATCAGATAAGTAAGAGAGAGTCATACGCGCACACTTATAGTCAACTTACCGAAGCCGTCACCCCTGTCCCTACGCCCTTGATACTATGCCACCATCCCCGGGGAATGAACATTCCATCACCCGCTTCGAGATGTGCTTCATACCCATCTAGCCCCGGCACAGCTTTCTCCTCATCCCAGACAGCCTGCTCCAATAATGCCCTTTCTTGGCCCTGCATCATTTCATCTCCTCGGATCGCAGCAGCCTCGCGACCTCCGCTTCGTCCCAGCTGCCGTCTCACGGACCCAAATACTTTCTGTCCATCGCCAGGCGATAAAAGTCTCACAACCTTTTGTCCCGCGAGTTGAACGAAGAGATTGGGATTCGGGTCCCGATGGAGAGGCGTATACGTAGGTGGATATCCGATCCAAACATTCGTGTCGTAGACATCACCCTTTCCGGCCTGTGCTACTAATTCAGGTGTTGGAAAGTCATCGCGGAGTACCTGGGGGAGATCTAGGAGCTGGCACTGCGCTAGATACAACCGAGCGGACTGTGTCTCGAGCGTCTCTGCGGAACGAATCCAATCAAGGAACAAACTCAGCGGTGCGTGAAATTGCTGAAAGGTGAGCCCGTCTGCTCCTGTCTCGGAGGCGCCGTCGGAGGAAGGCTGTGTGAGTTCCAGAGGAACGAAGGCGTCGGCTCCGTGTTGGGCAAGGTAAGTTGTATTCAGTTGAGATACATTTGGTTCGGTCGGAGCGGGCTCGAACCAACGCTCAAAGGCGGGGAAATCACGAAAAGAACCCCGAGGGAGAATTGTAGGACGTTCCGGAGTAAAGTAGTTTTGGCGGAAGTCGTTTATGTCGGCATCGTTGAGGGTATCTAGGGGGCGATATGAGCGGGATGTCGTGGAGGTGAAGCAGCGTTGTTGTCGTGGTTGGTTTGAAGAGGAGAACCGGAGGGCGACAGACGACAGACGGTGCCAAACCCTGAGGTTATTGCTGGGCAGACATTGTTGGAGCTTCATTCAGAAGACCAAGTGTTCTGTCATCCAAAAGAAGTGGGTTGGGAAAGCACCGCATCCACTATTCAGTGTTGCTTAGATGCTGCTGCACATGCGGTTTGACAAAGTGCAGATCGGGGAATTTCCGCCCCGACTGGGATCGACCAGTTGCCGGTGGATCTGTGAGATTTGCCCTTTGTAGCTCTTCATCCTTCATTTAAATTTGGATTCTTATTATGATTTCATCTACTATTAGTATCTCTTCAGATAAATTTACTGTGGTCCTTCAGAGGAAACCGTAATTGGTAGAGTTATCAACAACACAAGCAAGGGCTGATAAGGATGCCATGTCAGCTGGTGATGGTGATGATAAAACCATGGACAGAACTCGCTCGGTCTTTTTTACCTCGACAACCCAATTGGAAATTAGACGGCAGACAACAAACCTGTCATTTGACCAGAACCACAGTTGACCACCGTCAGGATCAGCTAGGGACTTCCCATTAGCTTATAAGAAATAAATCCGCAGCACCTGAATCTCCTCGTCGGCGATCCCTTCCCGGTCCGGCCATCTGGGGAAACGGAAACCCCGCGCGCCATCGAGCAAACGAAAGGAATCCCTCCGCGCCGGTCGCTGCTCTCTTTCGCGCCAACAACCAATCGTCCCAACTTGATTTCCATCCAAAATGTCGTCGGAGTCGCCGCAGGTTGATATGGCACCACCCCAGCCTGATTCTGGCGAGCAGAATGCCACTCCGGACGCTGATACCGCGAAGAGGAAAGCGGAACCCGCCAACGGAACTCATACTCGTTCCAAGCGGAATCGCTACATCTCCATTGCGTGGTATGATTCGGCTCGCTGCCATCCACCCATGTTGACCCTCTCCCATCACTGGCTTAGCACGCTTCCTCTTATCTGTTAGCTGATTAATTCTGTATTTCCCGTTTAGTAACGAATGCAAGAGGCGGAAGATCAAATGCAATGGCCAGGTACCCTGTCAACGCTGTGGACACCTTAACCTCGAATGTCAGTCAGCCTTGCGCTGTAGCTCCTCGCTGTAGCTCCCTCAACACACATGGCAGACGCGACTTACTATTTCCATAGGTCGATATGCCCCAAACTGCTGCAATAATAACTTTAAAGACTCCGAGTACGTCGATCATCACCTCTGGCTTTCTTTCCCTGCAGTATGCCCATCATGGTCCTCAGCTGACCAGTCCTCCACTACCAGGGAATTTCGGTCGATGACAGACCAGATAAAGACATTACAGGAACAGGTAAATAGTCTTTTTACCAATCTGAAGGATCTTCGGTCGCAAAGGTCGTCCATAGACTCCCCAAATTTTGACGCCTTCTCTCGTGATGGCTCGCAATCGGTGTTCACTCCTATGCATGCCCCATTGGGCAAACCACGCATAAGACATCCCCGATTCCAGGGGCCAACCAGCTCAGCTTTTAACTTCGACGTCGCAAGGTCTAGTCTACAGAACATGGGCATCGCCCCGCCCGAGGAAGTGATACCAGACGATTTGACCACGGCCCAGGTCACCCCGGCTGGCTCCCCTCCCCATGTGGGCCCGTCGTTTCTCACAATGCATCCCACCAAGGATCCCATATGGTCCATCAAGCGAGAAGAAGCTTTGCGTCTGTGTCGTGTCTATGAAGAGGAGATTGGTATCATGTATCCCCTGGTTGATATAGACCAGATCGCTCAGCAAGTGAACTTGCTATACACGTTCATGGAATCTGCGATACGCACGGGGTTTGCGCAACGGGGCTTGCCTGGTGCTGATGGTCTTACTGATGACAACACGGTTCTTTTGAAGATGATACTTGCTATAACACTGGTCGTGGAAGGGGGCGGCCAAAGCGAGCTCGGACAGCGGCTGTATCTGAGCGTAAAGCCAATAGCTGAATCCAAACTCTGGGATACGCTCGACATCAGGACAATCCAGTTATATGGCATGATTGTGGGTTAATCACTATATGTACTGGGATTGCGCTGACACGTTCAAACAACAGGCAACTTTCCATTTTCACATGGACGATGATGCCATGGCTTATCGCATCATCGGCCTGGCCGCACGTATGTGCCTTGAGATGGGTCTGCATCGGCGCGATGCCCTGAACAAGATGTTTCCGGATGAAGACCAATGGCCTGCCGTGGTGAAGACTTTCTGGACAATCTACAGTCTGGACCGACGATGGAGTCTCGGGACAGGGCTGCCTTTCAACATCCAGGATGAAGACATCGACCCTAACCTCCCTGAGCCGGTGAGTTACACTATTTAATGGATTCTTTATTGGTCAGCTGCTAATAACCTCTCTAGGATGCTTCATTGCCGTATCTGAAATCGATGATATCATACAATCGCATTAGCTCGAAGATCTGGTATTCGGGGCTTGGCTCTGAGGGTACAACGGACATACGTCGGGATGAGATAGGCTATCTGGATTACCAGATCTTGCAGTGGTACAAACAGGTCCCAGATGCCCTGAAATTCTATCCAATCGAGTCTCCAAAGAGTGGTCATGTGGATTCGGCCAACCGGGGCCTGAGGCGATTAAGGGTCCTACTGTATCTCCGCATGAATCAGCTCCGAATCCTCATCTACCGCCCCGTACTCCACTCTGCAGCAAGTATTGCCGAGGATAAGGGTCATGCTCAAACGGTGGTGGATGTTGCAAAAGATACCATCCGCGTGCTCACTCGACTCAATCAGACATCCGACATATACCGCAGCCAACAGATCACCTTCAACTATTTCCTCGTGGCTGCTCTGGCAGTCCTCTTCCTTGCTGTCTGCCATGCACCGGCAGACTTCAACCGACAAGTACGGGATGAGTTCTACATGGCACTGAACTTGATCAGCGGGTTCAGTACGAAGTCCTACGTCTCGAAGCGTCTCTGGAAGGCTATCAAGGGACTTCGAAAGATCGGGGAACGACTGGGAGTGCTTGTGCGGCCTTTCGGGTCGGATTCAAATGACCCTCATTCCAGTGCAGCAGTGGCCATGGCCGGATTAGCAGGGCACCAAATTGAAGACTTGTCGGTGTATGGCCCGATGAATGGGATCGGCGAGCTTGGCAACAGTCCTCTCAACGGGCTGCAGATGAGCCATGAGCTTACGAATCTATTTGAGGCAGTAGGCGGGTTTGGGAACTTTATGGCTTCTGGGACACCGGCCGAGGGGATCAATGGGTTTGTAGGTCATGATGGGGAGATCCAGAACACGGGGGAGGGGCTCTCGGGAGTGCTTGGAGATGAAGGCGAATGGTCACGGGTGATCCGGGATTTGTTCTAGAAGATGAGATCAGATCTACAGTGGTCACGACTGTTCAAATCGTAGCATGAAGTGTCGTTGTCCTGTATAACCATATCCCCATGTAGAGAGAGACTGAGGGACAGTCGAGGCTGGCCGATCGCCACGTGACTGAGGGAGGGAAAGCCAGCGGCGGGTGACTTTCGGTCGCCAACCTCCTCCAAAGCCAATCCCAGAACATGTTCCACTTGTGAATCGCTGTTGGTGTGGCCACCCACCTTCTCTGCATCTGAAGACATCGGTCTTTCTGTTGTCTATCTTTTGGGCCCCGACTCACCACTCTGCCGTCGTCTAGCTGCCTTATCTATCGCTCCCTCTTCGTGTTTGAGCACCTTTCCCGACCGCCCCACGAACCTAATTTCGGAAGCCCCTCGACATCCTCCGTCGATCGATTCAGGAAGAGAGAAAGAGAGAGAGAGAGAGAGAGAGAGAGCCAGGGAGATTTGTTGATCCATCCTTATCCACCATCATCTGGACGGGTCAAATCTATCAATCTCTATTAATGCCTTGTGGCCGTCAGTGATTCTGGGAGACATCGTTTGCTGAAGAGTCCCGCTCCCAATTCAGTCGCGTTAACACACCCTCATCGCACAACAATCTGCCCGCCCGCTCGCCCGCCCGCACACTGTCATGACCGCGACATTCATCACAACCCTGTCATTCTATTAGCCCTACAGCGGACGTCATCTGCAGTCCCATTATACCTTATCCACCCAATTCTTGCCTTCCTACCACAGGAGGGCTCACGACTTCGGAACCTTGTACCAGATCCCATTACATCTGGTGCAGGTTTAATCGGCGCTTCATCTCGCACGAGATACTTCGCAGTCGTTTCTCTCCTTAGCTCGGCAACGTGTCGAGAGAGATAGGTTCGGCGTTGGCCGACGGCCTAGACAGGCTGGATCTGAGTCAACTGTCTGAATCGACGCCCTCGTCGTCCGCGTCCGACTCCTTCGATATGTCGTCTTCGGAAGGGGCCCCGGAGTCCTGGATCTCCTCGTTTTGCTCCCTGATGGGTCATGAGTTCTTTGCGGAAGTGTCGGAGGACTTTATCGAAGATGACTTCAACCTGACGGGTCTGCAATCGCAGGTGCCTATGTACAAGGAGGCCCTGGAAATGATCCTGGATGTGGAACCCGAGGAGGACGAGGAGGATGAAGAAGAGGAGGAGGAAGAGGAGGACGAGGACGAGATTCTAGGAGACGAGAAGCCACCAGGATACCGCAGGGCAGGGGAACGGAGGCATGCACGAGTCGCGAGTGATCTGAGCGTTATTGAGAGCTCCGCCGAATTGCTTTACGGACTGATCCACCAGCGCTACATCACTTCACGGCCCGGTATCCAGCAGATGCTTGAAAAGTACGAAATGCAACATTTCGGTGTCTGCCCGCGAGTCTATTGCAACGGATGCAAGGTTCTGCCCGTCGGCCGTTCCGACACGCCTGGCCAAGAGACGGTCAAGCTGTTCTGCCCTAGTTGCCAAGATCTGTACACGCCCCCGAACAGTCGGTTCCACTCAGTCGATGGAGCATTCTTTGGAACTACCTTTGGTTGCCTGTTCTTTATGACCTTCCCAGACCTCGATATCGGACCCCGGCTGGACAGCTCCCTCGCCGCGTTATCACCGACCCGCTCCTCCTCCTTGACATCTTCTTCGATCAACAACCAAGTCGTGCCAGATGTGCCTCCTCCCAACCAGCCTGTCGAGATCAACGGCGTGCGTACCATCAACTTCAGCCCGGGTCTTGGACCGGGTCGGATCTACGAGTCCCGGAT